ATGGGACCAAAGGTTATATCATGTATGACTTAAAGTCCAAAGAGATTTTTATTTCAAGACATGTTGTGTTTTATGAAAACAACTTTCCTCTCTTCGAAAATCAAGAATGTGACCACACAAGCTCTGAGCCTGCCCCTTTAATCTTACCCACACCTACACCTACCATATATGACTTACCACCAAAAGTGTCTTTTCCACCTGCTCTTCCTGTCCGTTCCCCTTTAATCACAGTTGACCCTATTCCTGCACAGTCTACTTCATCTGTGATCCTGCCATCCTTTCCACAACCATTAGCCCCACCCCACATTAATACTGATGCTGATCTTTCCCCAAATCTTCGAAGATCTACAAGAGCAAGGATGCAGCCACGACATTTAAGTGATTTTCACTGTAATTTCTCCAAAGTTTTAGCTGACAACCACTCATCTTCAGGTACACATTTACCTTTACTTAAAAATCCATCATCTTTTGTTTCATATACACACTGTTCTTCTTCTTATACTGCCTTGTGTCATAATCTGAGTTCATTTGTTGAGCCACGTACATATAACCAAGCTGTCCAATCCAAGGAATGGATTCTGGCAATGAATGAAGAAATTGAAGCTCTCAAGCGTAATCAGACTTGGTCCATTGTTCCTCTTCCCAAAGGCAAACATCCAATTGGATGCAAGTGGGTCTATAAGGTGAAACACAATCCAGATGGCACTGTTTCTAGGCACAAAGCCAGATTAGTAGCCAAGGGCTACAACCAAATGGAGGGGGTGGATTATTTTGAGACTTTTTCTCCAGTAGCCAAGCTCACCACAGTCAGATTATTACTCTCCATTGTTGTTGCTAAGGACTGGTTCCTTGAGCAAATTGATATTAACAATGCCTTTCTTCATGGAGATTTATCAGAGGAGGTGTATATGAAGATTCCTGAAGGCATTGAGTCAGCCAAAGGGAACCAAGTTTGCAAGTTACATAAGTCCCTGTATGGATTAAAACAGTCCAGCCGCCAATGGAATGCCAAGCTGACTTTAGAGCTGTGTAACCTTGGTTTTACTCAATCAAGTGCTGATTACTCTCTCTTCACTAAGGCAGATGGTGATGTTTTTACATGTCTCTTAGTTTATGTAGATGACATGATTCTGGCTGGCAATAATATGGATCAGATCAATTCAATCAAACAGCACTTGGACACCCTATTTCGTATTAAAGACCTTGGTCCTTTACATTTTTTCCTTGGTATGGAAATTGCTAGATCCAAGAATGGTTTGATTTTGAATCAAAGGAAATATGTCCTCGAGCTACTATCTGAAGCTGGAATGCTTCATGCCAAACCAGCTTCTTCTCCCATGGAGCCTTCTTTACACTTGCAACAAAATCAAGGAGATTTATTTCCTGACCCTGCTGTTTATAGAAGATTGGTGGGACGTTTATTGTATCTCACAAATACCAGACCTGATATATCTTTTGCTGTGCAACAGTTAAGTCAGTTTGTAGCTAAGCCAATGAATGATCATTATGTTGCTGCTACTCGGGTTTTAAGATATTTAAAAGCTTCTCCAGCCAAAGGCTTACTGTTTTCTTCTCAGAATCCACTGGCTCTGGCTGCCTTTGCCGATGCTGATTGGGCAACTTGCCCTGATACAAGGAAATCTACCACTGGTTTTTGTGTTTTCCTTGGTACATCTCTCATCTCTTGGAAATCCAAGAAGCAAAGCACTGTCTCACGTTCATCTGCAGAGGCTGAGTACCGTGCTTTGGCAACTGTAACCTGTGAAATTCAATGGCTCACCTATCTTCTCAATGATCTGCAAGTCTCTACTTCTCAATCAGTCAACCTTTATTGTGATAATCAGAGTGCAATCTATTTGGCTCATAATCCCTCCTTCCATGACCGAAGTAAACACACAGAGTTGGATTGCCATGTTACTAGGGAAAAGGTGGTGGCTGGTCTGATTCGATTGTTGCCTATTCATACCTCTCAGCAACTTGCTGATATATTCACAAAGGCCCTCAATCCAGCTTCTTTCCATGATTTTCTTTTCAAGTTGGGGTTGTATGATCTCCACCCACCAACTTGAGGGGGGGTATTATACCTCATTATTTAAATGTAATTAGTTTTTAAATTAGACTCTCATGTAATTAGACTTAGGTTAGTCATTCTAATAGCTGTCATGACTTAGACAGTTAGTTACTATAGTTAGACGGTTAGTTACTATAGTTAGACGGTTAGTTACTATAGTTAGTTCTTAGAGTTACTTGTTTTACCTTGGTTAGTTTTTGAGTTACTTGCTTTGTTCACAGCTTGTATATAAGCTGATGTTTTACCTTCTATTCATAACTTTCGTATTCACTTCATTACTAAAATAATGAAATCCTATTCAGTATTCTCGCATTCTGTTAAACACCATGCTCATTAAGAAAATCAGTAAAAGCAAGCTCATTTGCATTATCTGATCGTAACATTTTTATTTTCTTGCTAAATTGGGTGGATACTAAGTTAAAAAACTTAGGTAAAATAGCATTCACATCAGACTTGTGTTTAAGCAGGAAAATCCATGTAAAACGAGTGCAATCATCCACCAATGTCAAAAAATAGCGAAAACCAGAATAATCAGCAGTGGAGCAGGGTCCCCAAATGTCTAAATGAATAAGATCAAAAGGATTCTCTGAAATATGTGCTTGAGAAATAAAAGGCAATTTTCGCTGTTTGGCTAATGGACAAATGTAGCATGGCCTTTTATTGTTATTGGACTGTATATCAGAACATTGGAGTTTATCTTTCATGTGTACAAGACACCTATAAGATAAATGTCCTAATTGATGATGCCAAGTATGAACAGAAACATTATTAATAGCAGTATGAACCAATGCAGTACTAACAGGAGTCCTAGTATATAGAACATATAAACCTTCCAACTTGCTACCCTTGCCAATCATCTTGTTGGACTTCTCCTCCTGGATAGCAAATGCATTAGCAGAGAAAGTAATTGTAAATTGGGACTCAGTGGATAATGCACTAACAGACATCAAATTGAACTTGAATTGAGGAACATATAGAACATCTCTGAAAACCAATTGTGAATTAAAACGAACATCACCAACCAAGAAAAGTGGTATACTAGGGTGATTGGGTAATGTGACAGAGCAACCATGAACTGGCCGAAGAGACAAAAAATGATGAGCATGAGCAGAGATGTGTTTGGAAGCTCCTGAATCAACTATCCAAATTTCTTTATCAGAAAAAATTGGATTGGTGGAAATGGAAAAGCAGGTACCTGTGTTGAAAGCAGTAGCAGGACCAACAACTGCATCAGAGACCTTGTTAATAGATGCCATGTGATTGGAAAGCAAGCTCAGGAGTTGACCAAAACTATTGGAATCAATATTTTGCAGAACACTATTCAGTGGATTAAAAGCTTGCATGTGATGTGTTGTATCAACAGTTGAATTATGTGTTGTAGCCATATTGGAAGAGAATGATGTCTTCTTCTGTCTAGGCTTGAAGCCTGGGGGATATCCATGAAGCTTATAACACTTATCCACAGTATGTCCATGAAACTGGCAATGAGTGCAAAAAGGACGTTCCTTCTTGAAGCCTTTGTTCGGACCTTCAAGTTTGGCAGCAAAGGTCATTGTGTTGGTGGATTCAACACCAGAGCCATGAGGTAAGATTTGTCGTTGATGTTCTTCTTGCATCACCAACGAAAATACTTTGTTGATCGGAGGAAGTGGATCATTGAGGAGTATTTGGTCTCGAATCTGAGCATAGGAATCATTCAATCCCATGAGAAAAGCCATCGTATACTCCATTTGAAAATACTCCAATAATTTTCGAACACCACCACAGGTGCATGAGCCACATGTACAGGGAGGACGAAAAGTACTCAACTCTTCCCAGATAGACTTCAATCGAGTGAAATATGCACCAACAGCTTGTTGTTCTTGACTCAAATTAGCCAAGTCTCGTCGAAGCATGAAAATCTTTGGTCCATTTCGTTGTTGAAAACGATCTTTAAGATCGTTCCAAATTTCTGAAGCAGAATCAGAAATAAGAATACTAGCAGAAATTTCCTTGGAGACAGAGTTAAGAATCCAAGAAATTACCATATCATTGTTGCGAGTCCAAGATCTGAGAAGAGCCGGATCAGGTCCATCAGGTTTGGGAATGGTACCATTCACAAAACCTAATTTGTTCTTGACAGAAAGAGCTATGGTCATGGCACGACTCCAGGATGAGTAGTTGTCGCCAGTGAGAGGCTGAGAGACCAAAACCAGACCAAAACCCAATCACAGAGTGATTTAAGTTCCCACTTCAAACAAAGGTATATAGGCTTTTCTATCCCAGTCTAATCCCATACCACAATATATGGTCTGTTCAATATAGTCCTACGTGCAAAAATTACCAAAGAAAAAATATCAAGGCACGGGAAATCCCATCCCATCCCATCTTCCAATTTATAAGCATAGTTCCTCCTTTTCTTTCCTCTCCCTTTCCCTCCAAGCCCCAAACACATCTTTAACTGCGTACATATCTCATGAATAATCCACGGATAAATAAAGATTGTATGGAAACAGTCTATATAAACAGAATCTGCAATGATTTAATTATATCCGTCACAAGGCTTCATCATCTGAGGTCAATCAGGGAGCTTTTTGAAGGCATTGGAACATTGACCTCTCTTAACAGTTTTGGATACATTTTATTGTAATTTGAAAGGCACCCTCCCGGCTGCAGGTAAAACGCATTCTTCATTTGAACTATTAAATAACTTTGTATAATGCACACTCAGAGCATTCATCAGATATCTAGACTAGACTATTATTTCTCATTTTAATCTACAATCAACGCGATGTCGGTTTTTTTCTTTTTCTTTCTTTCTTTCTTTTAACTTTGTCGAAAATTTTCATTTTTCAGATTGGTTTATGCACAAGAAACTAGTAGTATCTAGGATATGACAAAATGCTATGGCAAAAGGCATTGAATCCAACTTAATTGAACTGATGCCATACATGGTTTGCAAATTGTAAGTGACAGACTTACCAGTCAGTCCCAAATAACATGTTAACCAATCAAAATATGTAGAGTATCCCCATTAGTTGTACAAATAAATACAAGAAGAAACGCACATGATTCCATAGATATCATCTTCTCAGGCTCACCCGACTCAAATGCAAAGCAAGCGCATCCCTTATCTTCAGTGCACTCTCTTCTCTCATTCCATCAAAAGCATGAAGATCCCCTTCCTTCTCCACACAACTCACCCCCTTATCTGGCAATGGCTCGTTGCACTTAACAAGAAAATTATGCAACAAACAACCAGTAACAATCACAAACGGCAAAAACTCAACACACTCTTGTTTCCATTTTCTCGAAAATGACAGAAGCTGCCACCTAGCACGAAGCCTTCCGAACGCATCACCAACCAACCCCATTGCATGACTATGTGCACAATTGAAAGCCCTTTCAACAGAACCAAAACTATCTTCCTCATTAACCCTATTATAGGGTGTTAAAAGCCAAGGCAAAAGGGGAAAACAAGAATCTCCCAAAACATACTGAGGAATCAAACTATCATCGCTGAGCTTATAAGATGGACCCTGCAACAATTCCTTCGAGTTCTCAACTCCAATATAAAGCTTACTCTGGTACAAAACGGTATCAGGCTTCATCGTACTAGGCCACCCAGCTGAAACATCCAAAAACCTACCTTCAGAGTCCACCAATGCTTGAACCATCAAGAACCCATTTTTACCCAATAAATCGCCATCAATTGCAAACCTAGCCAACCCCAGAACCCCAAAACAATTGGGAAGTGAACTCCAACCAAAACCCACCACAACCCTCTCCGAATCAGTCCGAAGCTCGAACAAATGCCCCAAATTATCAGTGACAGCTTTGCAAACCGCGAAGAACGCACGGCATGCGTCGGCCGGAGCCATCCCGAACCGCCGAGCCGTGGCTGAATAGCCGGCCCCGTGGGCCAATCTGAAAATTGCGGCGGCTAGGGCACAATCGGGGGCGATTAGGGGAAGCGCAGAGGCCAGAGAGGGAGAGAGAAGATCGAGGAGGTGGTAGTAGGAAGGCTTTGACATGCGGAACGCGTCGAGCCATTGGGAATCGGAAACGGAGGTGGAGGAAAGGAAACGGCGGAACCAGCACTCACGTTGAGGCGGAGAGAGAGAGAGTGGGTCTAAGGGTTTGGGGAGGAGAGAAAGGACTCTAGAGAGAGAGTGAGAAGTTGATGAGATTAGGGTTTCGAGAATGAGAGATTGGGAAGGAAGAAGAGCAATGTCGTTGTGAGAGAGGAAGGAATCTGCAGTGTCTTTAACTCTGGAAATTATGGCAACGAGGTTTTGGTGGTTCAAATGGTTTAGATTATGCAACTTCTTGGGCTTGCGCTTTGTGCCCCTTGCGCCAACCATTGCAGATTTGGAGCGAAGAGAGTGATGAGAAACAAAAGAAATGTTTTTGTTTATTTTTTGGTTCTTTTTTCATGTCATTTCATAGCTTTCGTTTAAAATATTCGATTTTTTAAAATATGAGTGATTTGAGTTTCTTGTTAAATTGGTCTGATTTGGTGTGTGGCACTGCACATCCAGTTTCCACACGTTCGATGTATGCCTGCGGGAGTTTTGCTAGGAAAAGTAGACATTATCAAGGGTTGTCTCATGTCTGGCCATTTTCCATTGCAGAAATGTACATGTATACAACTTCTCTGTAAAGATTTCTCGAAAGTTTGATGAGGGACTCTGCTGAAGTAGCAAGTATTGGGGTTTCAAACTGAGATTTGACTTTCTAGTAAAAAGGGGTTTACCAGATCGAAAGAATCCTGTAGCAAACGGGATTGATTCCATTGATGGAAGGGAAGAGAAAGAAAAAAAAAACAGAGAGAAAAGAAAATCAATGGTAATGAATAAAGTTTTTAAAAGTTTTGTTCTGTCTATTGAAAAGAAAATGTACATGTATGCACTGCACATTCTTGTTGTTGATGACAACTATATAAATAGTAAACACATTTATAGACGTGTACGAAGTTTATAATAGTTTTTATTCAAGTTTTCCCTGCTCTAGTTCGTTAATCCAATTAGACCCATCAACTTATTCTGGGTTGATTAACCTGGTTAGGCCCATCAAATTATAGTCCAAGGATTGGCCTAGGCCATGATCCTGGATTATAGGATTTTTCCCTGCTCTACAATCAGTAGGGGGCTAGGGTGGGCCTCTGTCCCTCTCTAAAATTTGAGAATTTTTTTTTATAATATATGTAAAAAAATTTGATGATGAAATTATTGTGTTGTATATGTTTTTCCCTTCAATTTCTCATGTTTTTGCCCACACTCTTACCCATATTTTTCCTTGAGAACATCAGATCATCTTCTCCCCCCTTTTCGTGTTTCATCCATCACCAACCTCCTTCTTCAGCTTTTCGATTTTGGCAGTGTAAATTCTAGAGCCAGGCAAAATCAACTTCCACCTTCCTAAGATCATTACATGTATGTATAGTCATAAACTAACTTTTAGATGGGTTGAAACTTGAAACCGTGAAAAAAAATATAATGCTTTTTTTTTATAGGTATAGGTATTGTAACGAATGGATGTTCACAGATATATTAGTATATAATATATTATCAATTGATTATCAATTGATTATCAATTGCAAGAATTAAATAGCAAGTTCATGATAATATTGTTGAATTACTTACTTTGAGCATGACTTTAGACCCAAAAAAACAGGTACATGTCATTTAATAGTGATGATATTTGCAAACTTGTTGATAAATTTTATTCTAGAAATTTCACATAACAGAAAAAATTGCATTTGAAGATGGATCTACAACATTTTGAGCTTAACATTCCTAAACATCCAGATTTGATTATTTTATCAACTACATCTGAATTATGTCAAGGGCTATCAAGAACTGAAAAGTCCATCATTTACCCTCTTATTGATAGAGTGATTAGACTTGTACTTACTCTTTCAGTTTTTACATCAACTACTAAAAGATCTTTCTCAGCTATGAAGATAATCAAGACCAGCCTTCGAAATAGAATAGAAGACCAATTTCTTGATGATTCTTTGATTACATACATTGAAAAAGAAATTATTTTGAGTTTTAGCACGGATTCAATTATAGATGAGTTTAATAATATGAAAACACGTAGAGCAAGAGTCAAGTGAAGTGATATTAATTTCTGTAATAGATTTCTTTCAATTTTTTATATATTAAATTTGTATTGTATTTCAAATACTTTTATTTATGATATAATATTTTTTATTTTCGCTCCCTCTTATTAAAATTCCCGTGTCCTACACTTTCTAGTATTTTTTACTTTGGTGAGAATAGCAAACACACAACAGTTGCCGTAAAAATGTAGTAGTGGATTTTTTCAAGACACATAGCAGTTAACAACGAAAATGAAAAAAAAAAAAAAAAAAACTAAAAAACTGCAGTGTTATGTCATTTAAAATGACAAATACTTTTTTCATACATGTATGACATAAAAATTATCTTCTAGAATATTAAAAAATATCAAACCCCTAATCTAATCAGATTGTCATGAATCATGATATCATACAATGATACAATGGGTTTAGTTCAAAATGTAAATATGGTATAATCCAATTTAATTTAAATATATTTTTATTGAATCGGTTTTCCAATTTTCTTTAATATTTTTTAATACATAATTCATTAAAATATAGAAATTCATCAAAATAAATTAAGTATAATTCTGAATTAATTCATTAAAATATACTAAATACAAGTTGAAATACATTCACCAAAATACGAATCTAAAATATATATATATACAATTCAAGACTAATTGTCAAATTATAATAAGAGATGAAATAAAATTTAATTGGAGGTACAAGAAAAAAGTTCCAAAAAAAGTAGATAATATGAAGATTTTTTAAGTAAAATACCATTTCAAATGACTAAAGAGTGACACTTACAAATATTCTATATTATGGTAGTGAGATATTATTTTTATTTTACATAAGATAATTATTTCATGTTATTTCACTTTGAAAATTTTATCTATTTTTTTTATTATTCTTTAATGATAGACTCTACATGACTTCTTTCTATAATATGAGAGAATTATTTTCATATAAAATGAGAGTAATATTTTTTATTATATTATTGATAAATAATATGAGATCTATCATTATTATTGATTTCCCGTAGGTGATTTTTGAAATTTTGAAGAGTAATGTCTGGTTGCGTCATTGACTGACTAATTGATCTGACTAGTTATCTCCGTCCAATTGGTCAAAAATCCTTTTTTTTTCATAAGCATGAGTTGGAAAAATATATATTAAAGAAAAGAAATTTGATGTTTGTCATTTTAAATGACATAAGTTATGTCATTTTAAGATAGATAAACACAAGAAAATATTTTTATTTAAAATTTAAATTAAAAAGAAAACCACTCACTTATCCTCGTGATTTCCACAAACACTTTTTCCTAAAAAAAAAAAAAACATTTATCGTCTAGTTGGTTTCAACCAAATTGCGTGTGTTTCCATCCGTTTCTAGTGCGGAATAAACAACGCCTTCTCTTTAATTTACGGTTTCAGTTAAAAGCATAAACTGATATATCATTTAAAATTATAAACATTGTATATATAAAAATGTATGAGATATATATATATTTTTTTTTCACGTGATTTCATATAAATCTCACATATTTTTATTTTGTAATAAATATATTTTATTTTTTACAATACGAAAAATATTAAACCCTCACGTTATATAGGTTAACTTTTTTCTTTAAAATCAATTCAACCAAATCCGAAAATACCTCTACTAATAACTTTTTGCAAAATATATAGGCTATTTAGGGGAAAGGATTTTGATAACTATTGATCGAAAAATTAACTACTCAAATTGCGGTAAAGCTTTTGGAGGTAAAATAGTAAATTAAGTAGTAATTCTAATTTTTTTTATTTATAAATTTTCACAACTAATAATATTTTATTTGATAGAATAAAAAATGTTGGAATTTTCGGTATTTTAAACAAAACTAATAGTGTTTTTAATATTTAGACCTCATATTATTAATCAATAACACACAACATATAGTACTTGTAAGATATAACTGTAAGTAAACAAAAACCTCAAATTTTACTTTAATGTCAAGCTTTAAGTTTTATTCTTAAAAATATACTTAGTGGGATTGAGAGATATCATATGGCCTCAATAGTCAGCATTATATCAAAGATTAATCTCTCACTCCAAGTTTAATAAAATTATCAAATCATAATCAAACAATAACTCTTAAAATAAAAGAAGATGCCATATTTACCATTAACTCTTTCATAACCGTGTGATAAAACCAAATCATGCTTGTCATTTGATACAAATTTTTTTTCTCTTTTTTCCATCATTTCCCCTTCTACTTCTCTCACATTTCTCTTTTTATCATGTTCTATTGGCCACTATTCAATGGTTATAAAATAAATAATAAGAGATGATATATTTATGATAAGTAAAATTTTCCCCTAAAATAAATTAGTTAATTTAAAATCTCTAAAACATCTTAATAAAAAAAACACAGATGAGCTAAAAAAAAAAAAAGAATGGTTATATTTACAGTTCCATTTTTCTACAGTTGTGAGTTGTGACAAAAAGATTTAATTGCTACAAACACATATTCACTAGATCCACCAACGAATTCTGATAAAAAATATGTATGTAGCAAATAAAGTATTTCTGCGAAAAAGACAGAAATACATTTATCTTATATTTATCACCATTTTATGTTTACCACTTGTTTGATTTTCGACGAATCAATTTGACGTTAATTTTAAATTAATTCAATGATAATCAAACATCAGATAATAAGTGTGATAAAGTATAACCTTCCAAAAAAAAAAAAAAATACAGATAAAAAAAAAATCTCAAATTTATAAAAAATAAAAATATCATTATGAAATACCCAACTCTTACTTAACACTAAGTCACTAACCATTCTTGATTTTATTTAACTTTTTAATAAATAAAAAAAAACGACCCTTGGGAAACTTGGTCAGAAAGAAACTTGTTAATAATTTATATCAAAATAAGACTACTTTTTTTTTTTTTTTTTTTTCCGAAACTTGTTGATTACGTAGTATGTGCGGTTTTCTGAAATTATATATACTTCTACATACATAGGACTCCTTGCATTTGCATAGAGATAAGTCACGACCCCCGAATCTCCGTAGTACTAGTAGTAGTCCAAACCCATTTGTGTGTGTGTGAGTGTGAGTGTGAGTGTGTGAGTGATGGCGAAATTGAAGGTTGGGGGTACATGGGCAGGGGTAATAGAGGTAGAGCTTGAGACATGGACGATACCAATGTTGAGGGAAGAGGTTGCCAAACGATCAAACTGCAACGCTGACTCCATCAACTTGATATGTGCCGGAAAGATTCTCAGAGACGGTGACGGTGATGTTGATGGTGATGATGGTGTTGTTGCACAACAAAGCTTGACCCAATTGGGTATTAAGAACAACGCCAAGATTCTCGCCACTCGTATCTGTCTCGAAGAAGGCAAATCCATCAAAAGGGAGATCGTCGCCGAGGAGGAACGCTCTCTCAGGCTTTCCAGGATCAAGTACTCAATTCTCTCTTTTAACTATTTTAATTTTCCCCCTATATCAATTTTCAGAAATTATTATGATCATCAATAATTAAAATAAAAAATTATTTAGTATAATTTCGTATTTTGTTTAAAATTTTTATAATCACCTTGGCAATCATACAGATTGTGGCAAATTGGGACTGTGCGATTCTCGTGATTTGAACTTCTATAATTTGGGAGTTGAGTGAAGTTGTGCAGGCTGAATAAATTTGAGTTTACTTGATTTTGAATTATTTTTAATTAATAATTTTTTCCTCATTAATTTATTTGTTTTGTCTATTTTAAGTAAGGATAATAAAATGAAATAGATTTCATTTATTTTAAGAATACTGTAAATAGAAATTAATTTTCCAATACTATTTTTTATTATGAACTCCAGACATGAGAATTGATTTCTAAATTAAGTCAATTCAGTTTGATTAAAATCGAGTGAATTTCTTATTGTATTTATTAAACATGATGTTCCTTATTCCTTAATTTGGAATTTCACCGCTGACCTACCTTCTTTGAATATGACATTTTTTCATAAATTCAATTTTATTTTGATTTTTAAGTTTTTTGAACTCACCGATTTTTTTCAAGCTAATCCATGATATATAATATAATGATTCGTTAATTATGGGGAGCTGATAATCTCAAACAAAGTTTTATTTGTACTCCAAGTCCAACAATGATCAATCTCTTACAGTCTCAGTCTTTACCAGTTTCATAGCCTAATAGCTTTGATAAGCAAAAAGAAAATTTGATTTTTCCTTCATTTTGATGCTTTGTCTGAATCTCTTTTTTATCTAAAGCTTACTTCCATCTGATGCAAACAGGGCAGCTGCCACTGCAATGGCTGAAAGGCATGCAGATGGTTCATTACCTGTTGAAGACTTCAACGTAGAAATTGAAGATCAAAGTGGAAAAAAAGTTCATTTAGGTTCTGAGACTGATCAGAGGTATTTATCCTTGTGGCATTTTCATGCTTTTAGATGCAGGCAGTTAAGAGCCTAGGTTCTGTTTTCACTGTTGAAGTAAAGTTTAAGCTGACATTTGACAGGGCCATAATGATGGGACTGATGCTCGATGCAAATGGAAAGCGTCTTATTCGACAGGGAAACTACAACGATGCACTAGAAGTGCTCACCATGGGAGAGGTCAGTTCATGATTTTCCCCGTGTTGTCTAGGGCTATTATTTGTTACAAATGTCTTTTTCAAGTGGTATAGTCCTGAAGGGGAATGGTGCTATCAATTTACCCTGATCACTGTGTTGCTCATTGTAATATTGATGAACAGGCGCTTAACCATTGAGTATTGTCTAATCTAAGTTAAAATGGCTTTATTAGGATATAGGCCATGTTAGGTAACAGACCGAGGACTTCATCATTCACTCTTAATTCCCAACAGGACAAGAATTTCCTAACTTCCCAAATATAATTTCCTTATTATCCGTAGCATCTATGCCTGTTTAGTCCTTGAGCACCTTCATGAAAGATTTTTTGTACTCTGTGTTTCTGTGGCTCAGAGTTCATGAGGCCACACTCATGACCGGACTCCGTCTTATCAAGTCCAGATTTTTCTCTTTCCAAAAACTGATTATTTTAGCCCTGAAATCAATGGTTGCATGATGTAGTCCTTTCCTTTTGTTTCAACATAGTAAATTTACAAAGTGTTGACCTTATTTCTTTTGCAGGAAGCATTCTCTCTTTGTGATCCGAAGTTCCTTGAGGTGAGTGATAAATCTATGTCTACATCTGGGTATTTGACAGAACTTATGGCAAAAATGTAGACTGTTTAAAAATCATGGGAGCAAACTCACTTCCAAAAGGATAGCTTGCTAATGTATAATGGGCTAAAAGTAGTGGCACTAAACTTTAATAAGGTGTAAGCCACTTGGACTGGGCTAGTGCTAAGGGTGTTGGGTAATTTTGTTGGGTAAATTACACTCCCCTCTTCTGAGAAATACTCAAATTATACTGCCTTCTATATTTTTAAAATTTACATTCCCTCCTTGAGAGCTGAAATGTGCTATAGTTTAGTCTAATTTAATGTAAACGAACCAAGAGGTGAACACCTATGAATAAATCTCCTAGTAGGGGTAGGGTATTTTTCATCTCTCTGCAACTTTGAGTGTCACCAATAGCTAATTTTGAATACCATATTATCAATTTTAGGACTTTAGAAGATGAAATAAAGTTTTAAACACCCCTACTATCAGTTTTGAAACTTCACCTAAAATCTTTATTTTATCTTCTAAAGCCCCAAAGTCTATATTAAGGATTCAAGACTAGCTGTTGATGATATTGAGTCATAGAGAGAGGTGGACAGTGTAATTTAATCACCTCTCAAGGGAAGAGAGTGTACTTTACGCTAACTTGTATGAGGTAATAGTTTCATACCTCAATGCTACTTATTGTTGACTTGTGTCCCTGAGCTCTTCCAAGATAATAAAAATTATTTGAGCCACCAGTATCATTAATGCCTGTTGGTTTCTTTTCATAAAATTCCATACATATTTCCTCATTGTGTGAATTTGAACCGATATCTGCCTTTCTGTCCATTCAGCTTATTGACAACGTTCCAATATTGCAAATAAACATGGTGTGGTGCTACTTTATGATCCGAGACATCAGATGGCTATCAGAGGCAGGAAAGCGTCTTGAAATGGCTAGGGCAGGAATTGAACGGGCTCATGGGAAGGATTCTCTCCGCCTCAGACTTTTACAGGGTGGTCGTTATCCTGAACTTGCATTGTGAGTTTTTACTTCTTTGTCTCTACTGTCCAGCTTATTTTTCCTTATAAAATCTTAAAAAAAGATTCTTAGGCTTCAATTGTAAAGTAGATTAATTTTTAGTAGTTATCTCGAGTTTTTAACTATATTAATGAATAGGACCTTTTTTTTTCCTTATGAATAATATTAGGACTTTGTATACAGGCATTTGAGACTGGAGTTGCTTGAAGGAGTGGTGGCCTATCATAGTGGTCAATTGGATAAATCAAGAGCAGCACTGACTTCTGCAAAAGCAAAATTTGTCCAGGTTAATTGAACTATGAAAACATATTGTGATTAATTATGAGTATAAAGAAGTCTTGAGTATCAGATTTATTTAAAAGATGAAAAGTTCTATGAGAAAAATTTTAGTGAAGTCCAAGCTGCTGTAGTATTAAGAAGCCAACATTAAATTTTGTTACCTTATATATTGCTAAAACATTCTTCTTAATTTTGATAATTTTAACATAACATATATTTGTTTACACGTTTTTTGGTCTCCTTGGAAACGACCTCCTGCTTTATTGCAGCTGCAAGTTTCAGATGAAGCCTTATCACTTGTTATGAGCATGGGATTCAAAGAACGTGATGCAAAGAGAGCACTGCGAATGAACAATCAAGATGTGGCCGGTGCCATTGATTTTCTTATTGAGGAGAAGGCAAAGAAAGAGCAAAAACGTGAGGAAGATATTCAGCGAAGAAATGAAATCATGTAGGTGACACTTGGAATTTATTTATCTACAGCTAGTCTCTTTCGTATCTCTCAGAATAATTCTAAATAACCTCCTCCCACAGGGAACAAAAGCAGTATGGGATGACCCCGCTAAAAAAAGCTGTAGATCTGCAGAGATTGGAGGAATTGGTCTCTGTTGGGTGAGTATATTTTGGTCTTGTTGCTACTTTGTGATTTAAAATAAAATCTTTGGCTTGTTGTATCAAGAGCTTGTCAGTAGCTATTACGATCCATTGCTTATGCTTATAATTTTTTTATGTTGTGACATCTGTCATTGCACATACATTTCTAATGTCGACATAATGCTTGTATTTATTGTCGGTTGCTGCTAATGATCTATAACTAAAAAGTTGCTCCGCAGAACATACTATATAAAGTAGTTAAACTTTATATTGCTGATTCTCTCAGGTTTGACAAGGAACTTGCAGCCGAAGCCCTTCGGAGAAATGAAAATGATATTCAGAAATCATTGGATGATTTGACAAATCCAGAAACCAATTCTGCTTTACAGGTTATAGGACTTAATATTACATGTCTCACTGAAGTTTGATATAATTTAAACAATATCTCCACTGACTCTCATCAACATGAAGGTTCATATCGAGTCAAGGAAAAGGAAGAGACAGAAACAAGCAACAGAATCTGCAATTGAAAGATTTGTACAGATGGGTTTTGAACGATCAAGAGGTACTGAAGTTATTTAGATTCAAGGCAAAACGCATGGTTATATAGTTGTGTACTGAAGTTATTTTGATTTTGCTTGTTGTTTGCAGTGGTTGCTGCTATTGAGGCTGGAGGCACCTCAGATGAAGAAGAAGTAATGCAAAGACTGATAGCACAACCTGATGCAAATTCAACCGCAGCTTCCAATGACAGTGCAAATTCATCTGCTGTTAATGTTAGTTCGGATACTGTAGGCCTAATTGATGATGTTCAAGGTCCATCCCATCTCAGTAAAGCAGAAGAGCGAGATGTGGAGATGGAAGATGAGCTTTCTGCAGATATAGCGAAATCAGATTCCTTGACTGATTATGACATCGAAGTTAACATAGAAGGGGAAGCCATAACTGAATACTTGTCTTTGGTGGAGTCAGCAGCAGGCAGCAGCGGGAAAATGTTAACTTCCCAGTAAGATAATGATTGTCATAAATAATCATCAGCTTCTGTAAATAGCAGAATGATATATGATATAGGTGATATATGTTTCTGCTTTTCGTTTTTGGGACTGTGGAGTGTTTATATATAATATCATGGGCAATACTTTTCTCATGTTTCATGAGAAAACATTCCTCATGCCACACACCCATAGAGATTTGGGCCTTTATTTTCTTTTTCTTTTTTTAAGTGTAGGACCCACTAAGGTTGTGTCTATGGTAGGAGATTAGTATCTCATATTGCATGAGAGTCTATCATATTAAATTCTTAGTTTGAACTTGCCACAACCAATGTCTCTTGGTAACAATCTACAGTTAAATCAGAAGCTTAAATAAAAACATGGGGGCATGTCATCACATAGTAAACATGAGTGGTGACATAAAAACGAGGTCTTATAGGAGTGCTTGCATAACGTGGGGCCATTGAAAGTGGTGTGTAATGAATATTTGAAATCAGTATGATCAGGGTAGGAAGGAATTAAAGTAAAAAACACCTATTTCATGTGATTTCATACTGCAGTCTCTCATAACTTGTTTGTTAGTGTATTGTTGAGCATGATACCTGCATGAACACCGTAATATACTATTTACATATTTATTTACCAAATGATTTATCATGTGAAACAGTTCTCCATGTTGAGCCCACTACGTACTTAGGCAACAGACACTACTAAAAGTTGCCTTTGAGATTTATATTTTGGACGAGGATCCTTCAATGTAGAAATGTCATAACTATTGCAACCCAAAAAAAAAAAAAAATGTCATAACTATTTTGGTTAAAGGCAGGTGCTCTTAGTAATACACTAACAAGAGGAACTCCTAGAAGCCAAAACAACCTGTATAATGCGGATTTTTTTTTTTTAAATTATTATAAAAATGACATTTTGATAATTGATTTTATTTTTTTATTTTTTCCGAAAGAATTCAAATATGGTATGTTGAGTGAATAATATCGTATGTATAGTTGGTAATTGCTTGAATGATAAAGCTATTCATGGAATGATGATTGCGAATCAAATATTTAAATTATTTAAAAAATCAATATTAAATTATTATTATTGATAAATCTAATAGTTTTAAATTTGTAATAGTTACAAAAATTGTGTAAGATATTTAGGAATTATTTATGGTGTTAATTATTATTTGTTTAAACAAATATAATATTGATTTCTAAAATAACAATGATTGTATTATTTATGATCATACAGTAAGTATTATTTATTTATGATGCTTACGGAAAGTGATGAAATAGAAATGAGAGAGGCAATAAAATTCGAGATGGGGTGTCAAGATTATATATCACATAGCGCAATTCCGTAAAACTCACTACAACTATTAATGAGAGCGTTCGCTACAGTAGCGAGTCCAACAGGATTATGCTAGCGGATCGATTTGGTTAGTGGGCGCAAGAATTTTCACTACATTTGATCGTTAATTTTTTTACAAACTATATTACATTAACTAATTGTCTAATTGTTTTGAAATCTGCATTACTTACATCGTTTTGCCACACTAAACCACCTTAAGTTGTCAACAAGGTATATATATATATATATATATATATATATATATATATATATATATATATATATGTTATGGAATATTTCTATATTCTAATCATCTACCCAAGGATCTCTTAAAGGATAATTCTTCAATTATCCTAACAATATAAAACAGTAAGACAGCTAAGGATAGAGTCCCTATTCCAACAAAAAGGAAGTTAAATCTTACTACAACTGGGAGATCTACACAAACTCAAGAGCTAACCCTTATAAATAAGAGGTTAAAGACCCCAGGTATACACTCTGAACTCATTTACTACTTCTGCCCACACTGTGCACACACCCATGTCTCGACTATAAGCCTATTGCTTGTGCGCAGTGATGGGATATTGGCTATAAGCCAACCAAGATACCTATACATAGGATATCTCTGAGCGCATACCCTTGAGGTATCATTATACGGTTTAATAGAACCAAACAATATATATATGGAAAAAATTATTTTACAAAAATATATTGCATTAACTAATTATTTTTTTATCATATACATTTACTAAAATACTCTTCATTAATTTACCTAAAATTACAAAAACACGCTTCATTAATCAAAACGACGTAGTTTTTGGATAGCTATAGATAATTTTATCTAAACTTCTAAAGTGGCTGTAGAAATATTTACCTATATATATATATATAGTTCACTTTTTCTACAGTCAATGTAGATAACTTATCTACATTGAGCTCAAAACGATGTCGTTTTGAGACAGAAATCAAGGTATTTTTGTAATTATAATTTATTTTAGGGTTATAATAGTCTTTTTTATTATAATTTTTTAATTTTTAAATTTAAAACGACGTCGTTTTGAGAGCGAATGTAGATAACTTATCTACATTCACTTTAGAAACGTTAAAGTCATATATATATATATATATATATATATATATATATATATATTTATATATGTATGCATTTACTATTAAACATGAATGTGTGAATTTACAAGCCCCCAATAATAATCTAGGAATCCACATTGATAAAAATGGAAAATGCTATATTGAGTATAGTCACTTCAATATTCATGAATAAAAAAACGGTAACAGTAGATTCATATCAATTACTGACTTGTACCGTCATTAAGTACCACATGGTAACATGGGAAAAATTTCTAAGCTCCCATCCCATATTAATTTCTAGTGGTCCCTCTACAGTCCACTGACCCAAGCAAAAGGGAAGTGTACTCATCGAATTTACCATTTCATGAAATTTGATTCCTCTCCTGCATATATTATTAATTTTGTTGAAAAGAGTGTTTGTTATTTAAAATAATATAATTTTGTGTCATTTTTAATAAAATTATATTATTTGGTGTGTTTTGTCATTTTTTTATAAAATTAGAAAGAAAGAAAAAATAGAGAAAAAAGAATATAAAAATATGCCAAAATAATATAATTTCATTAAAAATGACGTACCTCTGTGTCAAAGCATTTTTTTCTTTGTTCAAACTAAGGAGGTTTTTCACTTCTTTTTTATGACATTGCTCGCTTCAGAGATTCTTCACTATAAATAAAAAACTTTTAATGGTTAAACTTAATGTTATTTATGACCTGCACCATCCTTTACATATAAGCAATCATAAGATACTCAAGTTCAACAATCTGTATCCTTATAGGAAAAGGAATAAGATTCCTTTCAGTTTTAGAAAGAAAAAATAAATGCAGAGGTTACAATACATGGTTTAAGGTTTCTCTAGGTATAAATATATAAAAGAGTATGGATCTATATAAGATTATATGAAAAAAAGATGAGAAAAAAAAAATATGAGTCCATATATTTTTATATATACATAATAGGTAATTTTTATCTTTTATAATATGATAACCCAATAATAAAAGACTATTTATTCTGACTTTTTCTCTCTTTTACGGTAGGAAATGTGCAGCTGCCAATATTACTAGTAAAGTTATTACTTTCTTAAGGTGCAAGTAAGCTCACATACACGTCTGACAGGAACAGGGACCCATCAACACCAACATAGTTAATATTAATAATAGTTGGTTCCAATGGCTTTTTCTCACCTCACGTGGTTTTCCACTTTTCTTATCTTTTCCCGTCAGTGTTTCGGTGGCAAATGTGTTGGGTTCACCAAAAGGTTTTCCGCCAACCACTATCTTCTTTTCTATGCTACCACTACATATTTCGGGACAGTGAAGTGTTGGACAAAAAAATTATCACGTTCTCACGCTAAAAAATAAATTTTGTCAAAATGTCACGCGGCATAATTCGTTACACAGTGTAGTGAATTATGTATGCAAATAATTCGCTACACAGTATAACGAAATATAGTTCTGATGTGGCATATTTCGCTACAATGTGTAGCAAATTACTTGCATGCATAATTCGCTACACTGTGTAACGAATTATGCCGCATGATATTTTGACAAAATTTACTGTTGACGTAGCAGTTTAACAATTTTTTTGTCCAAACGTGACAAAATAGTCACTGTTCCACATATTTCATTACTTATTATAAAATTAACTAAAATGAGGCCAACGAAAGCCAGAAATAGTGGGCACCATCGAGTCACCAACGCTGTTGGGTTGGTAATGGAAATCAAGAATTCATATTCTATTTATAAAAAAAAAAAATCTTAGAGATACGAAAATACCATAACATACTTTGCCAATCTTCGCATGTGAATAATTCTCATTACTTTTTTTTATTCCATAACTACTTTTATATTTTATCAAAATTCTATTTTTTTTTATGAATTTTGCATTTGTCATGTTGTGTGACAAAAATTAAATTTTTTATATCTACATAGATATTTGTTATATTTTTTTCTTTTTCTTTTAAATAATTGTCGCTATAGCATTATATAAGAATTGTCATGCAACATGATATTTGTTTTTTTCCATTTTTTATATGTCTTTCCACCTTGTTCTTTTGCTTCATTTTTTGTCCTTCTTTTTATTTATTTTATCTACTATTTCTATTTTTTTCACACTCATTTTATTAATTAATTTTAAATTTTAATTTTAGAAATATACACAATTATGTTTAGTTGGAACAAGGCCACAATTAGATCACTAGTATAAAGTTTGACATAAGCTGAACAGTGCCAGTGACTTCTATTGGAAAATGAACTTCACTAGTATGTATGGTTAATATAATCTTTTCAATTAAACGATGGTTGATGCTTTAATAATTCAACTATCTAAGCCTGCAGACAATATCTATATTTAATGTGCGACAAAACTGAGTGTCACTAGATGATGTGAGGATCATGTATATTTGTGTGAAAATCATAACATAGTTTGATGAGAACTACATGAAAATCATTATTGCTAATTAAATCGAAGGAGGAAAGGAACAATTGAACACTTTATGAAACATCAACTACTATGTATGACTCAACGACCTCTCCCACGATGAAACTGTTAATTCATGAACAGTAGGATGGGACCCACCAGAAAATAAAAAAGTAAAAGGAAAAAGGAAAAAATATATATTGCCATATTGGATTTTCAGATTCTCTGTTCAGAAAAAAATCATGTTGTTTGATTTTATTTTATTTTATTTTTGATAAACCATTATTATCTTTTACATGAGCCAAATCCTATTGGAAGAGGGAATATTTATATTATGGATTTTATGTTTATCATGTAACATGATATAACATCATTTTTTTACACATACATTAAAGAGGTGGGGTCCACATGTTTTTCTTTCTCTTTTATCATTTCACTTTCTCTCTCCATTTGTATGTGTGTTGGAAACAACACTTAAATCATATAACATAACACTAATAAAACACTTATATTATCGGGGGATTGGCTAAATTTTTATATTTTTTAATAAATCACAACTATATTCGAGTAGAAAATATCCGCTTCATTGTAACACTAGCTCTCGAAATTTTTTTGCTTGACCAGAATCAAGGTTGTCCTCTTTGGCACGTTGTTTGATTTTTCTTCTCTGCTTTTGTGGCGTTAACGTTAAGGTTGTGAAAAGTGAAAACCATTCTTCTATGTGACAAAAGGACGGCACAACAACACCACTTGTTTTTCTTTCATTTATCATATTTCAAACTCTCTTGCTGTGTCGTCGTGTTTTTGGATTTTTCCTTGCAAAGTTTGAAGCTTTTTCCCATAATTTGTCATCCAGATAAGTTTCCCTCTCTTCCCAAATTCTGGGTTTTAATTTATCACATTTCAAACTCTCTTGCTGGGTCGTCGTTTTTTCGGATTTTCCTTGCAAAGTTTGAAGCTTTTACTTTCTTGCACCTGACTTATTAAAATAAAAAAAAATAAAGAAGTATCTTTCTTTCTTTGTGACTTGACTGGATTGAACTTTGAGTGTTGTGGTGTAACACAAGTCATTGCTTGAATTAGTTTCTTTACTATTGGATTGTTGGGTTCAAATGGGGAAGAAAAAGAAGCAAGTAGGAGAAAGAAGGGAAGATGGTGGAAATCAAAGCAAAGTGGGAGATAGCAGCCCCAAAGAATATGACAATGATACTATGGTATTTATATCCATGTCTCAAGAGTTGAAGGATGAAGGGAACAAGCTGTTCCAAAAGAGGGACCTTGAAGGAGCTATACTAAAATATGAAAAAGCCCTCAAATTGCTTCCAAGAAATCATAATGATGTTTCCCATCTGCGGAGTAACATGGCTGCATGTTACATGCAGATGGGACTTGGTGAGTACCCAAGGGCAATTCATGAATGCAATTTGGCTCTTGAAGTAACACCAAAATATAGTAAAGCTTTGTTGAAGAGGGCAAGGTGCTATGAGGCTTTAAATAGACTGGATTTAGCTCTGAGAGATGTTAGTACTGTTTTGAAGATGGAGCCAAATAATCTAATGGCATTGGAGATCTCAGAAAGGGTGAAAACTGTGCTTGAGGAGAAAGGATTAAGAGTAAACGATACAGTAATTGAGTTGCCTCCAGATTATGTTGAACCTCCTAATGCTTTGCCTCCAGAAAAGGTAGTGAAAGAGAAGACACGCAAGAAGAAGAGCAATAAAGAGGAAGAGAAGGCTCCTGATAACAAAATTTTAGAAAAGCAAGCCAAGGAGAATTTTGAAGAGAAGGCTGAGGAAAGTTTTGTAGTCATACAGGAGAAAAGCAATAAAGATGAAGAGAAGGCTCCTGATAACAAAATTCTAGAAAAGCAAGCCGAGGAGAATTTTGAAGAGAAGGCTGAGGACAGTATTGTAGTCGTACAGAAGAAGACTAACACATCCAAAAAGAAGAAGGCCAAGGAAAAAATTGATGAGAAGAAGGCTGATATAAAGGAGGTTGTAGAGGAAAAAAGTAATGGCAAAAGGGAAGATGTTCCTAAGAAAACAGTAAAACTTATTTTTGGTGAGGATATAAGATGTGCTGAATTGAATGTTAATTGTAGCCTGTTGCAGTTAAGAGAAGTTATTTATGACCGATTCCCAAGCCTAGGAGCTGTACTTGTCAAATACAGGGACCAAGAAGGTGATTTGGTCACAATCACTTCCGATGATGAACTAAGATGGGCTGAAACAGGATCTCATGGTTCTATCCGGCTTTACATAGTAGAAGCTACTCCTGAGCAGGATCCATTTTTTGAGACACTTAAAGGAAAGGAGGGAGAAATGGTTGGCCTTAATAATGCACTTGAGAATGGTTGTGTGGTAAAGGCAAAGGAAGTTATTAGCTCGTCTTGCATTGAGGATTGGATAATTCGGTTTGCCAAACTGTTCAAGAACCACGTTGGGTTCGAATCTGACAGATATTTGGATTTTCATGAACTTGGGATGAAGCTCTATTCTGAGGCTTTGGAGGAGACAGTTACAAGTGAAGAAGCACAAGGCCTATTTGACATGGCTGGAGATAAGTTCCAAGAGATGACTGCTCTAGCATTGTTCAACTGGGGAAATGTGCATATGTCTAGAGCAAGGAAGAAAGTATATTTCACAGAAGATTCTTCTAAAGAGCATCTACGTGAACAAATAAAAAGTTCATATGAATGGGCACAGAAAGAATATGCAAAAGCAGGAGAAAAATATGAAGCAGCCGTTAAAATTAAGTCAGATTTTTATGAAGGCTTCCTAGCACTAGGGCAACAGCAGTTTGAGCAAGCAAAACTCTCTTGGTATCATGCACTCAGTGCTAATGTAGATTTAGGAACATGGCCGTCCACTGAGGTTCTTCAGCTTTACAACAATGCTGAGGATAACATGGAGAAAGGAATGCAGATATGGGAAGAATCAGAAGAGCAGTACAGTAAAACCTCTAATTCAAAGGATGTTATATTACATTTGCAGAACTTGGGGTTGGATGGGCTGTTTAAAAATATATCGTCAGATGAAATTGCAGCGCAGGAGGCAAATATGAGGTCTCAAATAAATCTCCTATGGGGTACCATGCTATATGAACGCTCAATTGCAGAATTCAAATTAGGGCTACCGGTGTGGCATGAATCTCTGGAAGTTGCAATTGAGAAGTTTGAACTTGCTGGAGCTTCTCCCACAGATATAGCTGTAATGTTGAAGAACCACTGTTCAAATAATACTGCAGTAGATGGTATGATTTTAAGACAATTAGAAACTTCAAATAGATATAGTGTTATATATTCATATTTACTAACTCTTTTCACTAACAGGTCTAGGATTCAAAATTGATGAAATAGTACAGGCATGGAATGAGATGTACAAAGCTAAAAAGTGGCCAAGTGGAGTTCCATCATTTCGTTTGGAACCCTTATTTAGAAGGCGAGTTTCAAAAATTTATCATGCCTTTGAGCTTGTATGAGTTGCATCTTTTCTTCAAGTATGCATTTGAAGAATAACAGAGCCAACAGTCACTTAGGCTGCTTCTGTGCCTGAAATGCTATTGTCATCACAAGGTAACTGAGAGTCTGACACCCTTTACTTATAACAATCATTTTGTTGGTTTTCTCGAAGTAGTAGTTTTGGTTGTCTGTAACATTTAATAATCTGCTTGATTTGTTTTCTAATATATTCATCTGCATAGAATAAGTTTATGACAGCATCTTGTAGAAGTATCTTGCAGATTTTAGCATTCATTAGTAGCTTGAAAATATTGGCATCTATCTTAATGTTTTCGCGTTTTTGGTTTCAGGGTATTTTCTTGCTTAAACTTTAGTAGAACTGTTCCTTATGCAAATCCATTTTACAATGCACAAACTGCTCAGTAAATCCCTTCTTTTGGTAGCAGTAGAAAATGGTTGACCAAGTGTAGAAGAGGTTTTTAGATGATATCCCTAATAAATACACCCTTCATGTAAAATACAATTCTTTATGATTTTGAAACTGATATATGAAACCCTTTTTAAGATGTTATTTGATAGGGGAAGGTTCAACTTATAGCGGTATAACAATAACAAGTCTTGTACTCAATATTAGCCATCGACTCTAGTTGCATCTATTGACTCACATGGCTAATAAGTTAGAGCTGTTTCATGCAAGTGGAATCAATGGTAAATAAAGTAAGAATTGTTATTTCTACCCGGTGTAATTTAATCCTTCCCCTATTTGATAAATGAGTTTAGATTCCTACATCTTTCCCTCCGGGCAAAATAAAATGCTATTTCAGCAAAGCTTATTTTTGGAAAATAATTTTACTTCCATTAGAACTAATAAATATGTTTATAGTCCAAACTCAACTCTTCTTCATGGATATTTAGAAAATATAATATTTCAAAGAATTGAATGTTCAATTGAATAAATTGATGGAATTGGAGCAAACAAATTTGTATAAAAATATTTTTCCTAATCTTTTTATCAATGTGCAATGATGAAGATTAGTTGCAGAGATGATTTTTTTTAACATATATAGTTTGTATAATAATTTATTGCATTATGATGTGAATTCAAATAATAATTTGTTGGCAACAATGTTATGTGCATGACTGTTATTGCTTAGTTATATTGCTTACCGTCCTTTATTCCTTTCTATGCTAATATGCTTCCTTTGTTCATAATATGATTATAGTCATCTTTGATGACAATCTTTGTTCGCCTATATTCTGCAGGTTATTCTTGCCACTTCTAAGAGTTTGCATTCAACATTGTACTCAAAGAAGCTATTCTTTTCATTGCGCTTACATGTTCCAAGAACGGAATTCAAGTTCCTTTATACACTGGGAATATGGAGTTGCAGGAATGTTTCTGCCTTTGTTTCGTGTTGCCTTCCCTTTAACTATTAAGTTTCTATTGGTTGGTGGGATATTGAATTTGTACCAAAAGCAGCGGGAGAGATATGTAGTTTATTTGTCTTGTTTTCCTTCTTGTTCTGTTATTTATCCTTTTGTTACTATTCTTTGTTCCTTGTTGAGCTAGTCTTTCTAAATGAGATTTCCTCGTAATAGACTATTAAACATAAAAAAATTATTTATGCTTCTTGTCTATGAAAAGTCATCACTTTTATCGACACTGCATTTTATTTGCGGACATTACAATAACCTTTTACATTTAGTAAAGGTCAACTTGTAGAAGAATAGTGTTTGCACATCCCAAAATGTTTAGTTATGCATTGATGTATTATTGTCTATGATAAAATTCAAGTAGTCAAAACCATTTAGTGCAGTTCAATCTGCTAACTAGTAAACTTTACCTATTAAAAACCCAATAGAAACACCTAGTGAAAAAGGTTAAAGTACGCTAAAAGAGTGGGGCATGGAGTAACTGATGCTAACTAAATATCAGATGTTAATTGGAATAATAAAATGTCGAATGCCAACCACAAACATCACATATTAACACCAGCCAGTCACTATTGAGACAACGCAACTATAGCTATTAGTCTAGAATCAAAGCATTAGGTGGAACTGCAAAATGGACGCAGTCTAAAACTTGGTTAGCCCAGCCGAAAAATAAAACAACAGAAAAAATGGGTTGCAGGGAACGAAACATGGCACATAGGACCGGCTTGCCCTAACTGTTTCCCTGTATTGTAACATCTAAAATCTATGAACTTCTCAGGAACATTGTCATTATCCGTGGTCGCACAGCACAATAAAAGCCAGTCAACATAGGCAAAGCAGTCTGATACAATGAACAATTACCATACGAAGCTATTATAATAAGCACCGTCACCCTGGTTCAAACATTTGTATTACATACATCAGAATGTTATTACATAGTGCAGAGACAATATAGATAGCCCCGCTAGGCATCCACATCCCAGGAAGAAAGGAAAAAAGAAAGATTTATGTACAATTATTCTAAGACGGGGGAATACAAACATGTAAAATAAAGCATAATTACATTCTCGCATGCCCAATATTTTATGTACATTCTTCACAATCACCCCTCATCTTCTATTGCTTAATAGTCATTCATAATTATCCACAACGGTAGCTATAAATATGTACAGAGAATTGTTCACCAGGCAGATAGCAGTTCTCTCCATTCTACTGGTCTATTCTGGCCGAAAGCTTATTAAATTTGGAAGATCAGCTGACTGAAGCTTCTTAATTTCAGAAGCAGTAACCTTGCAAGACTCCAAGGAAAGAGTGCGTAAATTCTTTAAAGGCTTCAAATACTGCAGTCCCTCATTGGTTATACGAGAATTTGAAACATTTAGCGACCTCAGAGCAGTCATTCCTGTATTCAGATAAAGATACAAAAAGATGTGTTACACGCAGAACAACTTTTTTATTTAATCACTACGGGCAAAGACAGGAATTAAAAACTTAACAAAGAACTAATACTTTCCATCTATTTGTTCTCTTCTTTCAGTTTTAATTCTATTTCTTCAAGTGGTTGCCAATGATCAAACAGGTTAAGCGTGTTCCTTTAGTGACTACAGTTAATTTTTTTCCCGTTTTGCACAAAAATTAAACGACAAATGTCTAGTTGGCATACCAACTGCAAGTTCATTGCACGTGGAGCTTAATTAACAGCCAACTCGAAATTGCAAGAGGTAATAGATCATTGACTAGCCAATAAATGTACTTAATTAAAAATATTTTGTCTGCAAAACATCTGCCAAACCATTTAGATCCTAATCGTTGAAAAGAAGTTGCAAAGAAGATATAAAGTAATAAAGACAAGCAGAAAAATACCAGATATCAATTCCAAAGTTTTATCCGTCAAGTTGCAATTCTGGGACAGGTTTAGCAGTGTCAGGGACACAATTTCTCTTATATTTTTTACACCTACATCAGTTAATTCTCCCCCACATATTTCAAGGGATTGCAGGTTCTTGAAAGCTGCAGCATGAAACAAAAGGAGGAAATAACATATAAGCCAACAAGATAACTTTATGCACAAGGTCATGTAATTGTAGACCCATATTTTCCCATTATGTCAATCAGCACTCATTTCGTATATACTAAAAGAAATGAAAAATTAATAAAAAGTAAGCTGGGTATTGAATGGGATTTCTTAGTACTACAGCCATTTATTATTGTTTTTGTTTTGGGCCATAACACTTTTTTTGTCAAGTATAGGCACGATACAAGAAATATGAATTTATTCTATCGAAAAGTAAAAAGGTACCTAAGTTTACTGCTGATTTCACTAAGTTAAATGATGACATTATGATTAAAAGAAGAGAATTAGACAAAACTTAATGCACTCTCAATAGTTTCCACTAGATTTATATCAATTTTAGAGGGTAGCATGATAAGATAAGATGATCATCATAGTCTACGGGCAGAAAAAAATTCAATATTAAATTTGTAAATATGAGGGAAAACACTATAAACAGAAACCACTTGTTGAAGGAAAGATGGCTGAGCACCCCTTGTTTGGTTGACAAAGACTAGTTTGTCCAGTTCAGCAGTTTTAGATCTTTCATACACAATAAATATATAATAAAGAGCAGAAGCACAATACTTTATGTAGATTTATTTTTTCTCTTGAACTACTATTAACATTTTCATAACAAAACCAAAATATGCAGCCTAATACCCATATGATAAACATCAAATATCCTCAAAAATATAATGCCATGGGAAAATGCTAAGAATCCCCATTGTTACACATGCATTATCTTACAGGTTACACAGTCGCAACATGCAATCAGGTATGTTAAAAAAATCTACTGTAAGTACACACCAAAAAGAAGGAAGGAAATTAACTGTGGTCTAACGTCAGTATACATACATCGCAAATATGCAGTTCCAGAGTCTGTAATACGTGCTCCAAAGAGATCCAATGTTATCAATCCAATCAGACCTATACAAGACTAGCCAATCAGACAGCTAGAATTGAAGCTATTAACAGAAGCAAAATTAATTACAGCTAGTACAGAAGCTAATTACAAATTAATATGAACATTGAAACAGAAAAAAAAAAAAATGGGAGAAAAGATATACCTTACAGCTAGCACCTCATATAAAAGGGACACGATCCAGGTCAGCTCAGGGTAAACAGTATATGGTTGGTTTAGTACAGTTTTGGATGGAATTCACTATATACAGGGTTGTGTAAAAATTAGAACCTTAATTTCAATCAAATCACAGAACCAGTCCCAAGATTATGAACCAGAGATATAATGGTTGCTATTAAGGAAGGAGAAAACGAGACACATTTGGTGAATATGTGTTTCAACTATACAACAGAATTTGGAGAGAAAGACATCCAATTAAATAGGTAGCAAAGTAGTGAAAATGGCATCGTCCCAAAACCGGAAGGAACATTGCCATGGAGTAAGAGAATCTGAGTGGTTTCAATAAGATGATTTTTGCGCTCAACAACCTCATTTTGTTGAAGGATATGAGCACATGAAGTTTGGTAAAAAATGCATTGTAAAGAATTTTGGTAAAAAGGGAACGATAATTTTTCTGAATAATTCAGATTTCTTTCTTGCTTTTCATCAAAGGGATTAGTACAATATATAGTGTTAAGAGTGTTAGTGTTAATAGTGTAGAAGTCCCACATTGAGTGTGTCTCTTTGTATTCTTCAATTGGTTTGCTATATAATAGCACCAATGTTGTGTAGTTTAATACAACAAGGATTACTATCATTTCCTCTTGTATCTATGATATTCAACATGGTATCTAGAGCCTAACAAGAGGAATCTTAATCCGTTTAACTTAGTTCTATTTTCCATAATTTCAATATGGTTATAGAGATATATCATCCTCCTTGAGAGATTCTCGTTGCTATTTCTTTTTTGGGTTTTTCTTAGTATGCTCTGTGACTGCAGCTTAGACTGATCTGTCACATCAGAAAAGAATGATCCTTGGGAAGTTGTTGGGTTGACCACCGTTGTCATTGACCGACCACCGTTGACCGCGTCGTCCACCGTTGACAGCCGTCTCCGGCGACTTTTCCGGTGACTTTTCCAATGACTTTCTGGTGACTTTTTTGGCGATCCACCACCGTCTCCGACGACTTTTCCGACGACCCACCGTCGTCTCCGGCGACTTTTCCGATTCCACGAAGCTTTGTTTTTCTTTAATCTTCTTTCTTCCCAAGATGGAGTATTTATACTATTCATCATCCATCTTGAGAGGGAGCACTGTCCAAGTTGCTGATGTTGTCTCTGCTGATGTTAATTCTGACACTGAAGTTCCTCTTGAGGGGGAGCACTGTCCATGTTGCTGATGGTCATTCCAGCACAATTGTCTTTGCCGATGATAATTCTGGCACTGTTTAGAAGTTCCTCTTAAGGGGGAGCACTGTCCATGTTGCTGATGGCCATTCAAGCACAACTGTCTTTGCCGATGATAATTCCGGCACTGTAGAAGTTCCTCTTGAGGGGGAGCACTGCCTATGTTGCTGATGGTCATTCCAACACAATTGTCTTTGCCGATGATAATTGCGGCACTGTTTAGAAGTTCCTCTTGAGAGGGAGCACTGTCCATGTTGTTGATGGTCATTCCAGCACAATTGTCTTTGTCGATGATAATTCCGTCACTGTTTAGAAGTTCCTCTTAAGGGGGAGCACCGTCCATGTTGTTGATGGTCATTCCAGCACAATTGTCTTTGCCGATGATCATTCCGGCATCTTCCATGTTGATGTTCATTTCGACGCCATTTTTAGCACATTGTTGATTTTTGGTTTCTCATTTAGGAGATTTATTTTGATGTTATGTTACTTGGTCTTTCTTGTAATAAGCTTGTAGCATAGTCAAGGGTAAACCACGGCTGCTCACCAACTGTTAAATGAAATGTCTGAGAGGGATCTTGATGTTGATGTCTTGGTCAGCTCAGTTGTCTTTGCGGATGATAATTCCGGCACCATCCATGCTCTGATGTCCATTCCAACACTGTCTCTTTATCAGCTCTTCAGACTGATGGTCATTCCAGTTGATTTGTTATACTTAGTCATTTCATTTCGTTGATGTAGCATTGTTGTTTTTGGTTCCTAATGGGAGTATTATTTATGTATCAAGCTTGTAGCATATGATCTATATGCTACAGCTTGAGGGGGAGTGTTAAGAGTGTTAGTGTTAATAGTGTAGAAGTCCCACATTGAGTGTGTCTCTTTGTATTCTTCAATTGGTTTGCTATATAATAGCACCAATGTTGTGTAGTTTAATACAACAAGGATTACTATCATTTCCTCTTGTATCTATGATATTCAACAGAGAATAAAGGCTTTACATCAGATCAGCCTTTTTGCTAAGATGAAGGGTACAATCCCTATAAATCAGCTACACACTAATTAGGGAAGAAATCAGCATAAAAAAAAAGGGACACAAAATTGTAACAGATTAGGAAGAAAATAAATACTAATTCAAAAATAAATAACATCAGAATAATTTCCAGAAATCAAGCAACGATGGAGCGTATTTATTGGGGCGCAATCAATGGGGATCAATTATTGTGGTGCATAACAACACATTGAGATGCCATAAATATTTGAAATAGTTGAGATAATATTCGCAGCATTATTTACTTATAAAGTACAAATGGGGATACCAAAGTTTGGGCCACGTTTGATGATTAATATTGGTGGTTGTTCACCACAAGGAACTACCCCCTATACATATACAAAACAGTACATACAACAAAAGCACTGACTTGAAAAAAAGATCCCATGTGAATCCACATAAAAGAAACACACGGCTGGTAAACGAATATACACAAGGAAATGCTTACTCGTAAGATTTGCAAGGCCAGCATCAGTAATCTGCCGGGCATCTAGATTAAGTGATTTAAGATGTGTCAATCCCGACAGCCTTTTCAGGCCACCATCAGTTACTGAGGTAAATGACAGATTTAAATCTTCCAGTTTGTTTAAACCTGGATCAAAGCAAGAACCATATAGTCAACACACGCTTTTTAAGCACCGTCCCTAAAGATCTCTAACAAGAAATAATACGATACACGGATACATATAAATGTGTGTGCATGTATTGTAGATGTAACTGTAAAACAGATTTTTACATATTGACAGTGATTTTAAGGAAAGAAATTGTAAAACCACAAATGCGAGATGCTTTCAATCAAATTAAAATATCACAAGCAGCAACATCATCTAAGAACTGCAGCGGAAGATTGGTAAGACAAAAAATAAAATAAAAGCATCACTTATATTTGGGTAACTTAATGGGCTTCCTGAAATTTATCTTCCAACATATTATACAACAGTCAATGATCACATTCCAAGATTGAACCTCAGATTTAACGCAATAACTGTAGATTAAAGCATACAAAGTCAATTTTCTTACTAGAAGCGGACAAGAAGCAGAAACTGAATAACAAGGTTATTGAGCAATCAACATCACCTTTATCCCAAACTAGTTGGGATAGTTGAACAATATTACATAAGGGAAAACCCCGGTGCACAAGACTCAAACCCGTAACCTTCCGGTTACAAGGAGCAACGTTACTGCTGCTCCAAGGATCACCCTTATATATTACATGCAAAGTTAAAATTTAGAATACCTAGTAGACATAGCACGAGCACTTTAATAATTATCTAGAGTGAAACATACAATATAGAAAACTATCAATAATCTCATTTAAACTCTTGTCCACCAAAAATTCACACACTAATTATTGAGTTTAAATTCTTATTTGATAACTATATATAAGATTGTGTCCTTCAACCTGATATATAACGAAGCCCGCCGTTCCCAACTTGAGTGTCAGACAACACTAGACTTTTCAAGAGAGTGAGGCCTGAAAGAACAAATAACTACAAATTTCATACCGTTGGTGATACTTCAAATCCAAATATTTGATTCCTAAAATCTCATGTTTTCAGAAGAATCAGAACATGTTCCCCCTCAAAGAGAACATTATGGTAGAACAAACTGAATAAATTAAAGGAAAATTTACAACCAAAATGAATCAAAACCACCAGACCAACCATGGTGTGTACCTATATGCTAAACACAAAGTCAAGGCCAAATGCTTGTTTGATTTCCAATGATAATTTTATAATTCAAGTTAAAACCATGTTTTCCAGTTAATTTAAGCCAAGTTCCATGTGGCTATGTTTCATCCCAACAATTGAATGGAAAATACTGAATATTATTTCTGAAGAATATTTTACATGGGTTCATTCTAATTTATAGACCTAGCAAAATAATTACTTGCCTAAAATAATGTCTGATCTATGTTAACAGAATATTTTACAATAATTACAATGATTTACAGAAAATAGTATGTGGAGGATGCGGGAAAGATGTGGGACATTACAACAAAAACTTTTGTGATCTCACAAAATAGGATTTGAAACAAATTAATGCCATTCAGATGAAAATGGCATCAAGGTATAAAGACTCATTTCATATATCCCCACGCATATCAAGAGAACATCAAAAAAGTATAACAAGACTACATAAACATCAAATAATGAAATGGCGATTCAAATCTACACAAAGGAAAAATGTGAAATCACATGGTAAACCTGTCAAATTAGCAAGCCCTTCATCACCTATATTGCAAGAATCCAGATTCAAATACTCCAAATTTGTTAAACCTGTCAAAGAGAAACCAATTAAGGATACAAAGGGCAATTGGAAAAAATAGAATATACAAGTTGTGTGCTTGATGATCACAGGAGCATCAATGACCCAACTCGTGGAATTTGAAACAAGTTGTTCTCCAAATGGAGCTCAAGAATGTGAAGGGTAAGAAAGCATTAGAAACCAAATTGGCAGTTTTTTGGAGAAATTTAAATACTATATAATATGAATAATGTGTTACTAAACATAACGCACTAACTTTTATTTATACTAATATTAAATGCAATCCAAATTAAATAAGGAATCAAATCATGAAATATAAGAAAATACGAAAACCAATCCTAAGAGATAATCTAAGATACTCTAAATTACTCTAAGATACAATCAAAATAATATGAGATATTTTTCATATTCTTCTAACAAATAAAAATAATAATTTACATGTACCAAAAGATATTAGTGATCATAATTTTCTATTAAAAGTAGGTATAGTGAAAAAGATATTTGAGGTCAATACATACAATTTGATTTTTCATATTTGGTATTTATTAACATTTGCTTCATAGAACCTTTTGGAGAGGTATATTAGAGGAGAAACAAGACTAAGGCCCAAGACAAAGGAAGGAGTGACCACGCAGAGGAGAATCTAGAGTTGGATGAAGAGTTAGTTAAGAAGAATGCCACGTGGCAAGCTGTTAACGGAGAGGGTAATGTAGGAGGAGTGGAGAATAAAGAGGGAATGGGGAGCATTGTGGGGTAGGAAATTCTGTCATTGGTGGTGTGGTGGCTTTTGAGACGTGGTGTCTCATTGGCAGGGAATGGTGTGGTGGCTTTTATACTCTTCTCTGTTTGAATTACTGTGACTGTTCTGTGTAAGTTAGTAATAGGTGCCATCAGCTTCAAAAGTTGCATTAATTCATTAAACATATAATGGTAGATGAAGGACTCTTTAGAAAAGATGCATGGAGAAGATCACTTGGAATGTTAATGTAAAATTATTGGAAGGAAAAGGAAATAAAAAAACAAACGAGAAAGGTCATGTGTTTTCAGCATATGAAAAGGGAAAAAATTGAAGAGATAAATTCACATAAAGATTGTAAAAATCAAGTGTATTTTCAAAATGGAGGAAGCAGCACGTGGAAAAGATAATCACACCAATAAGAGTTATAGAGGTTTGAAGCACCTTTCAGATGAACTAAACATGCATCTGTGATGTTGTTAAACGCCAGACTTAACCTCTTCAAGCTTTTAAGACCTGTAGGAAAGGGAGTGCACACTGTAAAACCAACAGTTTGTTGCTTTGTCATCTTTCGAGCTACAAATACGAACATGGCATGGGAGGTCCTCAAATATGTCATTATACGTCTAGTCCAACTTACCAGAAAATTTCTCAAACCCATCGTCAAAGAGACCGCATCTGTTGAGATTTAAGCATGCCAAGGCGGCTAAGGCTGCCCGAGAAAGAAATATATGATTAAAGAACTTACCAGAAAATTTTTAGAGATTAGAACAATAAAAATATGACTTTCCAAGTTCAAACATAATCTTTGCAGCTTTAGAATCACTTGTATGCATGCCAGACTTGTCAAATCCTTAATTTTTCAGACACTCATGCATAACAACTTCTTACAGGAAAAGCAAAAACTTCTGTCTGAAACTAAGAAAATAAAATAATATAAAATGACATGTTAATGAATAAAATGAAAAAATTTGTGTACCGGAAATAGACTCTAAACATCCAGCAGTAATATTGCATCCTTCAACATTTAATGTGGTAAGCTTCTGCAAACCTGTAAACCAAAGAGGAATACCCAAGTAATGTAGAGAGCAGAATAACATAATACATGAATCAAACTGCATTTTGAACTTATTCAATAAACTAAACTCCACTTTGATGATAGCAAGAGAATGATATATTTTCACATGACAGTAAACATTAAATGACAAGTAAAGATGTGTTCATGTGCATAAAACAGCAGCAACAGCTATAGTCATGTTATCACACTTGTAACGGATGACACACACTAAGGAAAATACCTATTAAATAAGCAATCCCAATATCAGTAATGCTGCTGTTGGAAATTTGTAACTCCTTTAAATTTATAAGCCCTGAAACAGTACACAGTGACAGTCAAGTCAAACAGATCATGGCCTAACTTTTTGCATCTAAAAGCAAGAGAAAGAACTGACTAGATATACAGGGATAGATTTAAGGTGTAAAACCACATTTTCAGGTATAAACTCAACTATGAAAAAAAGTATCAAGCTTGAAAACATTTTACTATGAACTTATTGGGGGAAAAACTTCAATGCATAGCATTGCAAAAGCATGCAAATACAAATTGTCATACACAAACAGAGACAGAGAGAGAACACTTGCACAAATAATTGTTTTTTAAGGTAAAGCACAAAATACTAAACCATAAAAATGGCCATTCATACCTTTATGTACAACATCAAAACCTTCTCTTTTCAACAAGTATGTGAATGGCAATGAATACTTGTACTGTGATCATGTATTATCTAGCATATTTCATAATGTTTGCAGTAATCAATAATGAACAAGTTATTTAGAAGATGATATCGTTTGAAAATCACTACCATTACCAATATTAAACATATATTTGCAATTACAATTAAAACATTTAAATTAATCGGCACAAAGAATCTTGATCGTCTAAAATTAAAATTTATGATTAAATCCATTGATAAATATTTATGTGTAAAACATATATAATCATGCATTTAATAATAAATGAAAAAAGTAAAAAAATAATAATAATAATTGGGTGTGACCCCGCATCACTTAAAATAAGACTGCTGATTTAATGAGAACTCAAAAATGAAGTCATCTACACAGGCCAATAAGACAATTAGAATACAAAATATTGGGTCTTACTTATAGGCTATGGTAGTTATGCATTGACTTAAAAAAGATGGTATTTTTCACATGAAAGTTTCCTGATCATCCCTGCTACCCTGAAGGCCTAGATTATAGCTTAAAACAAAATAGTGATCCCGTGCGCAAAAGAGACATCAATAAATATTAGGGTATTATTTTGATAAATAAGGAGGCTAAAATATCATGGCATCTGTAGTTCAAGAACTTGTCTAGTGTATTTGTGTGAAGCGAAATACCCAAGTCTTTGTGGCATTTCTTTCTCAGTGGACACGTAAAAAAGGGTAGATTTTTTGTTTATGAATTATCTTTGGTGTTCCATACATAATAGCTTTAAGGGGGGATTCTTTTGACTGGCAGAGAGATTGGACAGGTCAGAGAGAGGAAAGCATACAAAAAAAAAAGTAAGTAAATTTTGAAGAACAATGTTCCTTCTTCAAGAAAATACTTATCACCCAGTTTTTAGTTTAGCCATCTCTATTTGCTACGTAGGACGTGAGTAAGAGCTAAAGCAAGTAAGACACCAGATATCATATACAAACACTGAGTTTGGATAATTAACTGAACGAGATACAATGCAAGGCCACAGTAATACTGCCATTTTACAACATAAATAAACCTAAAATGCAATAACTGAGATAAAAATCACACCATCTTATGATCAATACCTGAGATAGCCTTCATGTCTGAATCCATAACACATTTACAGCATCCAATATTAAGAGACTCCAGTTTTTTGAGACCTGTATTTAAACAAAAATCAAAGGAAATTAAATCTATTACCTAGTAATTCCAAAATCAATTTTCTATAAAAGGGAACCCTAAGCAGGATAGCATCTGATAATATCTAAATAATAAGGTTTCTTGAAGAAGCCAACAAAAGCTGGCTCAACTTGTAGGATCAAACAGCCTTGACTCAAAGGTCCAGGGGCCGGTTCCTTTTGGTGGTCCTTCATTGGTAAGTCATCCGTATCCTTCATTGGCATGCCACTAAGAACAGGCTACAGCACCAACCAGATACCCTCAACCCCAATAACAAATAATGATGATAATTCATCCAACATTAACTTTAAAGAATAATCTAACTTTAAGTACTTGATATCAGATACTTAAACAGGAGACATTGATTAAAAGAACATGATAGATTCATCATTGAAAAACCAAATAATTTTCTTATCTAAAGTACAAAAAGGTTGGAGTCTATCAAGAAACATAAAAGGAAAACTTGAGATAAAATAACATAGAATAATGATCATATTAATCTTTCTAGCCTGATGAAGTTTATGTCAGGGAACCCAATTACCCATCCATATCTCATACCCAACATATATTTATTAACAATTTTGTTTCATATTACCAGATATGAGGTTGGTTTTTAACAATGTTAAAAGCACAAGTTAACTTCTTACATATAACCGAGCAAGATATCAACAATAGAAACCTTTAAGATGAACAAATCCACCACGAATCTCTGAACACCTCTCAAGGTCCAACTTCTCCAAATTAATTAAGTTGGAGAAAGCACGCATTCCATCAGGCGTGACAGCGCTGCTCTTCTTGATACTCAAGGAAGTCAAGTTTGAAAGACCTATGCAACAAATTTGCATTGATTTTTATGTTAATCAAACAGGACTCTTGAAATTCTAGCAAGTTAAATAATATATTAATCCACCCCAGCACAAAGCCCAATCTCGTTCGAAAAATTTGTATGATCTAATTATGTTTGCAAAATAACAAATCGCATTCTGGTTAAAAAAATAAAAAATTAATAAGGGAAAGAAACAGTAACTCTACCACTAAAGTATTTGAGCCCATGTTCCGAAAAATGGTCACAGTAATTGAGAGTAAGTGCTTGAAGATTTGAACAATCCTTCAGGAGACGCAACCCATTATCTGTCACATGAGAATCAGAAATATCAACTGAAAGTAAAGACGACCCTTGTGAAGCGATGACATCCATCCAACCATCATGCATTCCAGGATATTCACCCAAGTAAACATCCTGCCATCGAAAAACACAGAACCATCATCTTTGTAACTGAAATTCTTAACTGATTAAAACCTAATCAACAAACTTTCAATTCAACCAAGCCAACTCGTGTAGTACCTGAAGAGCACAATCTCGAAAAGCATCAAGAGATGCTTCCGTGAGGCAATGAGAATCCACCAATTCATTGAAGATTTGCTGGCTTATGTCTCGTGGAAGATTTGAAAAGGAATTGTATTTATGAAAATCCTGTTCATGTGGATCAGTTACTGAATGAAAACAAAATTAAATAACCAAAAAAAATTAAAAATTAAAAAAAAAAAAAAATGTACCTCACGTATCTTATTTATGCATAAGTCCATGAGAGAGGGACAGGTACCCCCACCAGGGCAATGATTTGCCTTAGAACTTAAACTTCTGGCTCCTAACCATTTTGTGCTCCCACTTCTACAATACCTTCTCGATACTCCTCCTCTCCGCAAATCAACTTCCATTACTTGTTGATCTCTCTTCCTAGAACATATACCCCCCATCGCCTTCAATTCTTAAGTTTGTCAATAAACTGCAGCAACAAATAACTAAGATAAATAAATACTTCAAGTTTGGGGCAAATTTGATTATTGCGGAATTAATCATAATGATCAAACAAATAGAATAGCAATAATAACATAAATCATTAATATTAACAAAAATAAAAAGAAGATAAATAAGACATAATTGAACACCTGCTCTCATCTAACTTCTGAAAAATGATCGAGATGGTTCCTTCCTATAGATTTTTTTTTTTATTTTTATTTTTTTTATTAGTAGTGTACACAGCGACTGAACCTCTCTTTCAAAAGCAGCTTCAGATATTTATTCAAGCTTAAGATATTTTAACCTTTATTTATTAATCAAGTTTTAAAATCAGAATTACAGATGAAACATGGGGGAAAAAAAAAATAAAAAAGGTGTTGTTGCTTTGCATAGCTTTGATGACAGACCTCAGGGAAGAGAGGAATATTCAGTTGGGGGTAACAGAAAAGGAAAAAAGTTTGTTAACAAGAGATATGTGGGAAGATCAGAAACGGAGAACTAACAAGTAACAACCTGGGAAGGGAGTTTCAGAGAGAGAAACTGAAAGAGCGAGAAAAAAGAAGGGAAGGGGTTAGGTGTGTGCGTGTGTGTGTGTGTAAGTTGAGTTGTGTTGTGTAATGTCAGTGTGAAGTGCGCGAAGGAAGAAGAAGAGGAAGAAGCCACCTGATGGATGACACGTGGCAGTAGCGAAAGAGTGAAACTAGGAGGATTGAGATAAGAACAGAGAGAGAGAGAGAGAGAGAGGGAGTGGGGTCATCCATGCGGGTCCCACGTCCGCTCCTTCCGCTATTAGTCTATTACGTACTATTCTCTTGGATCGTTCCAGAGTGCCTCTTCATCGTCCGCTAACGCTGTCGTTTCTCCTTTTTCTTTATCCACATCTATTTCACAAATTTATTCTATCTACCTACTCTTTTTTTAATATAATCACGTGTTTTCTTTTTAATCATGTAATACGTATACTTTGATTGTTTATAACAAACTAAATTATTATCTTAAATATTTTATTTTTATATAAAAATACATGTATAATGTACAGAATATTTGCTAATTTCTTCTAATTCTTGCTAAATAAAGGAGTTGTTTATTTTTCCGATACTAAATCCTCATTTTTTTTTCAATGAGCACGTGATATTCTTTAATCTTCTATTAAACATTTATTAATTATATTTAATTTATTCAAAACATGAGAAGTTTTTAAATATATTTAGTATAAAATAATATTATTGTATTGCATGACTGGATTCACTTCATAGGTATGAAGCTTGTTAGTTAGTGCGTTGATATATAATTAATTAACATTATAACGCAATCTAACCATTTAATTTATTTTTTATATAATTTTTTAAAACAATACATTAAATAAAAGTAACATTCGTATAATTAAAAATTAAAAAATATAAATATTTTCTTAAATCGAACCTACACTGGATGTGTTCAAGTATATATTTTGCTCCTGATTAAATATAAATGGTTTGTTTCAGTTTCATCTCATCACCTCTAATTCATGAATATCCCATTTAAAGAAAAATACATATATATTGTTTTCCTACCACATGATGACGAAACCAAAGTTGGAACTTGAATTCAGATCGAAATCAAATGATTATGAATGATACACCAAATCCGCTCTAACTTTGAAAATGGCTAACTGCGTGATCTTCACTACAAAGTTGAAGCATTCAAACTCGTCATTATGTTTTTCCTTCTTTATTTGGTGCATGCGTGATATTTCATTTTTTTATGGGAAAAAAACTGTTGTTACTGTAGAATGTTCTTTTTTTTTTTGGAAATATACTGTAGAATGTTCTTCTTATGCGACCGACTAGCAATATTTTTCGTTGATTTTATTTTATTTATTTTTTTAAAATATGGTAGGTCTTACCATATTTTTGTATAAGTGAGAGAAGACAAAATTGTCTTGTCACTGCATGCATACAAAATTCTTTTTCATTTTTATAAATAATGAGTTATATATTACTCTCGTGTTATATAAAAAAAGAATTGTAAATTTATCGATTTTTGTGTTTTTCTTTTTTTTAATAAATAATGAGACACACTACATAATTATATCTATAATATGAGATAATATATCCCCTATTGTATCTTGTTTTTCGCTTATAGAAATCATTTCGTTTTTGTATCCTTTTTAGCAAATCAATCACAGTTTTGAAGTTGAAAATATCATAAGAGAGATCCTTATAACTTGTCATTTTCTCTACTAGTTGTATTATTTGTCATTGTCATTTCTCTTTATTATAATTGGAAAAATACTATATGGATAATTATAAGGGGGGGAAATAAAATGATTAATGTCACTCTCATACTTCATTATGCTTGAAATCATAGTTACCTAAAGTTTTTTATTTTATTGTAGAAATAACTATTAGTTAATGATTGTTCAAGTTTACACACATAGCTCCAGTAATCTAACTTGTTGGACCTGTTAAAACGAATTTATTTTAGGGTTACTCGTTTTTACTGTTACGTAAAAAGTTACAGCAAATATATCTATATTAGGATATGGAGTTGGATCTTGAAATAAAAAAAAATTCCAGAATACGGATTCGGATCCTAATAAAAATAAGTGTTCCTGCGAATTTTCTAGATCTGCAACGATAGCAAAGCTATTAAAGACTTTATTTTATTTTATAACTTAAACATTCACACAAAAATTTATAGGAAAAACACTTCTTATATTGCATGAGAATTATTTTTTCATGTTGTGCCTCTTCGATTTGCGTGTAAAATATATTTTTTAATAAATGTAGGGCTCATCATTAGTTGAATCACAATATGAAAAAATAATTCTCATGCAACATAAGAAAATGAAAATCCAAATTTTATTGGGACTTTGCATCAAACATTAAAAATATTTAATTTTAGAGGTTTGCATTTGTCATTTAATATAACACAACAAACTTTCCTACACACACAAAATTTGTAGGGCCCACACTTTTTGAAGAAAAAGAAAAAAAAAAGGAAATTACGGCACGCAAAACGAATCTCTATAAAATTGCACAATCATTTTTCCTACAACATAACTCTTATAAAACCCTTAATTTTAAAGAGGAAAGTTTCTCCGATTGCTTGAGAAACTATTCTTCCTCCCATTGACTTACCAGAAATTGTGCCTTATTTTTTTTGAAGGGAAACTATTTTCTCGTATGATTGAAAATTTCTATTTTATATTGTGAAATATTGAAATCTGTGCTATTTCTTGGCCTAACTACTTGATATGCCTAAGGCATGAGAAATATTACCTTATAATTAAGGGAAAATTGTTTATCCTTTTAAATGACACAACTTATATCTTTTTACTCTCACAAAGAGGTGGGACCCACACCTTTATTTTTTTTTCAACTCTCTCTCTTCATTTATCTATTTCTTTTTCTCTCTTAAAATGATACAACTTTACATCCTTTAAAATGACAGATACCTTACCCTACTATAACTAATAACATCAATATGAAACTCTTTATTTTTATTTTTTTTTAACTATCAACACGAAAACAACGATAATTAGACAGTAGAATGTAAAAGAGAGATTTGAGTACAATCTTGATTTCACCAAGAGACAGAGAGAGTAAAATATTGATATTATCATTATCCATAACTTAGATATCGTTTATTGCAAGGAATCAATGTATAATAGCGACCAGCAAAAGCAGACAGAAATGTCTATTTCAAACAGAATGGCCGGCAACAGTATGAAGACACGTACACAACGCAAATTTAACGCTATATGACAATCAAATATGTTACTTATTTTTTTGATCAATGAAAGATAAGTGCAGAGCAGAATTAGGACAAACTGTTAAACGATTCATGTTTTATATTATAAAAAACAAAATTATTTTATATACATACATAAAAATATGTAAAATTCATAAATTCATATAAAATGAAGAAAAAGAAAAAGAAATTCATACATTTTTATATGTATATAAAAAATAAAATTATCTTCCACAACATTAAAAAAAAAAAATAATCCAACTTTTAAATACACCATTGACGATGGATCTGTCCAGTACTTCAATTTCGTCTCAAGCATTTGAAAACACAAATCAGTAGGAGCCTCATCGAAAAAAAAAATTATCCGTCAATGGACGAGCTTACATTAGGCAATCACCAGAAAAAAGAAAAAAAAACCCTCTTTAGCAAATATATACGAATTTCATAATGATTTCAAGTCTTATCAGCTTTAAGAACGGACTCAAATTAGTTACAAAAGGAGAAAAACAGAGAGAAGAGAAGATGAGTACGATGTAACACAAAATTGAACATGGTGGGTATGGTAAGAAAAGGCCACAATAAATGGAATTAACGTAGACTAACCCAAATGAGTGCTTATGATACATTACAATTAGGTACAACAAGACATGTAAATATCATGATGATGGTGCAACAGATCTGGTGTTCCGTCCAAGGCCAAGACCTAAGCCCAAAGGAATGCTGTCATTTCTGGTTTTGCCATGATTATTATGGCTACAATGCGAAGAATGAACATGACCGTTTGTATGACCATGATGTGTTCTGGAGTTGGTAGTGTTGGAATTCACATTAATAACAACATGGCCATTTCCATTGCCCTTTGCATATTCAGAATGAGAATGTGACTCTCCATTTGCCAAGTTTGAGCTGCTTGCAACGTGCATCATTCCTATACCCTCAGACTGACCTAATTCTTCGACACACTCCACATCTTCATTGTATCCATTGATCAAGAAATCAGAACAGTTCTTCTTGACACCATGATCATATGGATTTCTGAATCTACCACCTGGACCTCTGAGGTAGCTATATCGCATTGCATTTGCCATTTCATTTGTTGTAATATTGCGTGATATCTGGGGAAAGAAAGAAAAAAAAAGTAAAAAAAGACATCCTTCAGATCAGAGGCAAAAGAATAAAAAAAAAAAAAAAACATAAATGAGGCTTCTAAGACATACCTGACTAGCCTGAATAACTGTCAAAGCAAACACGCCGAAGAAGAGGAAAAAATCAGCAATTAGAAATGATATTGCACCAACGTGATTCTTACCAACATACTGAATCCATGCCCCAAATGAATGAGGAGCAAGTGGGCCAGTTAAAACTCCTGCACGCAGAATTTTAGTTTCTATCAGCAGTTTAAATTGCAGAAAAATGAACAACGTAACTCTTTATATCTCAAAGCACACATACTTGTAAGACAAACTCCCCCAGTAACCAACATTGCTGAAATTTCAAGAACAAGAAAAACAAAGAAATCCCATTTGTTCTTCTGCAATTACAAAGTGTAACAAAATCAGGTCAATTCAATAAGTCAAAAAAAGAAAATAGCATATTCAAAATTAAGGATAAGGAAGAAGGGTGGCAGTGAGATTAGGATGAGTAACCATCACTATTACTCCAGAAACCTAGTGAGATAGGACTCATAGTCTAGCCTATCTTACAAAAATGATTGACTGGATATAAATGGCTTATTGTAAATCACAAAAAAAATGGCTTATTGTAAGAACAAATTCAAATACTTCATAGTAGACAAGTACATATATTTTATATGCAGCTAAGACAAGATTTAAGCTAAACGGTCACTAGCACATCCACTCAATCAAGACTGACCAATCTAAACTGTTTGCACCATATAAATGCCCATGACAAATGTATCAGCAAATACGGACTTTTCTTTGGCATTAAAAGGTGAATTTATTGATACATGGCATGCTCCATACTTGACGGTCATGTGGTGCATAAAACAAATATTTGCAAAGGAAAAACAGATGGGAATAGGCCAGAGGAGAACAAAAGAAAGTCTAAGACTGATTTCTCATCCTCACCCCTTTCTTTTTTCCATAAAGTCAATGACAAAATGAAAAGTTTAATTTATTCAATCAACATTCAAACACAGCATGTAAATTGAAAATTCATCAAGTACCTTGCCAATGCAATTGGATACCCAAGGACAATGATGATCAAATTGTTCCACACAACGATCACAGGTAGAACAGTGTTTTGCACGAAGAGGCCTGACAATCTAAAGAAAAAGCAATATGAAAATGAAATTGTGTACAAAATAATTTGAAGCAAGGATAAATGAGCATGTGTAATCTGTGTGGGCAAGATAATAATCACAGGTGAACGGATTCATAGAAAGAAGTCAAACAATATAATGAAAGCCGAGAGAACCTTGCATGTTGCACAAAGCTGGGACCAATTTCCAGCTAGCAAAGCAGGATTATTTATCTCAATCTTCAACAGAGGCTCCTGCCATAAACCATTCAACATTTTGAATTAAATGGCGTATACATTTGTTGATGTAATCATAAGTAAAAAAAGTAAAAGGAAATAAAAGGAATGGGATGAAGCTGAAAATTAAAGTAGAACAGAAAAAAAACTCACTTCATCTTTCATATTCAGAGTGTCATGCACATTCATTCTGATATAACCTGGATCCTTGCTGTTAAAAACAATACAAAACAAAGAGAAAAAGATCAAGAAAACAAAATAAAATAATAAAACAAACGAAAACCGTTTTCAAAAAAATATGCCAGGTGTTTAGAAACAAGTTGCAACCAGATATTCACAGAATAAGCAACTAAAAAATGAAGTCGATTGAACCCAGAAGAATAAATGAACAGGGTCAGAGAGTTAGACGGTTGGATGTCTGTTTAGTTAGTTATGGTTAGAATCTATCAAGAGGATAGGTAGTTAGGCACAGGGGTTCAGACTTAAATACTGAATTTAGATTTGAGGGAGGCACAGTTAGCAAAGTAATTAGGCATTGACTTTATATTTGAGAGAAAAGGGAACTCTTTATGAAGGGGAAACCCTTGAAAGGATAATTCTCTCCTTAGGTTCTTTGTTTGTAATTCAATAAACACTTCCAAAGTATTCTTATGATCTTCTCCATTTACTTTCTGTTTTCCTCATCTCTCTCCAAAAGCTCAGAACCCATTGCTGGGTTCATAACAGAGCTACTATAGACTATGCAAATCTCATTGTGGGTCAGTTCACACTGAATATTTATTACATATTGACCATCATACATGACAAACCATACAATCTAGGAGTGAGTACCATCAATATTGTTATCCTGAGATTTTGAACACAAAGGATAAGAAAAGAACTGTTGAAAGGGCTCCATAAGACATCAAACAAGTACAACTTTACAAGCATAATTTAAAGAAATATTTGACCTACAGTCAAAAGGAAGCTACTTGGAGAATGTACATCAAGAAGCAAGCATCAGTGGATTGTAAATGGACAGATTCTGTCATACTTGTGAGACCCATAAAATAGCCATATAATGATCCAGCTATCCTAAGGGTAGCAGGGAAAGACTACATGGATGTACCATAAAATGCTACATAATGAATAATCATCAGTGGTCTGGCAATTACAACAATAAATATATATAATTGATATATGGAGGGTATTAATCTCCACATAAAAGTGAGGAATCTAACATCCTCCTATACACACACATGAATCAACTTTGCCCAAACCACTAGTATGCAGGCAGCCAATTAAATACATGGTAAATGATCTCCTCCATACAACTCACATGGAAAAGAGGATTAGTACCATGAAAAAGATTTGAATAATACATTGAATGGTTAATCTTACATATGGCTACATAATAAGAATTGCATGGTTCAAACAACCAAAAATCCACCAATTTTAAAATCATTCCATATCATTCATAACTACCTCATTATAATTACAGAATACACAGAAAATCCAATTGAGATTTTACTAACGACTCTAGAAAAGCTAGAAAAGGTCTCTTGAACCCACAAAAAGATGAATCAAGTCATATTAAGCTTTTAAAAAATAAGATTTGATCCTTATACATATAATGATAATGGCCTAGACAGTATTCATGAGAAGCTGTAAAGTTTAAACTCCATATTACTTACCTGCTACACCTGTAAAACATCACCAATCCAACAGTTGCAAGTAAAACTCCAAACCATGCAAGAAGGCCTGATGCAGCTGTCAACTTTGGCATATTTGTTGCTGCAGGAAAAGGTAACAGAAAATATAGCAATGATAGTAAGACAACCATCAAATAGAGGCATCACGTGGACACATAATTGGTTTCATATTTGGAAGTCAAGGTAGATACCCAAGATGACCGAATGAACATAGGTGACCAAGAGCAGAAAAATTATGCACCAAAGTACAGGAGCAAGTCCTAATTTGGATATCTTTCCAAGGCGGCTGTTCCCATCACAGCGTTTGTCAAGCAACCTTCGGGCATTTCCCTACACAACAGATTTAGCAAGAAAGTAAAGCTTCTTATCTATGATTGGTCAACATATGAACCAAATAGAAAAAATGTTCATCAGATCTTATTCGCAAAAGGTCGCATTATTTGTAAAGCATATCTTCAGAAGCAGCAAACTTATATAAATGTCAACAGTAAAAAGCAAATCCACAGTAGAGATGTAGATGTACCATCACTCATTAAAAGATACAAAGTAACTATTTTCTTACAATCTCTCGATCAAGCATACCCACACAACATAACTAAGAGTCTCTTAACAATGGTACATGACCTTATGATGTAACAACTATGAAGTACAAAGAGGGCAAGAAGATATTCTCTTCTTCAGCATTTGCAGTTTTGCACGTTCACCAATTACACTTTTTTTTGTACATTTGTATATTAAATATTTTGTAAAGGTTAAAAGTTAAGACACCATACAACTCTTAGTACAAATAGCTTTGGTAGGTCACTTTGTTTAAGATCTGAAGCTGTTTTTGAATGGTGATAAAATAAGACCAATTTTAAAGATTTTGTCGAGACATAATCAACATTCATCCCTCACTCATCTAAAAAAATACCTTTTCAAAACGGACAGGTTCAAGCTGTAAACTGTAATATGTGAATATTTAATAGTAGAATTTCAAATACATTATCAATATGTATTAAGGCAGAAGCATGCCAGTGTCACTAAAACCAGAATAAGAAAGTATGTCAAGTAAAATTAGCACATCAACACTGAAAGTACATTTCTTCATAAACAAAACACGTGAAAACTCCACTCAGGCAACTAATCTACAAATTCAATGAACATGATTGCTTTTCAGGGGGAAAACAATTGAAAAGAGGGATGACTAACTGCCATCAAAACGCATAACTAACCAAACTAAAATATGTTGGTCATAAAACACCTACAAGGAAAAAAGCAACTTGTCTGTGATTCTTATCAGAAGCAAGCTGTGCTGGTGTAAGGCCTGTGTTATCAGTCACCATCAGGTCTTCCTTCTTGCCAGCCTGTACTAACACAGTACAGGCCTCCAAGTTACCCCTAATAGCAGCCCAATGAAGAGGAGTGCAACCTGAACAAATTAAGGAAAATAAAAACTAGAATAATGCTTTGAAAATCAAAGATCAATTCTCATTTATATTAGTTCATTAATAATTTCAGCATAATAAAAGGAGTTCAGGATAGACCATAAGAACATACCCTCTTTATCCTGACGTCCCCTATGTGCATCAAGAAATAACAGAAGACGTATACAATCAGCAAAACCTTTGTAAGCAGCCCTAAAACGCAAGCCAATAGGGAAGAATCAATTCAAGCACTTAAAAAGTGCAGATTTATACAAATATTTCACTTAACCAGAATCATTCAAAAATTCAGTTTAAAGGGGAAATGGGCATGTGAAAACAGGTAAATAGCACAAAGGAAACTAATTCATTAACATCGTACATTGAAAAAATTCACCAATCGCAGAAAAAATTTAAAAAGAAAAGATTAGTGTAACTTCTAAGATATTATCCTGAGAAACAAAAGGACATAAGCATAACTGGATAAAGATATAACCAATATATTACAGAGAGAATTCCAAGAAAAAAATACAAAGAGCATTGCTACAAATGTAATGCAAATAATGTATTCCAGATGCTGCTTGGCATACTAATTCAAAGATAATCCTTCATGATGGGTAATATTACATGGACAATGTGCCAAGAGAAATAACTCAATGTTCATGACAAACATCTTCATATTGAAATAATTAACCAAGGAGAATTAAGACCTGCTTGATTTTAAAAGAGTTTCCAAATTTTCCTTTACAACTTGGGAAAATTGGGACCAGCTTCCTAGACAATGTTTTCATTAAAACTCTACCAAATACATTTTTAGGTTCATTTTTTGTTTTGAATGACCAAACCAACTGCACTTTCAGTTTGCTTGAAGAAAATAAAGGACATCATAAACCAGTGAAAATGTGGCAGAGGACACATACTTAACATAGAATCAGTCAGTGTATCAGTTCAAACAATGGGTGTTTGACTGCAGAGCAGAGTGTAACAAAGATAAAAATGAAAACATTCATTTCAACAGGAAAAACGTTGAATCGCAAATTCTTGATTACCAATGCAAGGGGCTTCTTCCGTCATTATCAGGAACATCAGGGTCAGCATTCCATTTTGAAACAACGTGGTAAAGGAAAGCAGTTTGACCATATTGAGCAGCAACATGTGTTGTCTGCATCCACATTTATTATAATTAGTTAAATTAACATTTATAGCAGCATGCTCGTGCTTCGAGTGAGAGGAGAATCTGAAACTACCAATTTAGCATAAGTAACCAGATACAGATGAACAAGTGCAAGGGATACATAACATAATTGAAATTCCTCATCCCAGTGATCTCCTGAATAAAAGGAAAAACAATCAGATCAATCTAACCTGATACCCATTCATATCGGCAGCATTCACTCTAGTACCCTCTTGGAGTAAAAGCTCCGCAACCTGAATAGCACCCCGAACCGCACTCCAATGTAGTGCTGTCTGGCCAGTATGATCCGTTGCATTTACATCTCCCCCATGCTGTCAATCACAACCATACCAAAACCACCAATCAATTTGGAATATCACATAAATAGAATGTGAATATAATTCCATACTTATTGTCATGCCAGACATTGAAAATTAAAAATATACATATACCTTCAATGCAAAATAAATAAATAACGCATTCAATTTCCATTTCCACATCACATACATGACCAACAAGCTAAGTCAATGTAGGGAACCTTGAGGTCACCACCCCAAAAGCTAGCTCAAAGGATAGAAGTGCTCAAGGCTTTATAAACCCCACACTAGTTGCCTATTCAACCAATGTGGGATCCCCAACATTGCCGGTTTGCGACCCCCTTTAACACTGACCTGACGGTAGCCCTTTCCCCATTTGGGGCGACTTCACCCACCTATCAATATTCAGTGCCCAAAGGCACCTTAATCTAGCTTATAGGTAGCCCTTTCCGTGGCCTCAACTCTCAAAGAAAGCACCAATATAAGGGAACATTGAGATCTCCACTCCAAAAGTTAGCTCAAAGAGTAAGATTGCTCAAGGCTTTATAAACCTCACACTAGTTGCCTATGCAACCAATGTGCGATCCCCAAAGTCAAGCAACCTATAAAAATTCGAACTAAAAGCATCATCATCAATTTCTCTACTATATCCCTCCTAACCTTAAACAACAATCAGTAACTCTTACACTATCTATTCTTTCCTCTCTTTTTTTGGAGCAAACAATCAGTAATTCAGTGAGTGCCAAAACAATCAATGCATTCAGAAAACAAGCTGAGATGAACCCAAGGGAATGCGGGTAACAAAGAAACGGTACGAGACAAGCTAAAAAACGCATGTTAAGCAAACGCAATTCAACAAACCCATCAAAGAACCTCAATGATGTACTGAGCAGCGGCGGTGCGATTATTGAGTGCAGCCCACTGAAGCGCGTAGTAACCCAACCCATCGGGCTCGGTGACGGGACAACCCTCTTGCTCTACCAATCTATGCAGCTTCTCCAAATCCCCATAAGCCGCCGCAGTGTACACATCGTTCCGGAGGCTCTCTTCCGTGACTACATCGGCGTCGGAGGCGGAGGCCGACGCCGGCGATTGCTGATCGCGGGATTGGACCTCCTCGACGACCTCGATCTCGGACGACATAGCTATGCCGAAGTGGGCACGATGAGTACAATAGGGCGTTGATATTGATCGAGAATTTGAAATCCGATTGAACCGTTGACTTTGAAGGGGGGCTTGTGATTGAAAATTCTGAGGAATGGAGAAAAGGGGATTAATTTCGAGGAGAGAGATAGAGAGAAGGGTTTGGGTCGTGGCCGTCCCTGTTGACCCTCTGAGGACGAAGGAACCAAACCCACGCACATATAATACGGCTAGCTATGTAGCTATCATGATATGGAATGCCACTTGGTGTTGTTGGGGAACCTTTTCTTTTTCTTTTTGTTCCTATTCCCTTACCTTCACAAAAAATTGTAATATCAATCGAGAAAGTAACTAAAATTATATTTGCATGATTCTATTATTACAAATAATAAAATTAATCGGAAAAAAAAAATATCATTTATGATTGTTCTTTTGAGCTCATTCTTTTTTTAAGGCACCATTACGCACAAAAAGGGCATTAAACCCAACAAAAACAAAAAAAACAAAACAAAAAACCTTAATAAGGGAGAAGCACATTACGCACTCTCCAAGATCAGCCACGTATAGAAGGTAGATTCATCTGGGGGTTCTTCGAAGAAAATCTGGTTGTTGAGAAATTGTGTGTGTTGAATTGTTGTAATTTTGAATTATGTCTTATATATGAAATGTTGTAATTAAGTGTTTAATAATACAACGGGATGAACTAGGTTGATTGAGGGGGTTATTGACCATTGGTGTATTATGAACTATCCTTGGAGGGGATGTATCCGAAGAGGTTGCCTCTTAGGAGTTTCATTGGATACTCAATTGATGTGTGATTCATCGAGTGATCCTTGGATACAGGATGCACAGGAGGCTGGTATGCCTACTAGTTCTGGGCCAATAATTTATGTCATGGGCTTTCTTTTGGGGATTGGATCTTAAGATGTTGACTCTTGGAAGTCGCGTGAGGGCACCAATTTGAGTGTGACTCAACGTGGGTCATGGTGCACAAGGTGCACACATCAATCAATTTTAGTTTGCATTAAGAGACTTGAAATATGAGTTTATACTCTACAACCACCAAGTGGTGGGATGATTAAAATATGCTAAGAGTGTTATGTCAAGGTTTGGCATGAAAGGTAAGATGTCTTACACCATTACATAATCTGTGATGGTGTTTTATTTTAAAAACGTAAGAGGTGATATCCTATTGCATGTTTTATTTTATTTTATTTTTTAACAAATAACAAAATTATATGTTTCATTTTGAATCAATTTCATTGAATAATTTATTAATTAATAGAAAACTATTAACTATGTAAAAATATTAAATTTGACGTATATTTTTTTAAATAATTCATTTTAGGGATAAACTAGTCTTATATCACAGGAAAGAAAACAATCTCCAGCTGATAGTTCGATTTTTGTGCAAAATATTTTTTCTTATTTTTTTTTGTTATATGCGGACCCCACAAAAAATTTTCTCTCGTCGACAGAAGACAAGAACTCTTCCGTAACAGTAGAGTCACTTTCCCCTTCATTTTAAGGTATCTTTAAAAACTAATATGTAAATCTCTTAGAGTAACGATATTTGTCACCAAATGGTGGTAGCTCAGTTGACGCATGGGAGCTAAACGGTGGGGTGAAAGTATGTGTTCGAATCTTTCTAGTATCATCTTTGGGAGGGGTTTAAAGCTTAATCTTGAACTCGTCCCGAATCAAATTAGTTGCGAAGCAATGAACCGATTGGAATATTTCAAAAAAAAAAAAAGTCACGATATTTGTCAACGAACAAATCATTTTTGCTCCATTCTTCATTTTGAAAAATTATATTTTGTTTTGCTAATAGATTGATACATGCTAAATTTTAAGAGTATATCTTTTCTTTGAAACTCATAGCATCATTGGTGGCATAGTTTTGAATGTTTACTATAGATTTAAGACTTAAAAGATAAAATATAAATGTCATTAGGATTGATCTAGTGGTGAGTAATTTAGGTAGATTGCATTAGATTATGAATTTTATAAAAGTTATATCATTTTTACAAAATGAATTTTGTGAAAATTATATAGATAACGTAATATAAGAGAAAGAGAAAAAGGAAATTGTATCCAAAAAAAAAAGAGAAAAGAAAAGAAAATTATAAAGAGGTCAAGATATAAAGAAATTACCAAAGTTTAATTCTCCATGAATTTTTCATTTTAAATTCTCAACTTGAGAGAAAGAGATGTCTTTCTCTTGGTCTGAAAAGTCTACCCCTCACGCTCTGCAATTTTGCCATTTAAAGTTGCACAAAGTGGCTTTTAACTACCACCACCTGTCATTCAGAACCTTGTTCAACGGCATTATTACCTCTGCTCTGGGTCATTCCGAGACTTCAAGGCAGCATACTCTGTGCGTGTAGCAAAGGTTTGCTTATAGCTAAATAGATTAGGCCTCATAATTTTTAAGGATTTACTTGGGTTAAAGATTTAAATTATGTCTTAACTAAATTTTTGAAAAATCTTTGAAAGATAGGAGATATGTCTTTTTTTCTTGAAAAGGGGATTAATTTCATCCTTTATCCGATAACGAAGCTCAATGCACCCGTTGTTTCAATGAGAGAATAGCTTTCAAGTCATATTTTAATGAGACAAGATGAACAGAGGAGATTGAATAGAGATACATACTCTTCAAATTATAAAAAAAAAGATATTACTTTGAATATTTGAGTAAAAGAGTAATTATAATGTATAGTCTAACCTACTTAACCTACTTAGCTAAAACTATAGGTTTTCCTCTTCATTAATACATGTCACATCTCCAACTCAATCACCGAACATTACACTTGTAATGTAGAGTACTAATATTATTGTGTCATATCTAATCACTAGTTTCTTCCTACTTTGCATACTCATGTAGCTATGTTTCATTGTATCAAAAATCATTCTCATGCGCGTGCCAATTGAACTACCATGATTTGGATATCGAAACTCAAAGATACCATCCAATTTTATATTAAAAATAAAGAATCATCTTGCATATGTATCCGCACTGTCCTAGTTTTCACCATTTATCGAGATTGAACGTTCTTGAATGATCAAGAATGATGTGAGATAGTATGGATGGTTAAATATTATGGAAGTGCATTTGCTCAGCACTTTTGTATACCACTCATGAATAAACCAAGATGAACTGAAGCAACATCGAACGAAACTAAGGTTCTGTTTGGTTGGGGAGAAGGAAAAAATTTCCTGGCTAAGTGATGGTGGGAATGTGAGTTACCAACATTTGGTTGGGGATTTTTGTTAAAGTTTGCCATCAATCCCATTTGCCCTGCAATGCAAGAGGAAGTGTAAAAATCAGATTTTAGCATTGTTGGAGATTACCTTTCCACGGGTGGAATTGTGTGAGGAATTCTGATATCTGAAAAAGGTGGATAATGGGGTGACAAATATACCCCTCCTCCATTTTATTGTGGTTCGTATTTTGTAATAAAACAACAGATTTTTTAAATAAGGATAGTTTTGTAATTTCAAACAATTTTTCCGTCAAAATTCTATCTTCAACCAAACATACACTCAGAAAATTTAACCCAATTTCCCCATTAAACTTTTGCCGAACCAAACAGTTTTTTTTACATTTTTCTACCAAACTCACTTTCCAACCATTTTCCTATCAATTACATTTCTCTAGTATTCAAAAAAAATTTCTCCAACCAAACACTACCTAAAGGCACACAAGCAGAATTAGAAACCTGAAGCTCTAGCAACCCAGAAGATTTGATATACGCAAATGGCAGTGGTTCAATTTGTGAGAGTCGTAGTTTCTAGAGAAGATCAAACCCAAAACCGAATTAAAGAGTTCCACTAGGGCTTCTAACACCGTTAAGCATCTAAAAAAACAATCGAAGCTCTAACGTATATGCTTCTGTGATTATCATAAAGAAATTCATCTTGGGCCATTTTAATTCTTGAATATATGGGTTGAAACCAAGGTAAATCAGCCTTTTATTTTTTATAAATAAGGCAGGTTACATTTCGATAATTATATTGAAAACAGGTAACAGGCTTGGTAAGGCCGACACATTTAAACACAGCCTTAACCTTTTAAGACAAAAGCTCGGCTCGGCTCGTTAACACCCCTACCAACAACTAATCACTAAATAGAAGTATTAAATTGCAATACAAATTGAATCTTATAAATATCACAATAATATGATATATATAAATAAAAGCTTTAATATTTTTACATTAAATGTAAATAAGTTATCTACGTTCACTTCCAAAATGACATCGTTTTGGTTTAAAAAATTATAATAAGAAATATTATTATAATACTAAAATAAATTATAATTATAAAAATATCTTATTTCTGCACCAAAACGACGTCGTTTTGGGTTCAATATATATATAACTTATCGACATTGACAGCAGAAAAAATAATCCCATAAATAAATTTTGTTGAAGTTTAAACAATTTTTTTATTGTACTGTATGGAAAAAATGTATGTCACTTTAAAGGACACAAACTTAGGTCTTTTTAAGAAAGATATAGACACAAAAAGTTAGGACTTACACTTTTATTTTTTTATCTTTATTTTTTCAGTGAAACTCACACTTCTTGTGTCTATCTATATCCTAAAAGGATCTAAGTTTATGTCCTTTTAAAAAGATATATATTTTTTTCTTTTAATATATGTTATATGTTTTTCCTTATTGTAATTATTTTTCAGTAAAAAATATTTTTTATTGTTGTAATTATGCTTTAATATTTCACTAGAGGAAGTCATACAACAAATTACAAAAAATGTAAATATTAATAGAAGCAATAAAAATTTACTTTTACTTTTTTTCCTCCTTTTACGTGCCTTTCAAGTGTAATAAATCTAGTAATAATATACCTGAGGTAACATCGTGACAGTAACACAATAGAAATTGAATATTTTTTAGCAGTCATACGTTTAATCATTGAGTAAACTCTGAAAAAGTTAAGGAAAAAAAAAAAAAAAACTAGTAATGATAATATAAAGAACGGTTCGTTTTTTCTACGGTGCACATAATTATCTGCATTATGTCCAATATAACATCGTTTTGGGACGGAAATTATGATATTTTTATAATTTTAATTTATTTAATAGTCTTTATATTTATAATTTTTTAAGATTCTAATACCAAAACAATTTCGTTTTGAAAGTAATTGTAGAAACATTTTTCCTATAAAAATGTATAATATTTCGTGTAAGGCTTGCACCATTTTTTTATTTTTTTATTTTTTTTTTATTTTGTAAAGAAAAAATAACTGTGGTTGCAATGACAATTTTGGACACAAAAACCCTAACCGGACCAAATCAAGGGTTTACCCTAACCGGATAAAACCCTTTTGTTCCCTCACTTCTCTTCTCTTCTCTGTCAAAGTCAGATACATATTCAAACGTAACCTTTTGTATTCTTCTCCTCAGTCTCTCTCTCTCTCTCTGAGATTGTCTGTCTCTGTTTGTTTAGGGTTTCAGTGCACTCTTCTTGTTAATTTTCTATTCAAATCTTAGGTTTAGGCAATGGAAGAGTTATCGTCTACGCTTAGCTTCAAGGTGAGGACCACGCGGATAGCCTCTGTTGTGGAAGCCATGGCTGTGGACACTTTTCTTACTGCTGCAAAATCTCTCATTTGTTTTCTCATACTGGTATTGCTCTCAATTTCCCCATTTTTGTTTTTTTGTTTTTGGGACTTATAATATCTCAAAACATGTTTTGCAATTCTCGTTAATGCTGGAATGAGTTGGTATTTTTCATCTTAAATCTCGTGCTCTTTCATACTCTTTCAGGGTTCATCAAAATCACGTGTGTTTCTTCTATAGTCCTCGCTTTCAATTGCTCTTTCATTCGTTTATTCATTGTTCTGAGAAGAATTTAGGGTTTTTTTTTTCCTGAAACATTACCGTTCTGTCTTTTGCTCATGTCAATAGGCACCTTTTACCGGAAAATTTTCGTCTGGGTAGAAAAATAAAATGTAAAGCATCGTTTTTGTGTGTGTTTGGTTCGGTGAGATAATTAGAAGATTGCTGCAAGTCTCTTATTATTGTTCTTCCTTGGTTGTGCTAGATTGCAAGGATTCCTTGTTGTTTTGGCTCAAAACCCTTTCTTAGTTGGGGGATAGAAAACGCCAGTTTATTTGTTATTTTGTGTAATCTACCATTGTTTTTGCTTATCAAGAGTGTTGTAAACACAATTTTGTTTTATTCCTTCAGATTGAAGCCAATCAGTTTTTTTTTTTTTTTTTACTTGTAATTTCGTATGTACTGATTATTCTTCTGCTCGGCCTTGGCTGGCTTCAAGTGCTGTGCTTTTGTGTGGGTATAAAAGCTGTTTTTCCATCCTTAATGATACTTAAGATGCCTTGGTTTCATATACACATCACGTTGACAAAATAAAAAGCTGTGCTCTTCAAAAATTAACCAGTGATTCTGGCAGCATATTTGGGCTAAGCTTAGGACAGTTTGCTAATGTGGGGTCTCATGTAGAGTGTGTCTGTGTTACTTTTATGCTTGGTTTTGAAGCAGCTTCTCCTTAAATTGTTCAAACTTTAGGCTCTGTATTACTTGCTTAGAAATGGACATTCTATTTTCTTTCCCTATCTGTCGCTCTGTCTTTTTCTCTGGGTCATGTATTTGAGACCCCTGCGCTATGAATTGGGACTATCGTCATGTTGAAAACTGTATATTTTAGAGCTTAGTTTGCATCATTGCTGGTTGCTTGGAAAGCTATGTAATAAATTTTACATTGCGATAATAAATCCATATAGGCTACAGCCTGCATGTTATGATTTTTGCTCATGTCGAAAGCTTAGTTTGTTTTGGATCATTTTGATGAGACTAAAGTAAAATACCCTCAGTATAGGGTACAAATTCTTATTGCTTTATGTTTGTTTATAACCCAGACAGGATCTCTAATGACTGACATCAATCATTCAGTGTTGACAAAATTGACCACAATGGATGGAAGGTGAGAATGAATTTATGCTCCTATTCCGAAGGTAATGTTTTGTTTTGCGATTGCAAAGTTTTTTAATTCTGACATATGTTAATTATTCTTTGTCAGATTTCCTTTCGATGATCTCTCTAAAGGAAAACATGCTTACCTTAAAAACAAGGATGCTAGTGATACAGATCAAGATGAGGATGAAGAAGATGATGATGATGCAAATGATCAGGATGATGAGGGAGGAGATGAGGACTTCTCAGGTGAAGAAGGTGGAGAAGAGGCTGATCCTGAGAATGAACCTGAGGCCAATGGTGCAGGAGGAAGTGATGGTGATGAGGACAATGATGATGATGGTGATGATGAAGATGATGGTGAAGATGAAGAAGAGGAAGAGGATGAAGATGAAGAAGAGGAAGAAGATGAGGAGGAGGCTCCACAGCCACCTGCTAAGAAGAGGAAGTGAAATTATTGCAGTGGGTATAGTGTTTTCTTTCTCTACTATGTAATGCCCTAGGCAATCTTAGGACAGGATTTTATTTCAAGTGGACCTATCTCCCCATAAAATAGCTTAATGTATTCTCGTTGATGTTATTAATTATTATTGTTAATTTTGGCCAACATTGTTTAGTGGTATGATGTGATAGTTGAACCATCCTTATTATTATTGTACCCCCAATTGTAGAAAAAGAAAAAAAAAACAGCTAACTATTGGCTCCATGTGGGACAACGATCATTTTATCGACCATTATAAATACGCTTATGCTTTGATTAAGACGAATATCGGTTACATTATTTTAAATTCATTTTTTTGTTGGTTTCTTCCAATTATCAAAAGATAAATTACAATTAATTATGTCCTTTCGCATTTAGCTAGATTTTACTTTGTCATCATTAGTGACACTTCGTCTAATTACACATAACTTACTTAGCACGTAAGTCATCATTTTTTCCTTAATCCTAAATTCCTAATTACTTTATGTATTATAATCATGAAGACAATCCTTGTATATTTTTACAGGCTTTGATTTTCTCAGGAGAACTGTTTTTTTGACTCAATTAATGATGAATTTTACATTTATTAAAAAAAAATTTTTTTGAAAATTAAAGAGTTACAATATGAAAAAATACTTCTAGTATGATATGAGAAGTGTTTTTTCTATGTATATATTTTTTTATTTACTTTTTATATAAATATTTTACTCCATAAATACACTTATGGCCCCCAAGTTACGGCAACAGTTTTAAACCTATCAAATCTAGCCAACATTTGTAGAAGAATATGGCCGCGAATTTGATTTTACAACCTATTATCTTCGTTTTTTTATTTATTTTAAAAATATTGAGAAATTATTCTATCATGTAATAGGAGAGTTATCTTACATTGTAGATGCATCGACAAACATGTCTTTTATTTATTTTTTATTTTCTTATACATGGTGAGACCCACCATATGTTGGATCTATGATATAAGAAGAATATCTCCTATAACATGAGATTAGATACTCTTAAAAACATTATACATGCATCGTGAATTTCGCAGGCATCATATTTTATTATTAGGGCTTAGTATTTCTTGTGCGGTTTTAGATTAATCAGTTTTTTTTTTTTTTTTGAAAAAAAAATTCAGGAACATTTTACGAATTGAAGTTGTTAAAATCTCGATTTATCACTATGATTTTACGTTTTTACGATTTTTTTTCCATCAAAATAATTTTACTAATATTTCAAACGCTTTTACATTTTTACAAATTTTTATGATTTTACGTTTTACAATTTTTTAATCATCTTTCAATTTTACAATATCTCGATTTTAACAACATTTCTTATCTAGACAAGTAATTTGCTATTATCATTACTTTTGAGGAAAACGTCCCATTTCTGAGTGATGCCCGTTCCGTGACATATTGGCTACTATTTAGGCTCCTTCCCGAACCGAATTGCAATGCTGCCATTGCAATATTTTCTCACTATTTTTCTGTCTCCCAGCCCATCAGGGAAGACAGGACAATTTGCTAAGCCATAGATAATAAAACATTCTAGGGCTGAGTGCATACAAAAAGTAACAATGATAGTCGCATACTCGCATATATATACTTTGAGTTTGATAAGAGTTCAGATGGTAGAAAAAGTGATTATGTTATGTTACAGATATTTATTTTATGTGCCGGAGTTTTTTTTTTTTTTTTTGGTTTCAAAAATTGTGGATCCCACAAAATATTGTGTGTGTAAGAAAGTTGTTGTGATTATCATGTTAAATGACAGAGACAAAACCCATATACTTTATTAGCACGATCGTCAGAGTCTTTTCCAAACACTCGTTATTCCATAATTAGGAAGGTGCATAACGCGAATTAAACTGATTTTTTTTAAAAATCAAAGTAAATTGATTTAAATGATTTGGTTTGAAAACAATTCTACCCTCTTTTGAAAAAAAATTAAAAAAATAAAGAAATAAAATAATAAAAAAAGATTCAGTTCGATTTAAAAATGATTCTGTTCAGTTCGAAAACGGTTTGATTCAATTCAAAAATAATTCAATTCCTTTTGGTTCTTGAATTGATTTTAAAAATGAATTCGGCTCGTGAACTGATTCTATAAACTGATTCGGTTCATGAACTGATTTTTAAAAATCAATTATTTTAAATGCAGTTTGATTCAGTTCATGATTCCATTCAAATTTATGATTATTTTGTACCTCCCTACTTATCTTGTAGCGTCCCAATCTAACATAAATCCCAAATCATGTAAGCAATCCTCGTTCTCATTGAAATATAAAAATGATTTTCTCATTAGAACGAAAAATATAAATGGCTTGTTTATCAGCAAAGAAACAAACGAAACTATAAGTGGTTCTCTTTAGGGGAAATTTTTAGAATACTATCGTAATAGGTGTATCTTACCAATGAGATGATGACACTTAGGCTGATATGTATATTAGAGAAAGAAAAAATATTAACTTTAATATTATAATTATATATTAATCGTATATAATTATAATATCAATCTCACCCCCAAGTCATAAGTTGCACCGAAAACGCTCTCCACTTTGGGAGTTGCAGAGCAGTTGACTATCGTGCTTGCCATTCAATCAACGGTAGCCTACGACAATTGTTTTGATATAATTGGAGTACCGACTTTGTACTAAAAATGAAAACTTTTTTTAAAATTTAATCCATCTTTTTCTTTATAATTCCTTTTATATCTTTTTTTTTCCTTTTAAAATTAATATAAATGTACCTACAACGGTAATAGAGATGGTTTTCTCCTACAACACAAACCATTATCATTAAAAACAATGTCAGTAGCAATATCATAGTATGCTTCAGTGACAAGTTCAAAAGAGAAGGAATAACTTGAAACTGAAGTAGGGTAGGTAAACCAAGATTCATAAAAAAAGAATGGCTATTCATCCATTGCTAATTAAAATTACGTTGCATATGTAGCCTGAAAATTCAGTGAGAATTTTACTTTTTATTTTCCCCATGGAAATCAATGGGGAGGATAATTAGGAAGAGTAGACTTGAGTTTTTAACCACAAGAGAAAATAATATACCTTATTTTAGTACATAAATGTTTAGAGGAGAAAGGTATAACTTGACTTACTACTTAAAAAAATATGACAAGGTTTAAGAAAACATTGGCTGAGTGGAGGAGTATTTGGATACTTATTTACACATTTAAAAGGGAAAAAACTATAGAAGGATCAAAACCTCATAATCCATACTAAGAAATTTTGAAAGGAGTACCTACCATTGAGGAGAAGATGGTGGAAACTTGCCTAAGGAGGCATGACTCTGTGAGGAAAAGACAATAGAGGCTCCAATAAGGAAAGTGGATTAAAAGAAAATAGTTTGATTCAAAATGGTGAAGGAATACCTAAGAATATATTTGGGAAAAACCATTATAAAACCCTCGCCCAAAATATCTCAATGAATTTGATTTTTATTAGAACTCGGTAATGTCAATTTATCCAAAAGATTGCTGCCACCTACAAAGATAGAATACGATCATGGCTCGAAGGGATAAGTCTTTTTTGTAAATTTCACAGCAACTATAAGATACACTAATTGTGCTTTATTGCAATGATGCAAACCATAATAAACTGATGTTAGATGAGTAATGGTTTTTGAGATAAATCTCACAATTATTGAAACGCAAAAGGAAAGTAAACGAGTGACTCCTTGTGGCAGCATAACTGTTGATATAAAGGGGAATGGATCTGATCTGATAACATAGAAGAGTGGTATAAGCATTGACATATGGAAATAAGTCACATAACATACCACATCCTAGAAACAAAATGGTCTTAACAATTGCACAAGACAAATATATGGAAACGAAAGGAAAAAAAATATTCAAATAGACAACTAGCTCAAATAAAAATAATAGAAATTTCACTCACTATGGTAGCATCCCAGATCGAAAAATTGCAAATTTGGATGCCATAGAGTATGAATAATCTATTCCATTCTCCTTCAAGAATTCCTCGAGGATCTGTTTAGCTCCTTCAGGATCAGTACTCTCACACTCGATCTCGTACAAAGTCCCAAAATCAAACTTGGTCTCATCCACTTCCAATTTCAAACCTTTCCATTCATACACACTCCTCACGTTCTCAAAACCTCCCAAACCCACAAACCCGTTTTCACCCACGACCCCAAACTCCTCCTTCACCCTCCCCAAAACCCTAGACTCAACCGAACCCAGCTTCCCCGGTTCCGCAACGCAATCGCGACCAACCTTGGGGTCCAAATCCTCCTCGTCTTCCTCCACGCGGCTCACGCCGTCGACCAGAACCGCCTTGGCTTTGAGCGAAACGACACATCGTTCGTCGTCGTTGTAGAATCGGAGCCGAAGAACGGCGCGGCGCGCCGAGAGCTCAGAAGCCGCGCCGTCGAAGAAGATATTGTGCTGACGATGGGTTATGACGTGGAAGGGAGCGAGCAAGGTGGTGACGTGGCGATGAGCTTCGTCGTTTGCGAGGCGCAGTTTCACTTCGATCTCCATTTGGGAAGGGCACTGAGAAAGCGAGCGTGTGGTGAAGATTTTAGGAGGAGAGGCCAATGCGATGCGCTTTAGAAGAGGGATCTTCGGCGCGATCGAACTGACGGAGGAGAGCGGCGGCGCCAGCGGTGGAGGTTGCGGCGGTGGCGGTTTCGTTGCGGCGACGAGCTACCTCGAGTTCTTCTTTATCTTCGATCTTCACTTCAATTTTGGTTGGTTTTCTTCTCAGCATTTTGTGAATGTGAAGAACAGGAAGATTCCCTTTCCCCAATTGGCCCCTTTAACCCTATCGGTTACTCATCGCTGTCGGGTCGGATCCCGCCCGATACATACAAGGCACTTTTTTGGGACAAATATAATAATTTAAACAGAGATGATTATATTTATTATCTATTTAGTGCCGCTTTAGATGCTCTTATTTTTAGCTTATACATAATTTTTATAACCAAAATTTCTTTTTTTTATTATAAAAAAATTTAAAACCTCAGAGAAATAGTTTTTTTTTAGTTCTTATAAATTTTTCTTGAATTGTTATTTTTTTTAAATATAGAGACGTAGAAAGAGAGAGAGGCAATTTATTGAAATGTGTGTGTTTATGTAACTTTTGATCTAAAATTTGATATAATAATCTAGGGTAATATTTATCTTATTTTTATGAGATAATTAAATTTTTTATACACACAAAAGATAAGTAGATCCCACTTCTTTTTTTCTCTCCTCTTATCTCACTTGCAAAATTGTTTCTACAACATAAGATAATTATTTTCTTACAACATAAAAAAATTATTTCCCAATAATCAAACAACTTTTGGCTTTTTTTAAACTCTTTTTTTAGTTTTAGCTTAAAAATAGCTTTTAGTTATAAAAAAAGAGGTTCCAAACTTCCTACCTTTTTTTATACATAAATTTCTTACCTTTACTATATTTTATCACCGTAGGTTGTATTTTTTTTTAATTTAAATCAACGATTGAAAGAGAGAGAAATAATAAATATAATTAGTTGATAAAATTAATTGAAATAGAAGCAAAATACACACACATATATATATATATATATGAAAAATATTTATACATTCATTTTAGATAAGGTTATCTACCAACACTACGTTGTTTTGATTAATGAAAAGTGTTTCTCTAACTTTAGGTGAATTAATGAAGGGTGTTTCAGTAAAATACATATGATAAAAAAATAAACAAAATTACGAAAACACCCTAACGACGTAGTTTTTGGGATAGATGTAAATAACCTTACCTAAAATGGCTGTAGAAATATTTTTCTCATATATATAAATATATATGGTTCACTTTTTCTACAGTCAATGGAGATAACTTATCTACATTAGTTATCTACATTGAGCCCAAAACGACGTTGTTTTAAGGCGAAAATCAAGGTATTTTCGTAATTATAATTTATTTCAGAGTTATAATAGTCTTTTTCATTCTAATTTTTTAATTTTTCAACCCAAAATAATATCGTTTTGAGAGCGAATGTAGGCTGTAAAAATATTAAAGCTATATATATATATATATTATTTGAAACCTTAGGTTTAAATTTGATCTAATGATAATAAGGATAGAAAGATTAAATAGACAGGTAATACAACTGTCTCAATTTTTAAATAATATAAATATTAAATATTAAAATGGTGACGTTGAAATTAAAATCAAAATATCTCTTATTTTGAGAAATAATAATAAATAATAGTACTTGTTTACTTAAATTAATATATTTTAGATAACATGATAATATTTATATATAATGTTTTAAAATATATATTTTGTTATAGTTTCTTATTTTTAAAAATTGGGCAAATTACACAAAGTCGCCCTCAATTTTTGTGATTGTGGTACCATTGTTACAAATTTAAACTATTTTTGCGAGAGATAAAATATGTCAAATGAGGTGTCATTGCGTAGATCTCAAAAATTTATGTGAAATAAATCAAAATCATTTCATTTGAATTTCTGAGTTAAAAGTTATGGCCTTCCGAAGTTTTATGGTAACTGAATTGTCTATGGTAACAAGATTGTGTCGTGCGAGTGCCCTTAGGGGGTCGCGACATTCACCTAAAAAAAACAATTATGCGAGTGCCCCAAGGGGGGTCATGGCACTCAGTGTCGCTGTAACCCCTGCGACACTAAATGACCCCCATTGGTAAATACTAAAAATCAAATACCAGATAGGAAAATTAAAGGGAAAAAACCCCTTTTGGTCAAAGAGCCGACAAAATACCTGTGGGTTCCGTTTAACCCGTCACAAATGGTTGGTTGGATTGAAATTTCCAACTCATCAATTCGTTTCAACCCGCTTCGCATAAGGGTGGGTCAAAACAGGTTCAACATGTCGCGGGAAGGGTTAGCCCACCGGGTCATTTTTATTTATTTTGATCGTCAAATAGTATTTTATTTGTCACATTAAGCTTTTATGATATTCAAGATTTTAATCTCAGTCCACTCCTTTAAAAAATAAGAAAAAAAAGGGCGAAAATGAATTCATAGAGACTATCCGATTGAATATAAACATAAATTTAGGCTTTGAGATTCGAAGAAAATTTAAGGAAGTATGAAATGAAATGAAATAATATTATAGAATTTATAAAATATTATATATATATATATATATATATATATATATATATATATATCTCGCACAATTGATAGATAACTAGATCATTTAAGAATGCTGATAGAGATTCGATTCCTGGTCATTAATTGGGAGATACCCTGAGTTATACTCAATTTTTATTTTATTTTTTAAGTGAGTTGGGGGATCGGGGTGAGCCGATTCATTTTACCACATAATATGTATCATTTAATCTCATTGACTAAAATTTTGAAAGTTTAGAAACAGTGACAAAACATTAGGAAATTATACAAAAAATGACATGAAATTTGATGAAATCACAAAAAGAAGGGGATAATTACAAATTGAGAATGCGTAAATTTTATAATTATTCATATTTCATTTATTTAATATGAAAAAAATCATGTAAAAAAATTACAACCTCATACAAAGGTGAATCAACTGTAATAGTTTTATAATTATCCATTTTAATATTTTATCTCTTTCTTTCTTTACCACCATTAATCCATCTGATTATGTTTTTCACGTCCACTCCCAATTAATTTAGCTTGAAAATGCCGGTTGGAGGAAGTTTAGTGAGTGACTCTCTGTTGTTTTTTCTCTTCAAGAGTCAAGATTGGTGACGAAATTGAAGCCCATATAAGTCACATATGTTAACTCCATACAGTATGCTTCTAGGAAAACAAATTGCTGTGCAAATTGATTTACCAAATACGTCGTGGATGTGTAGAGATGGAAGACTTTGTCACTTCCAAGACCCTCATGCAGCCTTGTTGCTTCTTCATGCATATATTGCTCCTGCTTCTCGGCCTAAAACTTCTGTTTTTCGATAATTTGCTTTCTTCCTGGTTTTGTATATTGGTTTCTCTTTTTGTTTGGGGCTTAGGCCCTTGTTAGTTGTTATGTACCCCAAAAAAAATAATTTTTATCTTTAATTTAGTTTTTATTAAAATAACATAGTACTTTGAAAATGTTAAAAAACTTTCCAAGGAAAAAAAATCAAAATTTAGGAAATTGTAAATTGTTAGAGATAGCCAAAATTTACTTTTTTAACTTTCGAGGAATTATGAGCTTATTTGAATGGATTTAAAAAAAAAATTGTGGCTTTTTTAAAAAAAAAAACCATATCTTATTTTAAAGTTAAAGTTATTTCACGTTTGGATTAAAAATATAAAAAATATTTTTAAATAAAAAATTATTTGAATATTAAAATTAATAAATAATTATATATATATAATTACTAAAAAAAACATGCGTCATAGAAATGGGTTATGGGGTTGAGGTAAAAATAATTTTTTAAAAAAATTTAATTTTTGAATTCTATTTTTTTAGAAATAAAGAATCTTGAATTATAAAAAGGAAATTATTTAAAGTTTTTTTAATTTCTTTTTTTAAAAGTTACTCTCCAAATACATAAAATTACTCAAAGGATTTTTCTTAAATAAAAAAAACAGCTTTTTTACGAAGGAAAAAAAAATAAAAATCCAAACGCACACTATATTATTAATTCTTTAATTCGCAATAAATGATAATCGTTGATTGACGGAAATCAATGGTTAAGATATGGTTGTAAGAGGTTGTAAACGAAAATAGGTGGTAAATATAACCTTCCTCATATTATTCAAGGATAAGTTATTCTGCCTACTCTTATTTTACCTACCTTTGCCTACCCCTTTCAATATCGTTCGATTATAATCTCATCCAACAGCCGAAATTTGCGATATAAAATAAACTCTTTTTTTCTTTTTTCTTTCTCCTCACTTCCTCCCACACCCTTTCTTTTTCCTCCCCTTTCTCTCTTCCTTTGCAACCAAGACCGAAAATAACAAGAAAATCGAACGAAAAACGCATATGACCATCAATTAAAAAACCTCACTTATTTTGCCTATCCCTAAACAAAATATCTTCAAAATTAAAAGGTGACCGTAGAAAGAGTAACTAAAAATAATCCATATAATTCTATAAATCCCAAATATGAGACAATCAAATTCAAACGTGCTTACGTGCAAATTTCAAGTTCAGCTCTCCTTTTGTGCAAATTTTCCTCTCTTTTTTGTTTAGATTATTTTCAAAAGCAATTATATTTCTTTCCTCGATTTGTTTGTATATATACATTCAATCAAACCTTCAAGAAGGAAATTTATTATGAGGTCAATTGCAGTTGCTATTAGGTCAATTGCAGTTACTATTTGCTTTCGACTACATGCTTTCAAGATTAACAAGAATGAAAGATATAACACTCCTCTAAACCAAACTGATCATATGCTTCGAAACTTTTTATCAAGTAAAAATATGTAAAAAAATATCATCTTGAATTTGAGAAATTGATTTCCCTTCACTTCACTCAATCAACGAGCTGCTATAGGAATGTCGATTTGGTAGCTTCTACATCTAAATTCAATGTGTTTTTAATTCAATTTTCTCGTTATCTTCGATCTTGACCGCATAGAAAGAGAGAAAGGGGAGGAGAGAGAAAATGTGTGAGAGAAACTGAGGAGAAAGCAAGAAAAAAAAAGGGTTTATTTTATATCGTAAATATCTACCGTTAGATGAGATTGTAATCGAATGATATTGAAAGGGGTAGACAAAGGTAGGCAAAATAAGAGTTAACTTATCCCTATTATTTATAGGAAAAAGATATTGTGACAACCAAGTTGTGTTACTATCAAGTGACTACCAATCAATCTCACCGTTAGATCGATTATGGTGATCCAACGGTTATATTTATTTCTATCTTTGTATGGTCATGATTCTCCATATTTAAAGTGAAAGCATTAAATATGGGAAATCATAACCATACAAGGTGAAAATAAATATAAAGTATTAAATTTATATTAAAACACTTAAACGACGACGTGTAAGCAAACAATTTGCTGTGGCAACATCGATTTGAATTCCAAAACCCTAACGGGACCAAACCCAATTTCCCGCACACAACATAAACAATTATACACACTCTCTCAAAGTCTCTCTCTCTCTCTCTCTCTCTCTCTCTCGGGTTTCATTGTTCAGTGCTCAAGCAAAGTTACGGTGTAGCATTTGGGCAATGGAGTTTCAGAGTCTCAGCTTTGAGGAGAGGACGATGTGGATAAGCTCTGTTGTGATCGACACTGTCCTCATTGCTACTGGGAAAACTCTCGCTTGCCTTCTCATAGCGGTATTCCTTTCAAAAACCTTCCCTTTTCGGTTTCATTACTACATTTACCTTCAATATGCTTCTTATTCATGTCTCAATTGTAACAATTTCAGTTTAAATTCTTGTATGCTTTATTGGGATTCCACATTTTTCTTATGTTATGTGGTTTCGTTTTCACTCATGCGATTTATTCTTTCGTTCCTTAGTTTAGGGCTTTCTTTGGTGAAGTTGCCTCTCTCGCGAATAACACCTTTGTATATTTCTTATGGGGACCTTCATGCTTAATTTTTTTGTAAAATGTAAAACTTGGTGTTGGTTAATAAAATAGTTAGTATACTTGGAAGTTGGAACAGTGGAGCATAGCTCTTAATGTACTGATCCTTCTTCCTTTTGTTGCTAGAAAGAAGCATGGGTGCCAGAGAATGACAGTTTTTTACTATGGAATTCATAAATAAGCCTTTCATTGTGTATTAGTGGTTAGAACACATTTTGCTTCGAGCATTGAGTAACGAGTACTGAGTAGAGCTAAGTCTTTTTGTTTTGACATGTTCCCGAATTGCTTTGCCTACCCTCGCAAGTGGGGTTTCTTTGGGAGTTGTTGAAGTGTTAAGTGTTCCCTAGTTGCTTCAGCTTCCCCATACACCAGTCATGCTACTTCTTATTTTTTATTAGCTTTTAGGGATGATTAGCATAGAATTATGTACTGCTAGCCTGCTACTTACTTGCCTTGTTTTGAGTTGTTGATGATGTATCTTAATTCTTGTTATATCTAATCTGCTGTTTTATTCATCAGTAATGAATAATGATACTTTAAATGCCTTAATACCAACAATTTGCTAAACAAGATGTCAAGAGGGATTCCAGCAAGACATTTGTGGCTAAGTTTAGAAGATTTTTCTTGAACAGGGTCTTATGTTGATTGTGTCTGCATCACACTGGCATGCTTGTTTTTCAGGTTCAGCTTGTCAAACAGTGAACCTTTTAGTTCTTCATTTTTAATGCTATAACGGGGTGCTCTTTGTAATCCATTGTACCCATTCTTCCTTCTGTCCCTCTCTTCTCTTTCAAAGTTGGGAACTCTTTGTGATCATTTTTATTGGAACTGTGGCATATTACAATCTCTATTTTGAAATTTCAATTTGCATCATGCCACCTCTGCTTGAAGCTGCGCACAAATAATCAAACTGCAATATTGAGCTCATAGTATAATCGTGTCCACTTGTGCTTTGCGTATGTCATAAACTTTGTTAATGGTCTATTTTTCATTAGGTTAAATAACTTACACTAAAATCTCCATCGTACAGTCCATTACATTGTATGAAGTAAAGATTTTTGTTTGTTTTCCCCCAGACTCGAGCTCTTCTTGCAGATGTCAATGATTTAGTGTCACCAATGGATGGAAGGTAAGAATAAATGTGCTTACTTTATTTAAATGTGTTATGGTTGTTTCATTTGGAAAATCCAATTATCTCGATTTGTTTAATTCTTTCCTAGGTTTCCTATAGACCAACTGTGCAAGAGAAAACATACTTCTGAAGAAAACAAGGATGCTAGTGAAACAGAGGATGATGAGGATGATGAAGAAGTGAATGATGCAGATGATGATGATGATGGAGATGACGAGGACTTCTCTGGTGATGAAGGCGAGGAAGACGTAGATCCTGAGGATGATCCTGAGGCCAATGGTGCAGCAGGAAGTGATGACGACGATGAGGATGATGAAGAAGATGATGACGATGATGAAGATGGTGGAGAAGATGGAGAAAATGATGAAGAGGAAGAGGATGAAGACGAAGAAGAATCTCCGCAGCCACCTTCTAAGAAGAAAAAGTGAGAATTATACCAGTAGGCAAATTGTTTTCTTTCTGCCTGTTTAATGCTTTCTAGTTTCTAGTCAAGTTCTCAGTACGGAGATTTACCAGCCTGAACATGTCACCCATCTTTCCTAGGTCCGATATTATAATTTATGAACGTTATAATTAATATATTCTCATTGCTATTATTAGTGTTGCTTGTCATAGTTACATCATCTTTATTGTTACTGTCTATTCAAATTTGAAGGTAATCAGAGTCACCTTTCTCGTCAGAGTTTTCTGCTTTTGAAGGACGAGTTGAGAAAGTACGTTTTACCTTGGTCTCGTTATTTAGAGAAAATTGAAGTGAAAAGCAGTACTAGCACTTCTGCTTTAAAGTTCAAACTATTTGGGCTGCGTTTTTCATCATATAAGGATGGCTTAATAACTAAGTTCAAACTCTATCTCTCCTTGATCATTGAGTTCATGAAATGAGACACCTGAAATATGACTAATTGAATGTTTACCTCGAACATCACATGGGAATTTTGAAACAAAAGAGAATTGGGATTTCCAAGTCGTTATGTGTTTATACTGATGTAGAGTATAGTAGACTAGTAGTTTGATATCTTGGCAAAAGGGTCGCTTCAGAGACCCAGAGTCTAGGATTTGATGTAATCTCCAAATTGTTGGGGTCTGCTATCAAGGAACATTGCTAACATGGTTCATAATTTGCTTTTGTTAACTGCAAACCAATATAATCAACTGGTTGTAGAAGAAGTGCATTGCAAACTTGTACGAATTTAACCTACTATGTTAGGCCTGAAATCATTATTTTAAGGAGGGTTTTACTTGAGTAAGTATCACTTTGGGCCCGAAAATTGTGAACGCAGCAGTTAAAACCAACAAAAATAGAAGGAAAGCAATGTAGAGAGAAGAACACTGAAAAGTTTCATACTTGCAAATAGGTTTATATAAATGGTTCCGTCCCCGCCCCCCAAACAAAAAAAAAAGCAATAAAATGTTCGGTGGAGTTGTGGATGAATTATGATTATAGGGAAAGGTTATGCTTAGCACAATTTTAGCTTTATCATTCTTACTGTTTATTTGGTGATAGTTGGATCAATTGGAAATCAACGGCAGTTAGTATTTCATCTTTTTCAACCATTGATCCAACGATAATCAAATAGGTAGTAAGAATGATAAGGTTAAAATGATAGTAAGTATAACTGCCTCATGATTGTAAATTTGTAATTCCAAGATTTGATTTAAATTATTTATTTATATTTTGGCTTTCCATCATTTTAAATTTCATTATTGAATAGATGGTTGCAGCATCAGCATGTATTGTATAGCGCTTCTCCACCACTTCTGCCATTAAGAATCATGGAATTTCATATGTTACAGTAGAAGTAAATTCAAACACGTATAATTAAATATGATGAATCATGTGGAAAATAAAACTTAGCAGAAGAATTGATAGTCCATCTTTAACTGGCCTTGTACCTTTTAAGTGGCACACAAAAATGCAATTAATAGCAGCATAGTAAACAACACCATCAACTCGAAAAGCAGGTAAAGTATTTCACTCGTGGCTTGTCCAGGGGTGTCAATATGGGTTTTGACACGCGGGTCAACCCGCGACACGACACGAAAATTCGTGTTCGGGTTGACCCGTGAAAAAATTCGTGTTGTGTTCGTGTTGGAAAAAATGACACGCAAAAAATTCGTGTCGTGTTCGTGTTTATGAATTCGTGTTCGTGTCGACCCGTATTATTTTTAATTATTATTTTTTAATTTTTTTTTTTAACTTTTTATTTATTTTCGATCTATTTTTTTAAATTTTTTTTGTCAATTACCGTTTTGTCCCCTATTTTGCGTGTTATTCGTGTCGTGTCGTGTCAACCCACAAAAAATTCGTGTCGTGTCAGTGTTGAAGATTTTGACACGAATGAAAATTCGTGTCGTGTTCGTGTTGATGTATTCGTGTCGTGTCGAATTCGTGTCGTGTCAACCCATATTGACACCCCTAGGCTTGCCTGTACCGTTTCCAGAATTGTTTGGGCAAGATCCTTATATCAAGGATCCAGAGCGTGCAAATGCTGGCATAAAGAATCCTTGTTAACAATTTCAAAAAATAAAATAAAAAGAATCCTTGTTAACTGATTTAATGTTTTAATCTTGGGGAAAAACATCTAACTAAATCTCTTATAAGAAAGATCCTTTTTCAGGTTATTGTGAAATGAGTGAATCCCCTTAATGTTGGCATATTCAGGTGCCACTATTTTTTTTTTAAGTAAAACACTTAATTAGAGGTCACATACAATGTAACTACCTTTTACTCTTATCATTTTGTTAAATTCTTGGGTGAGGTGATTCTAGCCATTTCGAGGCATTAGTGGTGATTTAGATAGCACAAAGTTCAATCTTTAAAAGTTACTGGCTATTATAGGAAAAATATACTTGATGTATATTCTCAACTTTTGTAACGAGTTTTTCTACGTCTGTTAAATGTATCATTTAATTGATTAAAGTAAGCGAACTTAAGGTAAAATTAAATTGTGGGATTTGTCAGTATTATGAAAAAATTACTTTCGGCTACATAACATTTTTTGTTTCATTGTTGGACTCTTTACTCAGGATCCATCATCAATTTATTTTGTTTTATTTATTATAATGAGTAGTGGACAAATATTGGACCGATAGAGAAAGAGAGGTGAATGCCCAAGCCCACATTGTCCTGAGGCAGAAGCAGCCTGTGGCCGGCGATTCCCCTCCATTATTTATTTATCATTAGGGAGTAGTGGACACTATTGGACATTCTCTTTGTTCTTACGTTAAAAATAGAAAAACAACATTAAATAACATGTATTAAATATTAACATAATAGTAGTACAAAACATTAAATAATCAGGTAGTAATCAATGTGGAGCACAAAGCGGAAAAATCTATTACATTTATCCTGTTCCTCTTTCCGTTCCTTGAAAGTCCAATTTTGTCTCACCCAATTGTTTAAAACATATGGTGATTTCTCAAGGCAAATATGCCATAAAATAGACCTTTACTGAATAATCTTTTCACCTTTTTTGTGTGTGTGTGTGTGGCCCTTTTAGTTTCTTCATTCTCAAAAGGTATTGTGTCCAAGTGAAGTTTACTCCAAAATAAAAACTGCTGCAGTCGCATAAATTGCCCTTTCAACGAGAAAGTCAAGAAAATGATGACCGCCCTCTAGAACCACTCACACATGACATGCATTTTGACTGACAAGATTTTTCCTTCTAAGTCAAGTTCTTTTTTTTATTATTTGTACCCAAAAAAATTCAGACCCCATTCATTTATTTTTCCTAAACATAAAAGTATTAGCATGTTGGTTATTGGGCAGGTATATATAAAAGTCTACTTAACCAAGCTAACTCATGGGTTCCCCCAAAATTTCCCCTTTTTGGTCAAAGGTTAATCCTTGGGAAATGGAAATCATGGGTCTCTAAAAACGGCATGCATTAATATATGTTACAGATAATACTATATTGTTGTTATTGTTAACCATGAATTTTAATGTGGTGTAGTGGGTGACAGCAGAAGATAGGAAAAGGAATCATGTTGCAATTGTAACTTTCAAGGTTAGCTTGGAGTGAACTAATACTTCACCAAACAATGATACCTTCTTATCTAATCCAAGAAACAAACATTTTTGTGGTTGAGTGCGTAGGTCTGTCTTCCATTCATCCTAATCCCAAAAGCGTCAAATATGCGGGTAGTAGTGGGCAACAGCAAATATTGGACCCAATTAACCAATTTTGTCCATCAATCCTTGTTAGATAGATTTTTATTTAGGGATAAGTTATTTGTAGTAAATGTAATAGGACGTTATTTTGAGAAAAAAATTACGATGTTTTTGTAATTTTAATTTATTTCAGGGTTATTATAATCTTTATAATTATAATTTTCTAATCTTTCAATCCAAAACGACGTCGTTTTGAAAGTAAATGCAGATAACTTATCTATATTAACTGCATAAATATTTTTCTATTTTTTTTTGGGTGACTATGAGAAAGTCATAAAGATAAGAGCATTAGAGAGATAAGCGAGCCCTTACGGGCACATGGATTTTGCCATTGTAGCAGCTCAACAAATCAATGCTTCAAAGTTGAAACCTCAAACTAATGATTATGGAGTAGATATCAGCAGTTTTTGGCATGTATAATTGAGAAAGACATTTCACTCTCCGCTTGATTAAAAATATAACACTTTGCAGGCTTATAATTCCACCTAATTAATTCAATTACAAAAAAATCACCTAATTAATTATATCTATGCACCAGATCTGCAAAACAACAAACTTTTGGTGGGCACGGCACCATGTGAGGACTGTGTGATCTGTGGGATGTTAGCTTTGCTTGTATTTTGAAGCGTTACGTTTATATATCATTGATTGATCTTCATTTTCATGAGAACTAGTGGGAAGCTTCCATTTATGTTACGGATAGGGGTGTTGTTAGACACATTTGAGGAATGTAAGTAGTGTTTTGTTTTTTATACCAAAAAATAAAATAAAAAAATAGTGTTTTGTTTTTAATACTCTTTTACAATTATAAACAATAATGAACTAAAGTGTGGTTAAAATCAAATCGTTTCATTTAATATAAGCAGTGGATGTAGATAAGTTATCTACATTCATTCTCAAAACAACGTTATTTTGGGTTAAAAGCTTAAAAAATTATAACGAGAAAGACTATTATAATCCTGAAATAAATTATAATTATAAAAATACCATGATTTTCGCCCAAAACGACGTCATTTTGAGCTCAATATAAATAACTTATTACATTGATCACAAAAAAAGCAAACCAATATACAATTTATAATATTTTTTAGTCTCCTTTGAAAGAGCTTTAGTTTTGTGGTCCCGGTGCATATTTCAATGAGTGGGTCACAAGAGTGAAAAGAGAGGAGAGAGAAAAATTCTTTTTTTTTTTTTTTTTTTCAAGTATCACATTTTTAGTGAAAGGACCACAATGAACTAGGATCTATGAAGCACCGACACTTCAGAGATCTTGACGTGTCGTGTCCGACACTTCCTGATACTCTCCGACACTTTGACACTCTCCGACACTCCAACACTAATAGATTCGTTGGATTACAATTATAATTTTATTGAGTTTAATATAAATATTTGGGGCATCTTATATTTCTTTACAAAATTGATGAGTATTATAAGTTTAACTTCATTTTTTTGTTAAATTATTGAATATTAAATATAATATACACTACATAAATAAAAAATATTATTTAATATCACAACGTGTCCTAACGTGTCGAAATATAACAGTTTTTAAAATTAATGTATCGGAGTGTCGTATCATGTCGTGTCACATGTCTCGTATCGATATCGGTGCTACGTAGACTAGGATCACGTTAAATTCCCCCCCTTTGAACATGGACATGCAATGGCCACCCACACCACAAGTACTGACACTAGAAAACAAATAGAAAACAGGAGTTGTTAAGTTTTAGTTTAATATCTTTTTAGTTCTCAATCATTTTTGTTAAGTGAATAACCGCTGGGCTACATGCGTTTAGTTGGTCTAAGCATTGGGAAAACAAAAAAGATCATTAAAAAACTGAAAGGGGAATAAATATTGTTGTACATAATGGTATAAGAAGAAAACAAAGAAGAAGAAAAAAAAAAACCTAATGAGGGCTTTAGTTGACACTATTGATATACCCTCAAAAAATGTTCAATACACAAAACAACAGAGCTTACGGGTATGAATGCAATTAATGTCTTAAATATCAAAGTTGCAAATGCTTAAACAACAATAATAGCATCGCATGCCCATCAAGTAAAACCTTCCTAGCATAGTTCATCCCAAGTCCAAATCATTACCAGCTACTGACATTACACCGCTAATACCGTCCCTCGTTAAGCCATTAAATGGCACAAAAGAATATTACAAAGCTTAATTAATTTTCTTAATCATTTCAATTTTGGTGAATACATAATAACTAAGAATACCATGCACAGAAAATAGTTCATGCAATACCATGATTACCATCACAATCTCATTTTTATTTCCAACTCAAAACTTTAATACGAGTCAGGCTGCAAAATGATAAAGAAAATAAAAATAAATGCAAACCACTTGAAACCATCTTTAATTGTATCATGCAAGTGGTCATGGTGTTGTTTTCGCTGGAGTTTGAAAAAGAAAAACTTTCTGTGTCCATTATCTTGTACCTTTTTTATCAGGAAAACTGATCCTTACCCCCTCCTCCACCAGCGACAAACATGACGTTATTCTAAGGCTCCACTATTAGAATAATTTCATCCAAAAAAAAAAAAACAATATAGAGAAGAAAATTAGAATAATTAAAAAAAAAGCAGGAGAGAGATTTTCCTTGACCAACCAATATACCTTTTTAGTCAAGGGGAGATAATATAAATATTAATTAACTATACAACTTAATTTTCATCAACCTTTTAAACACAAGTAAATCTTTTTGGATACAAACAAACACATGTAAAATTTGATATTTCCTAAGAAGTATGGTAGTTAAAATTGAGATTTTACGTAAAATAAAAAAAAAGATAAAAGAATCATAAAATGTAAAATCATAAAATAAAAAAATCGTAAAAACATAAAAACATTTGAAATTTTGATGAAATCGTTTTGATTAAAAAAATCGTAAAAACACAAATTTAAATCAGAATTTTAACTATCATGCTTACAAGCATTAAATAGACTGGATCATATCAATATTTATGAATATGAGTTAATTATAAAATTTAAATGTAAGATTCACATATGAAGAGATCCATGAATTTTTCAATTTTACCAATGTTAACTTAGAAAATACAATATATACACTAATTAATGCATTATTTAAAACATAGCAGTCTGAAATATTGTTATGATTATTTTCTTTTTTCAGTGATTGATTGGCATAAAAGAAAAAGTTTTTTCTAGACCGGTACCTGAAGAGGAAGGGGAGGCATTTAGGCTTGTCTATAAGTAACAAATGTTTTGCTCACAATGGACACATGAAGTGTCTTTCCTATATGTATTTGTACAGAGTACAGACACAATTTTCCTGCTAAGAAAGTTTTTATGTTCTCTATGTCATTAAATTATCAAACTTCTTTACACACCCTGTCTGTCTCTGTGACCTTGCAATTTTTGCAGTAACAAAACCTTAACTCTTTAAAACCTTTATGGCTGCTTCCTGGCCTAGGTGCTAGCCCATTTATGAAAAACCACACAAATCTTTAGTTTGGTTGATTCAGGAAATGGGTTCTCAGATAAGGCTTCTGGGTCTGTGTTTATGGATGTATTTGGTAAGCTTCAGATTCATTGGAGTGAATGCTCTGAATGAAAGAGGAGTTGAAGCTGTTAAAGGGATTGTTTTTATTCATGGGAAATCTGCTATTGGTAAGATTGATGATGATTTTATCTGTGCAACTCTGGATTGGTGGCCTCCTCAGAAATGCGACTATGGAAAATGCAGTTGGGGTCATGCTTCTCTGCTCAATCTGGTATTATTCTTTTCTTTTAGTCCTATGGTTCCTGAATCTCTAAAAAAGTGTTTTTTTTTTTTTTGAAAACATCACTCTCTGCATGATGATGTTCTTTAACTTTTTTAGAATGATGCTTGAATCTATCTAGAATGCATGTTTACGGTCTCTTAGCTCAGCTGCCAAAATTTTGTGCACGGTTCTAATAATATAGAGAACCTTCAGAATCTTATGCAGTTGGTAAATGAAATAGAAAATTTACATATTATAATTTTCATCTCATGCAGGACCTCAACAACAAAATTTTGTTGAATGCAGTAAAAGGTAAGAGAGATTTCATTTCACATATCTCTATAGTTTTCACAGCAATTTTCTTCATTTTTTTAGTAATTTTATTGGACGATTCACGGTTGTTTTGAGAGTTTAATAAGGCACTCGTTGCCTCTGGATGTTGTGCAGCCTTTTCACCCTTGAAAATTAGATTGGGTGGCACGTTGCAAGATAGGGTCACATATGGGACTGAAGATAATCGGAAACCCTGTATTCCTTTTGTTTGGAACACTAAGGCAATGTTTCGTTTCACTGAAGGGTGCTTACCGATGCATAGGTGGGATGAGCTAAACAGCTTTTTCCAAAAAGCAGGGTAAAAATCAGTTCCCCTTGTTGTTGTTGTTGCCTGTGTTTTAGTTTTAGGACTAAGCAGATTCATCTTGTGGATTTGGCAACTGTGTTTTTAACAAGTTTAAACATTAATGATAGGTATATTTCAGGGCTAAGGTTATCTTTGGATTAAATGCTCTTGCTGGAAAATCTGGAACTGCTGGTTCTGCTGTTGGACCTTGGAACCACTCCAATGCTGAATCTTTTATACGTTACACAGTAAGAAAGAAGTACACCATTCATGGTTGGGAACTTGGTAAGTGTATGCCTGCCCTCATTACAAATGCCAGAGTAGGAAGTGCTGCTGCCACAATAAGACTATAATTGAAAATGGTGATCTTAAATCTGTCATTGTCTTTATCACAAGGCACGATTTCTTTTGAAAATGATAACCATTCATCCAAAAATTTAATTTTTTATACAAATATTTGTAGTTGTCAATTTTGTTTCTTTGTTAAAAGAAAGAAAAATAGCAAATTTCCTTCTATATAATTAACTGTTCTGTTGTATATTAAGCCATAATGAATAAATCTGTCTTGCTTGGGGGCTTGTGTATTTGGACTAAACTACAAGGATCTTTTTTCACGGGCAGGCAATGAATTGTGTGGGAATGGAGTTGGAACAAGTGTTTCTGCAGATCAATATGCTTCTGATGTAGCTGCTTTACGATACATAGTTCAAAATGCATATAGAGGAATTGAGCCAAAGCCACTTGTCATTGCACCTGGAGGCTTCTTTGAGGCAAATTGGTTCAAGGAATTTGTTAGCAAATCGGGTGAATCTGTAGATGTGGTCACCCACCACATTTATAACCTTGGAGCAGGTATTTTCCACCAAACAGGACAAAAATTTATTATGTTTTCCCAATCTCCATCAATTTGACTTGAACTGAAAGCTACTTACATGTAGGAGTTGATGACCACCTAACTGATGAAATTCTCAATCCTTCCTTTCTTGATGGGGTGGCCAGCACATTCAGCAGCCTTAAAAATATACTTCAAAGTTCAGCAAACTCAGCAAAAGCATGGGTTGGTGAGGCAGGTGGGGCTTACAATAGTGGGCATCATCTTGTGTCTGATGCATTTGTCTACAGCTTCTGGTTAGTGTTACTCCCCGTTATTGGTCAATATATCAGTAGGGATTCTTTACAAGTGTTTCATCTAATGTAATCATATCATACACAGGTATTTGGATCAGCTTGGCATGTCAGCTTCTTATGACACCAGAACGTACTGCAGACAGACTTTGATAGGAGGAAACTATGGTTTACTGAATACTAGTACTTTCGTGCCAAATCCAGACTATTATAGGTACTATAAAAATTGAATTTCATTGTTGAACAATAGGCACCGTAACTATGGACTCGTTTGGTGCAGCATTATTGTGTCATTCTTCCTAAGCTGATATATCAGATTTTCTGTTCCCATGCATGTGACGTTTGCTTCATTAATTTGCTTGCCTCTTTGTCAAGGATCCCATTTTTCAATAGAACAAGTGGTTTTATTAAAGGGGGTCCCATTTGAAGTAAATTCATAATATTATTTTTATAATATTTCTGTGGTTATGATGTGCTTTGTCCCTTGCAGTGCTCTTCTTTGGCACCGACTCATGGGAGGACGTGTCTTGTCAACTACCTTCATTGGGACAAAGAAGATAAGAGCCTATGCACACTGTGCAAAGGAATCTGTGAGTGATATTTTGCATCAGTATGAATATTTAGTAGATATATTATTTGTGAAATCTGATTTGATGCTGTCTTACAGAAAGGAATCACAATACTATTACTCAACTTGGACAACAGCACCACTGTTCAAGCCGAAGTGGCCATAAAATACACTGAGAGTTTGTGGCACAGAAAGAGGTCTCGTAATTCAAATTTTACTAAGCTACCTTACCCTCGTGTGAGTGAACCAGCCAGAAAAGAGTACCATTTAACAGCAAAGGACGGGAATTTACATAGCCAAATCATGTTACTAAATGGAAACATTCTGACTGTAAACTCAGCTGGTGATATTCCCCCCTTGAATCCTATATATGTAGACTCATCAAAGCCAATAATAGTTGGTCCTCTCTCAATTGTATTTGCCAATATACCAGATGTTGTTCTTCCAGCTTGCAGCTAGCTCAGTGGCACTAGGCGAAACCGAAAATTGGTTTCACTTGGTTGTTGAGAAAATAAGAGATAAAATACATGGAAAATATCTTCATTTTCAATTTCTTGGTGATAATTGCCCATTTTTTTTGTGGGGGGTCAAGCACTAGGACTTTGATTGGTTTTGTTTGTTACCCAATGCATACCATTCAGTTCATTAATGCAATTTTTAAATTTTATAATTTGAAAGTCACATTCAATCTCCTGCCATAGGTAGATGAGTCATTTTCTCCTGCACATTTAATGCTTGATTGCTGAGATGTTAATAACTTAAAAAGATTATTCAAATGGTTACAAATATGGCCATTTCATGGTTGAAACTTGAAACCGAACGATCAGAGCATCAAAAGTTGGTAGGAAAATACAACAGATTCTTGACCTTCCATGCTTTTCAACACGTCAATACATTTTTTTGGTGACCAGCCAGCATCATCTATTAAAAATATACAACTGATATAATGAGCTACAGTAAAAAAAAATTACAGACACTCATATAATATACCTACGCTATCATTTCTTTGTACTTAACTCACATGATCCGATTTGTATATCGAGCGAATATATACACCCCCTCTGTCAAAAGTCAGTTTAGTATTGAAGGTTTTCTTGGCTGTGTTCAGACTTCAGAGTAATGAATGATTGAAACATGAATCAGTTTGGCTCAAAATTTTTGAGGCTTACTGCTGGCGAACACCAACCATACCACGGTACCAGTCAAATAGAAGAAGATTGATGGTGCAAATAGTGATATCTACATGGTATGGAGAATAAATATAAATCAAATATAGAATAAAACGATATACATCATACAATGAGAAAATATTTATATTAGCACCAACTTACACTCCATGAATGAGTTGAATCAAGAAGATAACCAGTGAGGGCTACACCTACAATTCCAGGTATTGCCCCAACAGTATTAGTTATACCCTGAGGCAAAACACAGAATAAAAAGAAAGTCAGGTACAATTAAAATCAAATATATTAAGGCTACATATATTTCTTTAACATACAAAAAATCACGGATATGGCTCCAACCTCTGAGAGGAAAAAAGGACTATGATTTAATCTAGGAGTAAGAAGCCTTCTCGAGCTAGTCCTAGACAACTTAGGCGAAGAGGAATTTTTTCGGTTGGGGAAATTTGATACTCTTCAAACTTAGGATTGGAGAAGAAGTCCCACAAGTTAATCACAAACTATAACTCATGAAAAGCAAGGCCTCAACATGAAGTTGCTAGTGGAAAGATTGAAATTCTTGAATCAGAAAAACTAAACAAATGCAGTTTTAATTTTTAAAGATGCAGAGAATAATTGTGTCCCTTTTCTGAATTTGATGGGAAAATCATGCTACCTTCGTTAAGATTTCTTTTTAGCCTGCAAGTCAAGGACTGAAAAATAATGACAGATGAAAAAACTAAAAAAATCAAATTATTGTTGGTAAGGATTTGAGTTGGTGCGATCTTTCACCAAAAATACCTTCTCACAACCTTCCATTGTATGACATAAGAGACTAATGGAGTAAGAAGTGTAAGCACACGTACCAGAAGTATACTTGCATATTCCGGAGACATGTCTTGATGGGTACAATAAAGTCCTGCAGAAGCAGATAAATACACAAACAGTCAAGGCAAAGAAAAGTTTATGATCTAATTATTTATTACATAAAACAATCAGACAAAGTATATTTCCAGGATTATCTACTACCTGACAAGGCAAAGCTTGAGAGGGCTAAACCACCTGTGAGAAGTCCCACAATCTCCCCAGGCGGTAACCCTAGATCCAGCGAGGAAAGAGTCATGCAGATTGCAGGGGACAAAAATGCAATTGATTGGCAGATCTTTCGAACCTATTATATATGTGTTTGAAAGAAATTTAGGCAGCCAAGAAATTAAGAGCAAAAGTCAAGACAGGTATGTTAAAATAATTCGTAAAGTGTCATGTCTGCATTGGGTATACAGCCACAAAATGTACTGTGTCTACATTCAGCAAGGCGAAGTAGTGTCTTTACCACAACTGTTATTGTGTCTACAGCTAATTTGAATGCAAAATCTAGCATGAGAGATGGTCATGGCCACAAAACATGAAATTCTATTTCTTTCCAAAATATGTTGTCAGCTATATCATAAGGAAATATATTTGATAATTGATATCATGAGCTATTAGAGTAACTGCTCGAATGGCAGTTACTGAAGCTATTGTAGTTTGCTAGCTGACTCATGAGTCAACTAGGTAGTTATTCTAAGTCAGCTAGGCAGTTACAGTTACTCCCTTAACACCCTAACTAAAAATGTATCTCTAATCTCTTTTAGTAAGGTGATTATTTTGTAAGAGATAATCTAAGATACAACCATGATATTTTGAGATATTTTTCATATATTTAACTACTATGGCAGTTAATGAAGCTATTGGAATCTGTTAGCTGAGTCAGCTAAATAGCTATTCTAAGTCAACTAGCAAATAGTTACGAAGTTACTTCCTGAACTTCCTAACTATGGTTAATGCATTCTAATGCTTTTCAGTAATAAAACGTCCTAAGATTCTCTGAACTCTCTCTCTCGCTCTCTCTCTCTCTCAATACTTTCTTTCTGTTTCTCTTACTTTCTCACACACACTTGATTTGTATCTTAAGCAGTAAGTTTTGATATAATAAACATACAAAAAAGTGGTTTAACGATGTTTCAGTGCCTCTCATACCGTAGTGGTTTCAACTCCTCTTGAAATCAAGTTGTCGGCTAACTGTGCTGCAATACTTGTCACAAATATTGAAGCCAATGGTGGAAGAATAGACACCTGAAATGATTAAGAACTTACAATTGTTAGCATGTATATAACTTGGGCCTGTTTCCTCTCAAAAGAATGCTTTTAAGCAATGTTTTAAAAATAAGACTAAATCAGCTGGTTCAACCAGCCGGTATTTAGTCCAATCACCCCCTAAAATGAAACATGGTTAAGAACTAGCTAAAAAAAACTCCACATTGAACTGGAAAAAAAATTGCACTCATTGTATTTTCATAAATTATATATATAATGCTTGTTTCGTTTTTAAAATTATAAACTTATGCATTTTAAGTAGTTTAATATTGTTAAACTTGTATATTTGCTATTTTATTTATTTTTTGTAATTATTTTAGCTATTTGTTCATCTATTTTTAATTGTTTTTATTATCACTGGTCTGATCTTCTGTTCAAACAGATTGAATAATGAACTGGATGCCTCAATAGGTTTATGTCTGGTCCAGCTTTTTAAAACATCGATTTCATGTCAAGTAGCAAAATTTGTAAGCAGGTGAAGCACTTACAGTTAACCCATTGTACATAGCTCAACCATTGATTCAAGAAGCTCGTAGTCAAGTAGAGTTGTGGCCCAATAAGTATGAACCAATTGTTGAAAGAGGCAATGATTTGAAATATAACAAATTACAATCAAATCCAAGTCCCAGTAAAGCAGCAGATGTGATTGTGATTTGTCTGGGAAGAAAAGAAAAGCAACATATTTGGCGTGATTTGAGATTAAAGATTTGGGATGTATTTTGAATTATTTATTTGTAATCATTTATTTATTTTTAGACGTTAATGACTGTTATATTTATTTTAGGAAGTTTTATTATTTTTAGAATTTTAGATTTAGAATTTTGAATCAATTTGTAATTAGTTTATAAAAAGGTGCTTATGACCTTTATTCTAGAAGTTGAATTTTGTTATTTGTTAATAGAAATTGAGAACCTGAGGGTTATTCTTTTATGAAATCCTAACTTTCTGTTTGGCCACTTTTTCTATGCGTTTTCGGCATCATTTGGTATCAGAGCACTAGGTTGCCTTCAACCAATGGCTGAACAGAATCGTGGAGGTCGACGACGGCGGAGTCACAAGGGTAGGGAATGTGGATTCGTTCCTGAAGAATATAGACAACTGCGTCAGATTGACCCGCGAGATATAGAAAATGAATAGCTCGGAAGGCGGATCCAGGATTTGAAGCAACAACTTGAGCAAGCGTTGGACAAGAAAATTCAAGTTTTGAAGCGACTATGTGTGCGGGCACATAGAAAGAGAATTCAAGATTTGGAGCGACGACCCGTGCGAGTATGCATGAAAATTCAAATTTTGAAGCAAACTCTTGTGGAGGTGCAGAGCATGGAAATTCAATATTTGGAGTGGCGACTTGTGTGGACAAAGTTGGGCATTCAATCCGAAGAAGGAATGGAATTAGATGACGCATTTGATGACGAAGAAGAGGACGTCAATCCCTTGGGAATTCTAAACCAAGGACAGAATTGGGAAGTATGACCTGAAAATCAGTCCACTTTTCAAGATATCGAGATGCAAATCAGCATTCCTAACTTCAAAGTCTATGATCATAATCCAGTTTGTGATGATGATCCGATCTATGATGATAATCCAATTTATGATGATTATTCGATTGTTGATAATTACCCAATTTATGATAATTACCCATCTTATGATGAAAATTCAGTTTATGATGATAATCCAGTCTATAATAAATCTGATGGAGAATCAGATTATGAAGATCTAATAGAGGAATATTTGTCATTTGAGTTTTTGTCTAAAGAAATTGAGATTAGTGAAGATAAACAAGATTCGAGGACGAATCTTTTCTTAGTAGGGGAGAATGATGCACTTACAGTTGGCCCATTGTACATGGCCCAACCATTGATTCAAGAAGCTCGTAGTCAAGTAGAGTTGTGGCCCAATAAGTATGACCCATTAAGTATGACCCAATTGTTGAAAGAGGCAATGATTTGAAATATAACAAATTACAATCGAATCCAAGTCTCAGTAAAGCAGCAAATGTGATTGTGATTTGTTTGGGAAGAAAAGGAAAGCAACATATTTGGCGTGATTTGAGATTAAAGATTTGGGATGTATTTTGAATTTTTTATTTGTAATTTTTTATTTATTTTTAGACGTTAATTACTGTTATATTTATTTTAGAAAGTTTTATTATTTTTAGAATTTTAGATTTAGAATTTTGAATCAATTTGTAATTAGTTTATAAAAGGGTGCTTATGACCCTTATTCTAGGAGTTGAATGTTGTTATTTGTTAATAGAAATTGAGAACCTGAGGGTTACTCTTTTATGAAATCCTAACTTTCTGTTTGGCCACTTTTTCTATGCGCTTTCGGCATTAGCAGGGTTGTCCATGACATTTTTCATTGAAATCTTGTTATACTCAGTAACTCCTTGATAATTTTGTTGGTGATGATATGCCAGTTTTGAGGTCCACTGCAGCATAATCAACTTGTGTTAAAATTGCAATACAAAGCATGCGATGTTGCTTTGTAATGAAACTACTAGTAAGCAATGATGGTATATGCTACTACTCATGCCCTACAACAAAAATCCATCATGTCCCTACTGCTGTTACTGACGTCAGATAACTACCAAAGAACTGGACCACTATTAAGTACAAATCATAATCACAGAATATTTTGGAAATTCTATGTCAGAATATATTTATTCCAGACTCATTTACTGGTATGTATCAAATATCTTTTCAAAGTATAGAACTTTTCCAATGAATTGCTCACATATCAAAATATAAGACCAACAGAAAAACCTTATTTTCTTTCATCTTTATTAAAAAAGTAAAGTGGTATCATATTAAGGCAGGGCTATTTCTTAAATCAAATAATTTGAATACATATCCAACCAATTGAATGAAGGCTAAGATGTGCCGATTTATACATGAATTTCGTTTTAATCTACTTCAATGTAATGAGTTTTGAACCATATAGTGCCACTTATTTACAACAACTACTAACTGTTTTATTGCAGATGATAAATCTTAATTGCTACAATAATGTGCCACCTTGTTTACAGAGTTTAAGATGTTTCACAATATTAGCGGTTAATAGATCAAATTTAAACTCTTAAAAATTAAAATATTATGTGAAAATTACAATTTCTCATGCACAAAGGTTACTATATTTTGAGGTTTATTTTATCTGTCTAAAACAGCTTATTGCACATCCTACTGTTGAAGTCAAACATAAAGAATGAAAACAGTTACTTTTCCTCCTTCGAGACATGAAGAAACTGGGTTATCTAAAACAAGAAAGAAAAGTAATTATTACCCATGCAGCTTCTCTAAGATTTAGGTTCAGCTCCTCACTGCATAGCATATAGATGGAACAATTAGATTCTCCATTAGGTCAAAATTGTAAATAATGTCTACACTAAATGTTCTGCAGAAATTTAAAATAAAATCTTTAAAATAAAACCACTACTACAAAGTAATGCTGAGCAATCATACAGTAGCTTTGGGTTTTTCCAAGGCATTATAGAGGTTTTACATGTTAAACTCAGAGAAATTGGGATAAAAACTGTATGTTCTCCTTTGGAGAATTCTCATTTAAATAGCATGATACAATCTGATTTCTAGCCTTGAAGTTTGCTAAAAAGCTATAAAATGGTAACCTACAGCTGGCTAATTAATTGAGGACATAATTACACACTAACCTACAACTGGCTAATTAATTAAGGATATAATTACACAGTAACCTACAGCTGGCCAATTAATTAAGGATATAATTACACAATTACAGCTATACAATCATTCAAGATATAATTACAAATCTGCACAAATAATGCCAAATATTCTGCCCATATTGACATCCCCCCTCAAATTGATGCTGGTGAATCTACAAGCATCAATTTGCTGACTAGGAAATTATGCCGTTGACGTGTCAAAGACTTGGTGAGGATGTCAGCTAGTTGAACAGATGTTGAGACATGAGGTAGAGTGATAATTCTACAGTCATAAGCTTCCCTGATTGAATGGCAATCGACCTCTATGTGCTTTGTTCTTTCATGGTATACAGGATTTGCTGCAATCTGTATGGCACTTGTATTATCAGCATACAATGGAGTTGGTGTTGCTTGTGAATAACCAAGTTCTGAAAGAAGGCCCCGTAACCAAATAATCTCAGAGCATGCTGTAGACATGGACCAATATTCTGCTTCAGTGGAGGATTTAGAGACAGATTCATGTTTCTTGCATTTCCAGGAGATAGGGGCATCTCCTAAAAACATACACCAGCCAGTAGTAGACTTCCTTGTGTCGGGACATCCAGCCCAATCAGCATCGCTATATGCTTGAAGTTGTATTGTTGCATTTGTCGGAAAGAAGATACCACGGCTGGGAGTGGCCAACAAATATTTAATGATTCGTTGTATTGTGTAAGATGCAAGTGTCTAGGATTTTGCATGTATTTGCTGACTGTGTGGACCGCAAAAGAGATATCAGGTCTTGTGATGGTTAGGTAGATGAGACTTCCTACCAACTTTCGATATAAAGTTGGGTCTTGTAGGAGTTCACCTTCATCCCGTCTTAACTTGACATTAACTTCCATGGGAGTGTCAACCATAGTTGCAGTGGTGAGACCAGCTAGCTGAATTAGATCCTGAGTATATTTGTGCTGAGTGACAAAGATGCATTTTTGCTGGAATTGTACTTCTAATCCCAAGAAATAAGTGAGTTGTCCAAGATCTTTCATGTGGAAAGTTGAATGCGTCAATTGTTTGATTGTAGTGATAGCCTCTTGATCTGAGCCGGTGACGATAATGTCATCCATATAAACAAGGAGAATCACAATTCCTTTGGAGGTCCTTTGTAGAAAACGAGATGGATCATAGCTACTTTGGATGAAGGAAAAACCAAAACCAAGTAATGTTGTGCGAAACTTTTCAAACCACACTCTTGGTGCCTGTTTTAATCCATACAAAGAACGTTTTAGCTTACAAACAGTATTAGGTAATAGTGAGGGCATACCCGTAGGAAGTTTAATGTAAACTTCTTCTTTGAGGTCACCATGAAGGAAGGCATTTTTGACATCTAGCTGGTGAATTGGCCAAGATTTAGATGCAGCAATGGCAATAATAGTCCGCACAATAGTCATCTTGGCCACTGGCGCAAAGGTCTCTTCATAGTCTAGGCCAAATTCTTTCTTATTTCCAAGAACAACCAATCTAGCCTTGTATCGATCGATGGATCCATCTGAACGCAACTTTATAGTGAATACAAATTTACTGCCAAGAGGTTTGACCGATGGAGGACATCGAACAATGTCCCATGTCTGATTTTCCTCTAGTGCAAGAAGTTCAGTTTCTATAGCATCCTGCCAACATTTATGCTCCATTGCCTGTTTATATGAAGAAGCAATAGGAACAAATGCTAAAGTTGTTGTCAAAGATAAAGATTCAGAAAAACCATACTTTTCCGGTGGTTTACGAATGCGAGTACTGCGACGAAAAGGGGCTGGTTCTAGTGCATGCACTGGATCAGCAGCCAGAGAATGATCAGAAGGGGGCCTTGAAGGGATTGAAGTCTGAATTGGTGGAACAGTTGGACGTCTTTGGTAGACAATGACAGGAGGACGAGCTTGTTCTTCTGCAAAACTGTTAGGAAACAATGGCAAGACAGATTTGGATGTAGAAGATTGAGTGTCTTGGTTAGTAGCAAAAAAATATGTATCTTCTTGAAAGATGACATTTCTAGAAACCCGAATCCTATGTAAGTGAGGATCATAGCATATAAAACTGTAGAAAATTAGAATTCAAACATGTTTCCGTTTTTATTTCCTATTAATTAGGATTGATTATGATTGATTAGGATTGATTATGATTGATTAGGATTAATTGTGATTGATTAGAATTGATTGTGATTAGGATTGTGATAGGATTGATTAGTCATCGCTTAGTCATTCTTAGCGATTCTTTCTTGTATAAATACTCACTCATGTAATTTATTCAATATCAATATACAAAAAACTTCTTTTCAATATGGTATCAGAGCGGGTTCGTTCCTACCCTAATTCAAATCTGAAATAACCATCCAAACACTTCCATCACCGTCAAACACCTCCTAAACACCGCCTTGAATCTGTCCAACACAGAAACCTAGTTTACTGACCTCCGATCAAAAAAGTGAGGTGACCATTCGACTCAGAAGGATCCGACGAGTCGACCGCCGCTGGACCCATCGCCGTCAGCCGCTGCACGCGCCACCACGCGCCGCCTTCCAGACGTTTTTTTTCCGTCGCGACTTGCACAGACCTTCTCGCCGGCTTCTCCCCTTCCTGTTCCAGAGGTCAGATCAAAAGTTTACAAAACTTGATTTTTCATCAACGGTCAACCCTTCTCTTTTTATTCATGGCTTCCTCAAAACACTCTTTTTATTACCACGAGCAACCTCCTAAGGCCACTAGTCATGTGGTCCAGCAAGGTACAACTTTCCATGTTGATAGTCAAAATCATTGGATCCTTGATTCTGGAGCCTCTGATCATATGACAGGTAATCTTGGCTTGTTTTGTTCATACACTCCATATTCTGAACCTTCTCGGGTCAAGATCGCCGATGGCAGTTTTTCCCAGATTGCGGGACACGGAACCATTAAACTTTCTGAGCTGATTACTTTGACATCAGTTCTTTATGTTCCTTCTCTGACTTGTAATCTCATTTCCATTAGCAAGCTCACCTCTGAGTTGCATTGCTTTGCTAAATTCTTTCCACATGGTTGTGTTTTTCAGGAACAGGACTCGGAGAGGATGATTGGCAGTGCTAGAGAGGATGGTGGACTTTACTACTTTGAGGAGGATGTGACTCATGAAGCTGTTTTCGTAGAAAAAAACTCTATGTTTCCTTTTGATTCATGTAATGATGTTATGCTGTGGCATCGTAGGCTAGGCCATCCAAATTTTATTTATCTTCAGAAGTTGTTGCCAAACTTATTTATTAATAAAAGTCCAAGTTTGTTTTCTTGTGATATTTGTCAACTTGCCAAGCATACTCGTGCTCATTATCCTTCTAAAGTTCACCATGACTCTTCCCCATTTTCCTTAATTCATAGCGACATATGGGGTCCAGCCCGTGTTAAAAATATTTCAGGTACTCGATGGTTCATTACCTTCATTGATGACCATTCTCGAGTTTGTTGGGTGTATCTTCTAAAGGATAAGTCCGATGCTGCATCCGTGTTTAAAAAATTTCATGCCATGGTTCAAACCCAATTCCAAGTTGCTATACAAATTCTTCGTACAGATAATGGCAAAGAGTATTTTAACTCTATTCTTGGAGAATATCTTTCCCAACATGGCATCCTTCACCAAAGCTCGTGTCCTGACACACCCCAACAAAACGGAGTTGCGGAAAGAAAAAACCGACATCTCCTTGAAGTTGCTCGGGCTCTTATGTTTACCACGAGTGTTCCTAAATATCTTTGGGGAGAGGCAGTTCTCACTGCCTCGTATCTGATAAATCGAATGCCATCTCGCATTCTGAAATTTCAGTCTCCTCTTTCTAGTCTTGTTCGTATCTTCCCTTCCTTCCGAGGTGTCTCCTCCTTACCTCTCAAGTTATTTGGTTGTGTTGTATTTGTCCATATTCCCTCCCATCAACGGTCTAAGCTTGATCCTAAGTCTCTCCAGTGTGTCTTTATTGGTTATTCTCCTACTCAACGTGGCTATAAGTGTTATTCACCCTCTCTTCGTAAGGTCTTTGTCTCTATGGATGTCACTTTTTCTGAGAATGACCCTTTCTTCCCCTCGACTTCTCTTCAGGGGGAGTCTATAGGAGTAGATGAAGATCAGTCATGGGAACCTATTAATGCCACAGTATTACCTCTACTTTTGGAAACAGGGGGAGCTACAGAATCCTCACCATCAGGAGCCTCCTCAACATGGGGACAAGTTTATAGCAGGCGAAAGCCTCCTCAAAGTGTGAATAACCCAGAGCCTCTACACTGCCAGGATTCTGAACCATGTTCTAGTTCCAGCACCCCAATACTTGAGTGTCATGGTGAAAATGATCTACACTTGCCCATTGCTCTCAGAAAAGGTACTCGATCTTGTACTACTCATCCTATTTCTAATCATATTTCATATGGAAAGTTGTCCCCAGGGTTTCGTGCTTTCAATACTATGTTGGATAGTACAAAGATACCGAGAAATATACATGAGGCTCTCAATGATAAAAAATGGAGGGATGCTGTCTTTGAAGAAATGAATGCTTTAGAAAGAAATGGAACTTGGGAGATAGTGACCCTACCCAAAGGAAAAAAGGCAGTAGGATGCAAATGGGTGTTTACAATAAAATTCAATGCAGATAATAGCATCAACAGATACAAGGCAAGATTGATTGCAAAGGGTTTCACTCAGACTCATGGGATAGATTATCATGAGACTTTTGCTCCGGTTGCTAAAGTCAATACCATCCGAGTTCTCTTATCTCTTGCTGCCAATCTAGATTGGCCTCTGCAACAGTTAGATGTGAAGAATGCATTCCTAAATGGTGACTTACATGAAGAAGTCTATATGGATCCTCCACCTGGTTTTGAAAGGGGAAATGAATCAGTGTGTAAACTAAAAAAGTCTCTATATGGATTGAAACAGTCTCCCAGAGAATGGTTCGACAAATTCACACAAGCAGTCAAAAGAAGAGGCTTCATTCAAGCACAGACTGATCATACTCTCTTCCACAAACACTCTAAGGATGGTAAAATTGCTATTCTTATTGTATATGTAGATGATATAATTCTTACAGGTGATGATATTGAGGAATTGAACACCTTGAAGAAATTTCTAGCAGCTCAATTTGAACTCAAAGACCTTGGCACTCTCAAATATTTCCTTGGTATGGAAGTTGCTAGGAGCAAAACAGGCATCACTCTAACACAAAAGAAATATGTTCTAGATCTTTTGTTGGAAACAGGAATGTTAGGGTGTAAACCTGCTGAGACACCTGTGGAACCTAATACCAAGTTAGGTATTGAAGATGGGAATGAGGTGGATAAAGAACAATATCAGCGATTGGTTGGTAAACTAATCTACTTATCTCATACGCGTCCTGACATTGCCTTTGCGGTGAGTATGATTAGTCAATTCATGCACTCACCCAAGGAGAAGCATCTTAGTGCAGTCTATAGGGTGCTTAGATACCTCAAGAATACTCCAGGAAGAGGATTATTCTTTAAAAAGGGGTATAAAAGGACAATTGAAATCTACACTGATGCAGATTGGGCAGGCTCATCAGTAGACAGAAGATCTACCTCAGGCTATTGCACCTATGTGTGGGGAAATCTTGTTACTTGGAGAAGCAAAAAGCAAACAGTGGTTGCAAGAAGTAGTGCTGAAGCAGAATTTCGAGCTTTAGCTCATGGAGTTTGTGAAGGAATCTGGTTAAGAAGACTTCTTCAAGAGTTGAAGATTTCATATTCCCTACCAATAAAACTATATTGTGACAACAAGGCAGCTGTTAGCATTGCTCAAAATCCTGTGCATCATGATCGAACAAAGCACGTGGAAGTTGATCGTCACTTCATCAAAGAAAAATTAGATGATGGAAGTGTGCATTTGATATATGTTCCAACCAAAGAGCAAACGGCAGATGTCCTTACCAAGGGCCTACACCGTCCAGCATTCGAAGACTTGATTGGCAAGTTGGGAATGATCAATATTTACCTCCCAACTTGAGGGGGAGTGTAGAAAATTAGAATTCAAACATGTTTCCGTTTTTATTTCCTATTAATTAGGATTGATTATGATTGATTAGGATTGATTATGATTGATTAGGATTAATTGTGATTGATTAGAATTGATTGTGATTAGGATTGTGATAGGATTGATTAGTCATCGCTTAGTCATTCTTAGCGATTCTTTCTTGTATAAATACTCACTCATGTAATTTATTCAATATCAATATACAAAAAACTTCTTTTCAATAAAAACCTTTTTGATGGGCTGAGTAACTAAGAAAAGCACATTTAACAGATTGAGCTGTGAGTTTGGAGCATTCTGGTGGCTGAAGATGAACATAACAGACACAACCAAAGATGCGAAGAGTAGAATAATTGGATTGCTTACCAAATAACCTTAAGAAAGGGGAATCATTGTGCAAGACTGGAGAAGGCAACCGATTAATAAGGTGGACAACAGTTGAGAGAGCTTCACACCAAAAATGGGAGGGTACTAAAGAGTCCAACATTAAGGTACGGACAACATCAAGAAGATGACGGTTTTTTCTTTTAGCTATCCCATTTTGTTGGGGTGTGGAAGGACACAGCCTTTGAGATAATATACCATTTTTCTGCAAGAACTCTTGAAACAAATGAGATGTGTATTCCCCCCATTGTCAGAACGCAGAGTTTTAATTTTTGATGAAAACTGAGTTTGAACATAGGCATGAAAAAATTGGAATGCAGAGAAAGCTTTAGCTTTAGATCGCAAAAAATAGACCCATGTGAAACGACTATAGTCGTCAATAAAAATGATAAAATACTTGTAATGTGCATGAGATATTACAGGTGTGATTCCCCATAAATCACTGTGAATTATGTCAAAAGGTTGATTTACATTTGATTGATGAACTGGAAACGGTAGAATTTTACTTTTACCAAGTTTACAAGAATTGCAATCAAATTGAACAACACTAAAAGATGGGGAATGCTTATTGCCAAGAACTCCAGATTTCATTAAGGCATGAAGTACATTGGAATTTGGGTGACCAAGACGCTTATGCCATAATTGAAAATTAACAGTTGCAGAATTACAAGAAATAAAATGCAGAAAAGAACATGGTGACAACAATGAATAAAGAGGAAAAAGACGTCCAACTTTAGGCCCCTTCGCGATCACCTTCCCTGAGTGTTGATCCTGCATATGACAACCAGACTTTGAGAATTCAACTTTGCAATCACTGTCAACTAATTGACCAACTAAAATAAGGTTACTGGTGAGATCAGGGGAAACATAAACATTAGTAAGAGATGAAGAAATATCACCAATTGCTGTGATAGGTAAATTGTTTCCATCTGCAGTGTGTATTTGCAAATTACCAGAGTAATTTGTAACATTGGTAAGAGAAGCAACATTGTTGGTCATATGATTGGATGCGCCAGAGTCAAAGTACCAAGGAGAGCTGGATAAAGAAACTTTACCTGAAAGACCCAAAGCAGAAAATGCAGAAACAATCATTTGTTGAACCATTTCTGGGGTTAAAGTTCGCACAGAAACAGGCGGATTCTGATCCACAGAATCAAGAGAGTAGAAGAGCCAACAGTGGCAGTGAAGGCTGTTGCATTTCTCCGTGGTGGTCTGATTTGACATTCTTTGATGATGTGACCTTCTTTTTTGCAGTAATTACAGAACTTTTTAGGACAGTTTGAAGCAAAATGTCTGTGGCCTTCGCAGCAGAAACATTGGACAGTACTCATGTCTCGACCTCGAGGTTTTCCTTGTACCACATACGCTACAGGAAGGGAGGCAGATTTCTAGTGTTCCATGTTTGTCTGAGTGAGGAGACGTTGTTCTTCACGAAGCAATTCATTTAGACATTCATCCAAGGAGGGAACAGGAGCCTTGTTCATTAGGTTGGTGCGAATGCCCTCAAAAGTAGATCTCAATTTCATAAGAAATTGATCTCGTTTTGTGGTGTCATGAACATTTTGGACTGCAGTTTGTCCTTCAGTCGACAAATCTTTATAGACAATGTCAGTATATTCAGCCCAAAGATTCATGAAATGAGAATAGAACTCAGAAATAATGAGAATAGAACTCAGAAATTGAGAGACTATCCTGTTGAAAAAGAGCAATTTCATGTTCAAGATGGAACATGCGAGCAGTGTTCGTTTGGTTATAAATTTTCTTCAAATAGTCCCACATCTTTGCTACCGTTGTGAAGGGTCTGAGGTTGAGGACAATATTAGGCTCAACAGAGCCTATGATCCAAGTCATTACTTGTGCATCTTTGGCCTCCCATTGGGCATGTGCCGCCTGGTGCGTAGTTTTGTCAGGAGCAGAATTAGTTCCGTCAACATGACCCCAAAGCTCCTTGCCTTTGACAAAGATCTGGAACTGGAATGCCCAGGTGGAGTAGTTCTTTCCATTAAGACGAACAAAAAGAACATCATATTTTTCAATAGACATGATACTGAGAAAAATCGCAGGAGGAAAAAAAAACAAACAAGAAGAACCGCGACGTGAACAGTACGCGCAAAAGACTAGAACTGGGAACTCAGAGACTGTGAGCACAGCGAAAAATTTCGTAATTTAGTAACGAAACCTAGACTGATACCATGTTAAACTCAGAGAAATTGGGATAAAAACTGTATGTTCTCCTTTGGAGAATTCTCATTTAAATAGTATGATACAATCTGATTTCTAGCCTTGAAGTTTGCTAAAAAGCTATAAAATGGTAACCTACATCTGGCTAATTAATTGAGGATATAATTACACACTAACCTACAGCTGGCTAATTAATTAAGGATATAGCTGGCTAATTAATTAAGGATATAATTACACAATTACAGCTATACAATCATTCAAGATATAATTACAAATCTGCACAAATAATGCCAAATATTCTGCCCATCAATTCTATTGACATTACACGGTTGTTCAGGTGGTTGCAAGTTGCAACCACAAGGAAGTTTAAATTTGATGCATAAATATGTTAAAACCGTTATTAAGAACCATAAAATTCTTAACTTCTTTCATATTAGACAATTTCTCAGCAGAAACTGATTCATTCCTAGCAATGAAGGAGAAATTATAAACAACTTTATAACTTCAAAAATTCCAGAACGCATCTGGGGAACCTTAAGTGAGGGAACCATAGAGTTTATTATTCTTTATTCAAATGATCTAATGGTCAAACCTTGTTTATATATTAATGATTATTTTTGTACTTCCTTTCCAAAATTAATAAATATTAAACATGGAGGATATATAACAAAAAAAAAAGAGTAGTCAAGGAGTATGATCAGCAGACAAACATTGTATTGCATCATCTAAAAGCAACAGGGTTCAACAGCAAAGTCAAACAAATTTCATATTGAAATTTACTCAGATGAAAAATTCTAAAGTGAAATAAAAATAAGGTTGGTTCCAGCTTATGGGTATGTAAGAAAAGTTGAACCTAGCATCTTTATATCATATTTATGATATGATAATCTAGTTAAATTTCAGTACCAAAAAATATGTCATCAATAAGCAATGTTGAAATGAAAAAAGAAGTATGAAAGAAACAATTTATTAGTGCAAACAGTCTCAACCAATGAAAGATAGCAAAAAGTAGAAACAGGTAAAGCATTAACTGCTCACATGGTACCTAAAAAATGTGGGAAGCCATGCTAGGCAGGTGTAGTGACCCCAGCTGCCACAGAAGTGAGCATATATCATTGCCCATACAGCACGACTTTCGAAAAAGGCCTTCCATGGTACATCCTATATGTTAAGAACAAGACATGAAATAAAGTGTCATTGCAGATATTGTAAGTATTCACTCAAGAAAAAGGACCAAACCAAATGTAAATGTTTTATATATAAATAGTTATCAATAAATAGAATATTAAAATATCCAGATCCCAGCCAATTAAAGCAGAATTGCCAAATTATTCCCCCCTCCAAGAAGATGCGAAATCATAAGCTCCAAAACTGTCATAAATTCTTGACCCATACCTTCAAAGAGCCATTCAATTCTTTTAAAGAAGTATTCCAGGATTGTGTCACGGTACCTTGGACTGCTGCGAGACAATCAAAGTCAAAAGTGAAAAATAACCAATTAAACCACAAGCCTCAAAACAAGTAAACAAAAGAATGAAAGCCTCTTGAGGAAAGATCTAATAGTAATTCTGTAGGTGACTCACATCCAATTGCAGAGGTAACAATGATGAGCTAGTAAATGGTTATTATGATAAATACCAAACCACAAGGGGTGTAAATGGTGGCCAGAATGATTAGCGTTGACAATTACAACGGCATACAAGGCTACAAGGTGGTGCATCAACTATTGTTTTGGGGCAGTGCTGGTGAAGATGAAAGCAAAAAAGACACCTCTACTAAGACCAAGCCAGATTAAGCAGGCAGATTGTAAGGAAGGGGTCCCAAGTATTTTTCAAAAGAAAAAAGAAATGTTTCCAATAGATTAGATGATAAACTAGATATTAACTTAAAAATTTCAACTCCAGAACCCCATGAAGCCTAAAATATTGCAATATTTTTGCTACCAGAAAGGCATGATTTATCATCCTTTGTTCAATACCTATCTGTTTTTTAGCTCAAATTAAGAAAGCATAAAAAAGTAAAATAGATTAAGTGCTCACGTGAGAGAGATTCAGCAGTTAACTGTGTTTCATCTCCTTCAACAACTTGAAACCCCAAAAACCTTCAAGATTCAAGGCAATGATACAAGTCATAATTTTAATTAAAATACCATATTTGCAGCTCAAGATGCCTACTGGAGGAACTTCACTACTTTGAAAACATGTGGAAAACTATAAGAGTCATTTCTACTTACCAAGCAATCCCGAAAAGGCCAAATATATAAAACACTGATTCCCAGCCAAGATTTTGGATAAGGGGAGGAGCCAAAAGAAGCCTGACAGATATTAGTGTTAAAATTGAGGGTAGATAACGGAGGAAAAAAAGCATTACAATCCTGTGTGATTCTTGTTCCTATTTATATCTGACTACATGCTAGAAAATGCATACCCCATAACACTTCCAACACTCAAGCCACCAAACACAAATGCTACTGCCCGCGAGCGCTCTTCCAACGGTATTGACCTGCATACGGCGATGAACCTTACCGATCAATAGGGTGAAAAATATTACAATTGGCAGAACAAATATATAGTATTTGTCAAAAAACCCTTGCCTTACAACTTAAAAGGCCAAGATCAATAATTAAATACACATATACACAAACTTAAGTTTAACTCAATAAATAGAGTTGGCTGAGGCAGGAACCATATATTTCACTCAGAAGTTGGATTTTATCAAAACATGATTTTTCTCCGCTCACAGTTAGCATAAGTAAGGACTTATTTTTGATAAAGAATAGCCTTAATAAAGAGAAAACAGTGTGCTCACCTACGAACTACCCCAAAACTCCTAAAGCTAGATGTTCATATCAATTTTGGGAGGGAGTTGGGCGGATAGGTAAATGAAATCGATAAAACATTTTTGTCCAGCTCCAAAATATTCTTAACAGTGTTCTGCATCTTTATTTTGCTTCGGATTATTATCTTCAACAAAAAATTCAGAGTTTCCAACAAAAATTCTTTTAGGAGAGAAACTAAAGACAAAAAATAATTATAGTTAAAAGGAAAATAATCTAAAAATCAACATGCTGAATAGAAAATTAATCAGAAGATAATCAAAAAATCAAATTATACAAGAAAAATACAAATCAACAAAACAACAATTTGAACCAAATACGTATTTGGATGTTTACATGCCTGGCAATGAGATCAGTAGCAGCAGATGGTGAAACCCCTTCACCTATCCCAACCTAGACAAGCAATGGAAGGTTAATAGTGTTGAAATTGAAAACAATAAAGAATGTGATACGATACTACCTTTAAGGGCATTTAGGGAAAACAATTTGGATGAGTCAACAAATGAGTTGTTAGGTGTAACTAAAACAGAAAACGGTTAGGAAGAAATGGAGGGAAAAGCTAAATAAGTAGTGGAGGGATGGGAGCATGAGAATCATCTTGGATATTGCTTGGACTTGGGACTTGGGAGAGAGTAGAGCCTCTCTAATAGCTCTACACTATCATTTTCTTTTTCAGTTTCACTTGTAATTTTCTACCATTACTGTTCCATCTGTATTGTTGATCTACTTCAATTTCTTGTACTGCCAAGACTAACACCAATGAAGCAAGCTTCTGTTTTCATCTAAATATGGACTTTAGCTCTGTTTTCTGTTATTATTGGCTGAGTTCTTATCAGAATGCAAACCAAGCTGTATGTTAAAGAAATAAGTGCACATAAAGAAAAACTAAATGAACATTAACTGTAGTACATAGAAAATCCAGTGGAAAGATAAATATAACAAAACCGTGACATTCTGTGAGATATATCATTGATTCGTGCACATATGTAGGCATTAAATCTGCAAAGCAAGAAAAAAGCATTGCATTAAGGGGGGGAAGTTATCAGGAAATTACTGACCAAAATCCTTGACAATAGTAAGCTAGGCATATATCCAGCAAGAAAAGGAACAAGAGCTGTAGCCAATGACCATATCAATACTCCAAACTCAAGAACTTTTCTGCAACAGAAGGATGACAGTATAACATTATAAGCCCAAAATCCAAACAGAAATATTCAGTGCCAACTCTGAATGAGGTAATTGCCTGTTTACTATCTCCTTCTTTAGGACTTGAACATGAGCTACCCAAACTAACTCTCATTTTATAAAAGGAAGTTATCGATGGATATATTTGTCAATAATATTAAAGAATGTTTAGACAATGATTTGATTAATAAAAATAATAAAGTAGGGTAAATGCCATCTTAAAGATATCTCAGTTTAATCTTGCATATCTCCTTGGAACATAATAAAAATTTCATCAGGTAGCTAAATGTGAGGAAAAGTGCAGAAAAACAAAAGTATTATTTGAGATGGCTTAAAGGAAAAAGAAGACAAATTTTGAAAAAGAAAAGGTATATGGCTATAAATGCTTGAAGTAATTTGGAAACATGTCATTAAGAGAATATTTGGTATGCAGGTGAGAATTCCACTTCAGTCTCCTTTTCATGGGAATGAGGATTCCTACATTTGGTACAGATAAAGACATTTCCATTCTGAGCCTTGATTACAAAAGAGATTGCATGGTGAGATATCTGTTGCTAAACATTTCAAAGATTTAGTTATTTTCAAAGTTGGTCCAACCATTGATTCATCATTTCATATCAACTCGAAGTTATAATGGACAACACTCAAATCATTTAATAATAATTGATGCTAGCCCTAATTCAATAATTTTCTTACTTCTACTCATCAAAACTTCAGATCAAAATTTATAAAACCTTGGTGCAGGATGGAAAAGAGTTTATAATTAGTTTTTTGAAAGGCATTCAATCGTGGAAATTTTAGTTTGAACTGAAGGGGAAAATATGGAACTTGATACATTCCTGAGCAGAAATTTTGCAACAAGTTTACTTACTAAATGACACCTTTCTCAATCCTAACATGATTCTTATACTTCTCCTTTATACAGAAATCTATCCTCAAAATTTTTCAGTTTCCTTGATCCATAAATCCCAAACCCTTGTGTTCCCAAACACCCTAATTTCATTCAGGAACAAAATTCAATAACCTTCCTGATTTTTAAATATAACATTATCTATCATATTCGTAATGAGTAGGAAAGGAGAATGAAGTGGGTAATTGTCAAAGAGGTGTATCAATGTGGAAAAGAAAATTATTTTACACAGTGGACAGATGCCAAAATTTGGCATTTCGACTACTCTGTGCCATCCAGAATATAAAGGCAGACAGTATGCAAATGTCTGAGTAGAAAATAATAAATTAAACAAAGAAAGGAAAATTGGATGTAGACCAGAAACGAATGCAGTATTCTTTTACCAACTCTATATTGATCATTTTATTTTGGCAGAAAAGCGGCCAGCCTGATTTATGCTTGTTCTCTTAAATTCCACACTAATTGTCCAAATAGTATTCATTTTATTTTGGCATGGAGGTCCATCAATACTTCAATAAGTCATTTAAGCCCTCAAGTCCACTAATGACAGTTATACTTTTACTTCGTATAACTATGTTAGGTAATGTTTGTAAATGACCCCTGCCCTTCCTTAAAATTCTAGACATAAAATGGAGAAATCTTTAGGTAGCTAATTGCAAACTTGGTCAAGGATAGAAGAAACTTGTGTTGCCTCTGGTAACTAACCTGCCACCAAATGTCTTGGCTAGCCAACCACCAGGCAATTGACTCAATGCATAACCCCAGAAAAATGAGGACTGAACCAATCCTGCCGTTGAAGAGTTCCACCCAAATTGATGTGACATTGGAATTATGGCAATACTCAAGTTCACCTGCACTAAATTAAATTAAATAAACCCCACACAAAATAAATGCTTATTATGGATGCAACTCATTAATATACTAAGAAAAATGCTATTGAAGTGCTTCAATTTGAATGATGGTTTTATGGTTTGCATCTGATTGTGATCAAGTAACAGATTTTACTTATGGGGTTGTAAATAGTAATATAGAAACATAAGAAGCAAGTAACAACCTTGTCCATGTTACAGATAACGAAGGCAAGGGAAGTGGTTCCGATGAGCTTGTATCTTAATGGAAGATTCTTCCAAGGTGACCACAAGTTCTCTTGCTTCTGCCCCACTTCGTCGATTCCAAGGTCAGTGAGAACCTTGCCCTTGGCGTTGGCCTTCTGGGTTTCTTTGACATTTCGTTGAGTGCTAGATACTATTCTGAGCCTGAGGGTGAGGTTTGAAGGTGAAAGGTGGAAGCGAAAGCGTTGAGACGAAGTTTTGATAAAAGGGGTGTGTTTGTGTGAGTGTGTTCTGTGAGTGTGAGGAAAGAAGAAGCACGAGTTATCTGGTGTGAGCGTGAACTTGGTGGCCATGTTGATGATGTTGCAGTTGCAGAAACAAAACAAAGAAAAGAAATTTTGTTTGTGCTGAGGAGTGCCATAACATAAGGCGTGTATGTTCTGTTGATGTTTTACTAGGTGGCCACGGAGGAGGTTATGCTTGTGGCTCACATCAAATTGCATATTTCGAATACTTAATTAACTTATTCTTCTTATTGTTATGCTTTCTACCCAATCGTTACTAATAGAGTTAGATGTGTTGCAACTTAATTTTTTATTATCTATTGCAATCTTCTTTTTTATTATAAAAATTCTTATTTAAGATTAATTGATGAAATCATCAAAATTGCCATTTTTTTTCAACTAGATTCAAAATTTGAATTAGTCCAACTCGAGCAATGTTTAACATTGTTTTTTTCTATTTCCATTCAATTAATCTAATCCGGTTTAAATTGTGCATATTATACAAGAAATATAGAACCTTTGCAGATATGAATTACAACAACCATCTTTTGCTTCTTCCTTTTTTTTTGATCAATTCAATAATATTTTTAATCTTATAAAAGGTAATGTCATCTCATTCTCAATTCCAGAAGCTGAAGAAACTAGGTTGTGTGAATTAGTGGCGGAGCCAGAAAAATTAAGAAGCTAGAACTAAACTAAGAAAGAAGCAAATAATCTACGGTTACTGATAATTAAGAAAAAAACTTCTGATTTTGAAAACCAGCCAGTGCCAAGACATTGGTTCTAATATGGCAACGCCACTGGGATCACACGAAAAAGCACCACCCATTGCTGTTAATATAGGTGTTTTATATTGTTTTAACCAATGTCGACAATTTCAATTTTTTTTCCTCTTGGTTAATTGAAATTATATTGTTTCAACCTATGATGTGGCAAACCATAATAGACGATCTTCTTCATAATTAGAGGGTCATGTTTCCTGTTTTTGCTCTCCTTGTCTGAGAGTAAGACTACCATATGTTGATTGGGATCAGTTTCATTATAGAGGTGAGATATTGACAATAAGAATATAAGATCCACCGTAATTACGAATTTTCTTGTTTATAAGAAGAGAGGAATGCAAAAAGAAGAAATAAAAAGAGAGACATCAATTATTTCTAAATAAAAATTAATTGTATCATTAAGGAAAGTTAGTAATTTGTCATTAATATTAAATAATTTAGATCTACCAATTTTTATCAGCGTCGTGTTTATGTCGAGTTAAGGTTTGACATAATATATTCAGCAAAAAAAAATAAAAAATTGTTTGACATAACACAAATATATTCAATACGAACACGATACGAATAAAGATTCATATCACTTAATCTCAAAGTATCTTATTTGTTAATTATTATACGAGTTGATACAAATAACCTATGTATTAAATGTTGCTTTCACCTATGTAAAATTGAGTTTAATGTTACGGAGATAAAGTTATATCTAATTATTCAAAATTACGTTGTTTTGAATTTTAAAAAAAATTATAATGATAAAAATTAATATAATCATATAATAAATTAAAATTATAAAAACTTTTTTCTCAACCTCAAAAGATATTATTTTAGACTCAGTGGAGATAATTTATCTCTAAAAGAAACATTATACCAAGTTTTGTCGGAGTTTTATGAGTTTATGCAAGTCAGGTTTAACTTCCTACAATCTCAATCCAACATTTTGATCCAGCTAGTTTTTTAAATCCAATCTCAACTTGCTTATTCTCGTCAAAGTATTATTGTCTGATAAATTTTTTATCCAAAAATATCATGCGAACAGTATTTTTTATCAACTGTCATGTATCAAAGTTTGCTATCATTGATAACGAACTTCGTAGCCATGACATGTGGCATTATTCATGTGCCACACAACGTATCAAGTTCTTACTGGCTTTTCCTGCTCAAGTGTGGCACGTGTTGCAAAATTATTGGCAAAAAAGTTCTCTATTTGTGGTAGCAAACTTAGATGCATGACAGTCTGATAAAAAATACTGTATACATGATATTTGGATAAAAAATTTGTCAAATAATAGCACTTTAATCACTGTTCCATTGTTCTCCAACTAATAACCGGATCAAAATTGAGCCAACCAAGATTTATATGAAGTAAATAAATTTAGATAATACGCATAATTAAGCCTTAGAATTTCTTAATAATTAAAGTAAATTAAAATATGTCTGAGATATGATATTATTACTACCAATTAGTGTTGTTGTAAATATCACTACCAACTTATTTCACCGCTTGATCAATTATGTTGATCCGGGAGTTATATTTATTTCTATCTTTGTATGACTATGATTTCTTATAGTTAATGTGAAAGCATTAAATATCACATTAAATATGAAAAATCATAATCATACAAATGTAAAAATAAATATAAAATATTATATATAGGAAAAAAAATTAAAAATTAAATCAGAACCGTTGGATCAATATAATTGATCTAATAGTAAAATAAATTAATAATAATATTGATAATAACATTAATTAATAATAATAAAATCTTATCTCAATATGTTTTACGTAAAGTATTAATTTAAGTTAAAGGAAAGAGTACGAAAGTGTAATTATTTTATGGAGGACCTACTTTACGTGTCCCACGAGATAGAATTTATTTATTTTGAGCTGTGATTCTCATCACTGAGTCAAAATCAAAAGAATAATAAATAAATAAATATAGAAAGAGACAGAGAAAGTTCTGTTTTTCATGTACTAAAGATGAAAAAGGTCATCTCAGTGCACCTTGTTATCTTTTTCTAAAAACAATAATAATAATTATTATTATTATTTTATGAATGATATATAAATTTATAGGATAATAATTTTCTCATGCAATAGGAGATAAGTATTATCTCTTACAGACTTATTTATGTAAGTAGAGTTCACTTTAAGGGGAGAGAGAAAAAATAAAGTGAAACCTATCTTGAATTTATGTGTAAAAGATAAATTCTATATTATGTAACATAACAATAATAAATATTAAATTTGTAATCAGATAGGGCCCTTGGATTAAACAAATCAACAATTCATTTTTTATTGTACTTATTAAATGTATACCTATCAACGAGTATCAATTTTTTGGTAAAAAGAATAGGGGCAGATTATATTTACAAATTTTTTTTGTTTACAAACTATACTACATTAATCACACAGTATACGAGCGGTCCTACATTAATGTAATTGCAAAAAAAGTTTGTAAAGGCATTCTGTACCAAAAGAATATTGAAAACTATTTTATATAAAGGAACGTGATCCTCTTTTTCATTAGCAATTCACAACAGAAAAACATGGCCAACAATATGCTAATTTCAGAGGAGAAATCACTCTCCAAGAGCATCCAAGAAATGTCCATGAATGGTGATGTACCACCGCCACAATATGTAGTTGAAGGAACTAGCTTTGGATCTAAAGACTCTTCCTCTACACTGATTCAAATACCAATCATTGATCTAATAAGTCTCCTCTCATCAGAAGGTGAACTAGAGAAGCTAAGATCTGCTCTAAGTTCAGCTGGATGCTTCCAGGTTCGGATTTATTAACACTTAAAAAAGAACTTCATTAGTGTATAGCTTCTGTTTGCTTGAAAGAACTTGTTTATGTAGATAATTCTAATCTTTGACATGCTGCTACTGATTCTTAATTATGTAATAAGCATGTCCAGAATCTGATAAGTAGTAGTTTAGAAGGTGACATGACTAAGTAAGCCATTGAATATTGATGATAGTGATACTAATTATTAATGCTTTCTTCCTCCTTGATTTTAAAAACCTTACTGAATGAATATATTTGACATACTCTTACCAACAGGCAATTGGTCATGGAATGTCACGTTCATATCTTGACAAAATACGTGAAGTTGCAAAACAATTTTTTGCACTTCCAGAAGAGGAAAAACAGAAATATGCCCGAGCTGTTAATGAACCTGAAGGGTATGGGAATGACAGAATAGTTTCAGAGAAGCAGGTCCTTGACTGGTCCTATCGCCTAAGTCTTCGAGTTTTTCCAAGTGTAAAGCGAAGGCTTTCTCTTTGGCCCAAAAATCCAAGTGATTTTAGGTACTACCCTTTTCTCATGGTGAATTTAAATGTTTATTAATTCTTTGGCACCAGTTCCCTTGCACCCTTCACCGTCGACGAACAAAGAAGAGAAACATTGGACAAGCTCTTTTGTTAGCATAATCATCTTTTCCAAATTTTGAAATCATTGCAACATGATACTTTTGACAATAAGTCTGTGTAAAAAACTAATTCAACTCAAAAGCTTAAGCTGGTAAGTAAGATTACATTAATAGTTTTTTTATATATCTCTAACACGTTCTTTCACACGAGAGTCCAATGACTTAGGGCTTGAAGTGTAGACAAATGTACAGGTCCACCTACTTGTGTTAAAGAATTAATTCAACCCAAAAGTTTAAGCCGGTGGATGAGGCTACATTAATAGTCTTTTATATATCTCTAAGAGTCTGCAATCGAATTTCCAGTTCATAAGTTGCATGAGAAATGAATCCGCATATGCCTATGATGTCATGTATCTCAGTCAGTCCTTGCATGTCCTAAAATAAACTAGTTAGTATTGTTGTGCTAAACTTATCCATTAGTATGAAGATTTCTTGAGGGTATCCTTCTACAATTAACAGAAATTTTTTTTATAACGTACTAATTAATATAAAGCAATTATTGAGCTTAATTTTCTAAATATTATGCAGTGAGACACTAGAGGAGTTTTCTACAAAAGTTAAATCAATGATGGATTTTCTGTTGAGAAGCATGGCAAGGTCACTGAATTTGGAAGAGGGTAGCTTCTTGGACCAGTTTGGGAAACAACCATTAATGCTAGCAAGGTTCAACTTCTATCCACGTTGTTCTAGACCTGATTCGGTTCTTGGAGTCAAACCTCATACAGATAGATCAGGAATCACAGTTCTATTGCAAGACACAGAAGTGGAAGGTCTTCAAATTCTGATAGATGACAGATGGGTCAATGTCCCCACAATACCTGATGCTTTTGTCGTCAATCTTGGCGATCAAATGCAGGTAAACAAGGCTCTATATCTCAAGAAATGAGTTAACCTGTTGAAATTTAATCCTTGATAAAAAAAATCTCAATTTTCTATATACTTTCTTGTTGACGCATATAGGTATGTCATTAACTAGATTTTGGGGTGGAATTGGTGTGGAGTTTGGAGAATGCTTCATGTAGTTGGTTATTATTGCAGATCATGAGTAATGGAATATTCAAGAGTCCAATGCACAGGGTTGTGACAAACACAGAAAAGCTGAGGATGTCTATAGCTATGTTTAATGAGCCAGATCCAGAGAACGAAATTGGACCTGTGGAAGACCTAATAGATGAGACACGGCCAAGGTTTTACAGAAACATTAAAAATTATGGTGATATCAACTACAGATGCTATCAAGAGGGAAAAATAGCACTTGAGACAGTCAAATTTGCAGATAAATTCTAATCAGAAGTGAAACTATTTCATATTTGAATTCCCAATGGAATAAAGATCTTCAATAGCTTGCTTTGGTTATTAATTCAAGTATTGGAAAGATAAATATGTACTTTATGAATTCCCATGACTGATCATATATTTCAATTGCTAGTAAAATGGTATATAACCTGGCTTGCAAGTTACTCTACTCAATTAGTTAAATTCGATTTAGATAGGGATTCACATGCTCAGTACCCTCATACATGTCAAAGATCACAAGATGGACACATATTCAATTTGGAATCTTACACAAAAAGAAATCCAAAATCAATATCTAATTCAAGCCTTCAGCAGTTAGATCTGAAATTCTTCTTATCCTCTAATAAACAGCTAGATCAAAACCTTACCAATCAGCTCAACGAGGACATCTTCCTGTATAAAATAAGCTACCATGTGTTGTCCATTTGCCCTAGCTGACAGTGACACCCCACATTGACCCGCTTTTTATGCAATCTTAAAAGAGTTCAAACTAAATGTATTTAAACCAGCTCCCTTCAACGACTTGAATTTCACCATTTTTTTCTTCTAGAAAAAATAAAATAAAATTATAAAGGCAATGGCAGGTTGATCACAACATTCACACCACAATATATAACAGTCTCTGGACAGGCATTAGCAATAAACTGTATTCGTCAAGGTTATGAAAAAAGTCACAAAGATGCTAAGAATTACTTTTCGCAAAAGTATCTGGAATCAAATTAACACTGATGTAAGGCAACCTTACTAGTGATGATTAGCTTGAAATAGAAAACTAATGCAACTGAACTTTGTTGTAAAATCACCTAGCTACCTCATTGTAAAATCAAGGTTATGAAATTTGTTTTTCAAATCACCAAACTTATCAAATGGATTAGTTTCTTCCAGGATACAAACTAAAAACAAGAAAACGATTACTTCGCCTTGAAAAAAAAAAGAAGGTATAGAAACCTTCAAAATTATCAAAAGAAAACCTGATGACAGTATATTTTGGAAATTCTATGTCAGAATATACTTTATTCCAGCTTCATTAACTGGTAGGTATCAAATATCGAAGAATAGAACTTTTCCAATGAATTGCTCACATATCTAAACATAAGACCGACTTGAAAACCTGATTTTCTTTCATCCTTAAATATCATAAAGCAGGGGTATTTCTTAAATAAAATCATTCGAATACATATCCAACCAATTGTACGAAGCATAAGATATATCGATTTATATGTGAATTTGATTTTGATCTGCTATCAATATAATGAGTTTTGAACCATATAGTACCACTTATTTAAAACAATTACTAACAGTTTTATTGCAGGTGATAAATCTTAAATGCTACAATAATGAGCCACTTCCTTGCTTCCAGAGTGTAAATTGTTTCACAAAATTAGTGGTTAGTGGATCAAATTTAATCTCTTAAAATATTATGTGAAAATAACAACTTCTCATGCACAAAGGTTACTAAATTTTGAGGTTTATTTTATAGGGGTCTAAAACAGCTTACTGCACATCCCATCTGTCAAAGTCAAACATAAACAATGAAAACAGTTACCCTTCCCTCTTCCAGACATGAAGAAACTGGGTTATCTGAAACAAAGAAACTAGCTATTACCCATGCAGCTTCTGTCAGATTTAGGTTCAGCTCCTCACTACATAGCGTATAGATGGAACAATTAGATTGTCCATTGGGTCAAAATTGAAAATAATGTCAAAACTAAATGGTCTGTACAACTTCAAAAAAAACCTTTAAGAACTGAAGATCATGTAAACCACAAAATCGCCTAATCCCTCGCAAGAATTTTTCATACATAACTAAACTTAATAGATGGCCAAATGGCTGTCAGGGATCATCATTATGCATTAGTACAACATCTACAAAGTAATGCTGAGCAGTCACGAAGTAGCTTTGGGTTTTTCCAAGGCATTATAGAGGTTTACCATGGTTCAGGTGGCTGCAAGTCTGCAACTGCAAGCTTTAAATTTGATGCATAAATATGTTTAAGGATCCGTCGCTTCTCATGCGACTGCTGATGAGAAAAGTTGCAGCAAATTTTTAACACTAGGATACACGTGCGGATCCTAGGATACACGTGCGGATTCTATCAAACAAAAAAAAACCAGGATTCGGACGCGTATCCTGTGTTGCTGCAAGTTTTCCCTTCTGCAGTGACATAAGAAGTACTTTCCCCAAGCACCATAAATTTGATGCATAAATATGTTTTTCCTATGTCTCCTGCTTGAATTTTCTAAGGTTTTTTTGCACCAAGGCATTCAGTATCGGCATTGAGCATGATCCCACAAGTTTAAAAAAACTTCAACGAAGTGAATTTCATTTTTAAATCATTCCTAGAGATATCAAACTTTCATCTGAAGATTCTAAATATTTGCAAGTTGCAACACTGTAGCACTCCATGAATGCCATAAATAACAGAGGGACATATAAAATATGAACACGCGAACTCCAAGTCTACTCCGGCAAGTGTCAATCCAGCAAGCTAGAAATAGAAAGAAAGCAAAAAAATATTGAAGAGTTAAAATATCTGAGAATTAAAGGTGCATATCTAAAATTTCAAAATCATTTGTCTTCATTTCAATCAAGCAGATCAGAACAGCTTTTAGAAAGATTGGATATGAAATTTTCGAAATTACAAACTCATTTAAACCTACTGTAGAAATAGCAGGGCCTGCAATAATTACAAATGAGATGGAATTCTTGGAAATCAATTTTCATTTAGTGTCCACAGTTTTTGACAAAGATGATACCACATTACTATCTTCACATATCTCAGGCAACATAGACCTGTCTGGCAAATCATGGACCTTTTCTTCATGTTTAAATATTTGCTTTCGGTAGACAACATGCAAACGGTCAAAAAGCTGCTTCTTCAATGACTCAAAAGCCAGATCTAATCTTTCTAGTTGCTCCATGGCATTTATATTATACAAGAACAAACCATAGTACAGATCAAAACTATCTCCAGCAGTATTCTCCACCAAACTCAACAAAGTCTCATACCCCTTTGTGTCGATTGGTGTTGCCTCCAACTTCAATTTTTCTAAAAATCTTCCTGTAGTATGTGTGATAAACTGTGATCCAGCTGCATGCCAATCGTGTTCAGCACATGACATTTCAACCATTCGGCATCCTTCACTAGAAAAAATGTCAAGAAACCGATCACACCGTGATGTTCTTGGTTCATCTCTTCCTACTCTGACTTTATCAAAAACAAAAGGAAGACCCTTCCACCCATTCTTTCCACTCTCTGGCCCAAACATAGGATGGGTGCAGAGAACATCAAAATAAGGTGGCAAGTACTGAAGAAACAAGTTTCTAGGAAATTCTTTGACAGAAAGTACATCAACAAACAAAGTACTTCTCTTCAATCTCTGCACAGGCAATGACTTAAGAACTTTCTCAGTGGAAAGGATGGAAGTGCAAAGTAAAATTACATCTGGATGTTGTTCACAAAGATCATCTGCGTCATTGAAATAAGAAATCCCCAATTCCTCAGCCACACGAGAGTAGTCTGATCTAGAGTATGCTAACACTTCATGACCATGACGTACAATAGTTTTTGCAAGGAACTGACCGAAGTTGCCAAAACCAATGATTGCAATCTTGAGTTTTGAGTTGTCAACAGATTGGATGGAACCGTTTGACTTGTATAGTTTAGCAACATCATGGGGTCTGAAGATTAGCATAAAATGCAATTATAAGTTAGACCTGGATGGAAAGACCAACCCCAAAGAAAACAAAAACAAAGAGTAGTGGTTTTAATGCTAGCTGCGTATGGTCATTACTCATGACTCATTGCATTGAAATAACAGTCTTCAGCCTTGTTCCATCACATGAAGATTAAGCCAATTCAAATAATAAAACAGCAGAAAGCATACCAACCAAGTTAAATTGCTATCAACATATTTTCTCACCTAACACATCAACATCAACATCAACAACACCTTTATCCCAAATTAATTGGGGTCGGTGGTAGATGAACCCACATGAAAGATACAAAACGGTTGAAAAAAAGTAAAAAAAAATAAAAAATAAAAAATAAATAAATAAATAAATAAATAAAAATACACAAATAAAATAATAAAATAAAATAAAATGAAATAAAAATATATGTATATATAAATAAATAAAAGTAAAAAAGAAAGGGACAAGAAGAAGTGGGGGAAATGAAGGGGAAAAGGACTAAAAAAGGACCATCTGGAACTTAGGAATAACAGCGAGTCTAACCCTCCACCATACTTATAGCTTTTCTCCATTCCTTTCTAAGACATACTGTCCGCCAATCTATATCCCACTCCATTAAATCTTGTTTTACTACTTTCCCCCAAGTAAGCTCCGGCCTACCTCTGCCTCTTTTTGTGTTTAGCTCTTGGTAACAAACTTCTGTTCTTACAGGAGCATCCATGGGTCTTCTCATCACGTGCCCAAACCACCTCAATCTATGTTCTCTCATCTTCTCGGCTACCAGTACTACTCCGACCTTTCGTCGAATATCTTCATTTCTTATCTTATCCATCCTTGTGTACCCACACATCCACCTTAACATCCTCATCTCTGCTACTCCCATCTTATGCTCATGTTGCCTATGTGCTGGCCAGCATTCCGCTCCATATAGCATTGCCGGTCGTACTGCCGTTTTATAGAATTTTCCTTTTAACTTCAGGGGAATTTTGCGGTCACACAAAAATGCAGATGCACTACGCCATTTCATCCACCCTGCTCTGATTCTGTGATTTCAATCCTCATCAATCTCTCCACCATTTTGTAAAACGGAGCCCAAGTATTTAAAAGCATTTTTTTTGGGTACCTCTTGACCATTTAGATGCACAGGTTCTTGGTCCTCATCTTGTACCAGAGGAAACTCACACTTCAGATACTCAGTCTTGCTTCGACTTAATGTGAATCCTCTGGATTCCAATGTGCATACCCACACATAATAAAATAAAATAAAATAAAAACAGAATTCATATATTACTGGGAGAGAAGGGCTACAAAATTGGCATGTCATGGCATCCCTAGCCATTTCAAACGCGGATGCATATATAGTTTTCTGGTTCTCTCTCCAACTCCAGTACCACACTTAAATTACTGGAGTTGTTATTTCCAAACCTGCCTGATTCACATAAGTTGGACGCTTTTACTAACAAATTCTGCATCCTACTCATCAAAAGCCTTTTCATTGGTAGAAGAAGCACCGCTAAGCTAAATATGCCTCGGGAAACGTCTCCTTGTTCATTAGTTTAAGACTTAGGACTCAAGCCACAACTCCTCATTCAACCAATAAAAAATCAAAGTGAGAAAAAAAAAATACCAACCTAACATATTATCCCCCATAACATACCCAGACAAAAATAATCAAACATAATTCATATAATGTACTAAAGAACATTGAGATTATAGTAAACTTAATAATAAATAAATACCTCTTATCTTCGGAGGATAGTACCATTGGAGATCCATTTTGAGCATGCTTGAGCACTGCGTAGTTATCTTGTAAAGTTTTCACCTTTACAGCATTCTCAAACAACTGTTTCCTCACAACATCATGCAAACGCCCAATGAGCTGTTTCCTCAAGTCCCCAAAAGCCAAATCCAACCTCTCCAACATCTCCAATGAATTACTATTAAACATAAACAACCCATAGTACAAATCAAAGCTATCCCCAGCAGTGTTATCAACCAATCTCAACAAACTCTCATACCCCTTTGTGTTAATAGGTGTTGATTCCAACATCAACATCTTCAGAACCCTCCCAAGTGTGTGCGTTATGAACTGCGACCCTGCTGCAAACCTATCATGGTCAGCACAACACATCTCCACCATTCTACACCCTTCTCTCGCAAACACATTAAGAAGCTTCTCGCACCTCGAAATTCTTTGTTCCTCGTTCCCAATTCGAACCTTCTCGAACATAAAAGGAAGACCACTCCAACCATGGCTAGCACTCTCGGGTCCAAACATTGGGTGCGAGCAAATAATGTCGAAATCGCTCGGCAACACTTCGAGCAAGAGGCTCTTAGGGAACTCCTTGACGGAGAGAACGTCGACGAACAATGTGCTACGCTTCAATCGCTGAAGCGGCAAGGAAAGGAGCACTTTTTGGGTGGAGATAATGGAGGAACAGAGCAAGATCACTTCGGGGTGTTCCTCGCAGAGATCGTCAGTGTTGAGGAAGAACGTGACGCCGAGGTTCCGAGCGGCGGCGGAATGATCGGAGCGGGAGTGGGCCAAGACGGTGTGGCCCTGACGCACGAGGGTCCTCGCCAGAAACTGGCCGAAGTTTCCGAAGCCAACGATTGCGATCTTCAGCTTCTGGGAGTTGTGGAACTCGAGGGCCACCTTGGATTCGTAGTCGAAGAATTGGGCTGCGTCGATGGCGCGAACGCGGAGGGTTCTTCTGCGGGAGAAAGCGTTCTTCGAGGGGGTGACGTTGACTGAGAAGGAAACAGAGGGTTTAAGACGCCGAGGACTGAAATGCAATGGCGGTGGCTGAAAAATTGAAACACAGACCATGGTGGCGGTTGCGGTGGCTGTGCAACTTAGAAAGTTTGAAAGGGACACAAAACAAAGAAGGAAAGTGTTATTTACAAATCTAAATTTTATATGAGTTGTAAGTTTTCGACGAGGGAAGAGTCTTTGTCATTTTAAATGACACAAAGTTACGTTATCTCAAGAGAGAGATATATATAGAAAAAAAATTTATTTAAATTTTAAAATTAAAAATAAATCATTCATTTTCTGTCTTCCATGATTTCCACTTTTCTGTGTCTATCTCTCTCCTAAAATGTCATAACTTATGTCATTTAAAATGACAAACACTAAACCCTTTCAATAATTGTATTAAACGTTTGGTGTTTGTCATTTTAAATGACATAAGTTATGTCATTTTAGGAGAGAGATAGACATAGAAAATGAAAATCATGAGAGAGGAAAAGTGGGTGGTTTTTTTAATTTAAAATTAAAATAGAAAAAATTATTCTGTGTCTATCTCTTTCTTAAAATGACATAACTTTATGTCATTTAGAATGACAAACACCAAACCCTTTCAATAATTGTATTAAGGGTTTGGTGTTTGTCATTTTAAATGACATAAGTTATGTCATTTTAGGAGAGAGATAGACACAGAAAATGAAAAACATAGGAGAGGAAAAGTGTGTGATTTTTTTTAATTCAAAATTTAAAATTTAAATAAAAAAATTATTCTGTGTCTATCTCTTTCTTAAAGTGGGTGGTTTTTCCTTGTATTAATCATTCAATCAAAGGGAGTTTTTAGTTACCACTAGGGTTAGCCTAGTGGTGTGGGGTGTGTGTGTTAGGATTGTGTGTAGTGTAAGGTGTTGAGTTCAATTCCTTGTAACCTCCAAAAAAAAGGGAGTTTTTAGTTAGTATTTTTTTTTCTTATTATCACTCAAATTTTAATTGTGAACTTCTGTCAATTTAACCGTGTAATTTATTGGTCATATTTATTAATTAATTATTAATTTTTAATAAATTATAACTATTAGATTGACAAAAATCAACGGTTAAGATTTGATAGTAAAAGATAATAAAAAAATAATAAATATGGAATAAATTATTTTACCTATCATTTTTCTGCCTACCTTTGTCTATCACTCTCCAACATCATTGGATTAGAATCTCGATAGAAGAGAGAAATAATAAATGTAGTTGATATTCTAATTCAATGATGTTGGAGAGTAGTAGGTAAAAATAAACCGAAAAAAATGGTAAGTAAAATAATCTATTCCAACAAATATAACCTCTCACAATCATTTAATAAAATAATATTTCTTAAAATTTAAAATTTTTTAAATTTTATAATGCACGTTTATTTTATTTTATTTTTTTGTAATAGGGAGGGGATCAGGGGTTGAACCCCAAACAAAAACAAAATTACATTAGTCTATTCAACGCATCCTTGGATAGCAGTTCCATAAGACGTGGTGGAGGATTGACTATGATCAGATGCAAACACCTTTTTTTTTTTTTTTGAGTTACCCAATCCTAATTATTTCTTTGAGACGAGTTGGCTCCCTCCGGTATTCCCACGAGCTTCGACTCTTTGAGCTGGTTATGGGACTAATCCGGAGTGCGGGGAAACAGATGCAAACACCTCTTTAATGTGAATTTCTATATTAATTTGAAATAACATTGAGAAAAATCAATTAAACGATTTAATACTGAAATCTAAGTTTACAGGTTTCGCAAAGGTCAGATCTAAATCCAATGAGTTTTCATTTAAAAGATGCAAGGATATTTTATCTTTTTTTTTTTTTTTTTTTTTTTTTGCATATTTTATCTAATCATTTTTAATACCATTGTATCATAATTTCATTCTTTCTCTTTTTTCTTGAGATTTTGATCCAATAATATTAAAAATAAATAAGTAAAGTAAGAAAAAAAAAATAACTTATCCCATAAATATACGTGTTTAATTTCAACTCTTTAAAGTATTAAAATTAAAAATTTATCAAGCATTATATCACAAGTTTTATACCATCCAGTTTTATCTTATTATGCATTTTTTGAAATGTCAATGGGTTCAACCTCGTCGACCAATTTGACAAAATACGTGAGCTAAACCAGCAAAATAATATCCAATTCATCGTGAGCTAATCTACAATAAGTTGCAAGTGCAGAGTTATTATGATTATTAAAATTTTCTTCTCAAGTTTGCTTAAATGTTCATTTAAAATTCAAATAAAATAAAATTAAGCAATAATTAATTTTAAATATTTTAATAGAAATTTTTTTAAACATTCAAATACCAGGGTTTTAGTTCAAATTTGTTTGTTCACGTGAGAACTTCATTCGTGGTGGGATATGTAATCCATCATTGAGGGTGTTCTGGATAGCCCACTCACATGGGCCCAACCGTTAGGCCCAGCCTAAGGAGCCCTCTTCTAGAAGGCATCATAGGATGCCCCCTCTTCCCCATGCATACCAGTTGTCCCTGCACAAAGGCAGGGGTTCAGCATGCCTAGCCTGAAAAGGCTAGACTGGCTAGGTTGACTAGAGCCCTTGCTCTAAATACCCCCCCTCTCACATTGAGGAGGGGATCTTCTTCTTCTCCATTCAGCTTCATGCGCTGCCACCAGGAGAACAAACCTAGCCATACACACACTCACCCCCTGAGCACATACATGGGAAGCTCCACTAGTGCCTTGGTCTCTACTATGGTTACTATGGACACCCCTATATCAACATACTTCACCCTCACAGGAGACATCTATGTACCACTATGAGTACAGAGGGTCTGCTCTAGCTATGGTGAGATACTAGTATCTAATTTTACCTAATTTTTTTTGGCAAAAAAATAATAATAATAATTTACTTATCTGAATTATTTAATTAGAGGGCAACGTCAATTTGGCTCAATCTACATTAAGCCAACCCAAATAGGTTGAATCAATCCAATATGCATATTGTGACTTTTTTACCAGACAGGTCTTTGACTTTTTAATCTAAAAATTTGGTATATGATATTTTTCATAGAGATGAGTGCTATCAATTTGTATTGCAAGTTTACAATATTTGAAGGCATCACTGCATTGTTTGAATGTTCAAAAAACACGATGAAACATATCACGAGATTCGTCTAGCTCACCGTCCAAAATGTACGAAAGTCGATCAATCCTATAAAATGAACCTCAAGCAAACAGCAACATGTGCTTTAACCATCTTTCCATATAAGCATATGACTCTTCCCAATAACCAAACAACTTTACCATGGCTTTTTGTTTGGCCTTCCAAGCTTTTTGAGAAGGCACTTTATAACTATGAAGTCCAGAAATTTTCTCTTTAATAAGTGCAATGCTAATGGATGGGTCCACCTAAACCATGCCAGATAAAAATATAGGAGAATAAAACTGTAAAATGTAAGTACATAATACCATCATTATTTTTCTTAGACAAACAACATTAATATTTTGTAGTTATACATAGAATACATGAACAAATGAAGTCAGAATCAAGCTACTTGTAGTCTTGTGAAAGATAAGGGTTCACACAAGTGTGTTTGCCTCCTCATTTAGTAACAATCCACTGATCTCGTCATCTCGGTAACATCGCTCGCACCCTCCAAGGACATCCTTCAGCATGATCAACACATTTCATAAGCAGTTTTTTTTTATTTTTTTTGCTTTCCTCCACAAAAGCAGTATGATAATTCTGTTGATCTGTTGAATTTACACAGAAGCGATTTAAGACCTAGTACATTGGTATGCTTACCGAATCATCATCGTCTCACTAACACACAAGGCATACCCCTTTAAGCACAGATCTGTGAGCAACCTCCTTGTGTGCAGAATCCCTTTACGAATTGATCTTGTCTGCATCACAAAATAAACAATCTCCTTGTAGCTGGTTGGCGGCAGACCCTCCAAACTATCTATTAAGGGGGAAAGGGACAGTGTGTGGGCACTCTCTCACTTTGAAGGAGATGGCCTTACATTAGCCTCTGCTACCCCAAAGTGAAGATCTTCAGAAGCTAATGACTATAGGCGTAGAATATTATGAGTTCCAAGAAATCCTAGCCCTAAGTTGAACGGGCTCTAGATTTCTTAGGCTCTTCTTACACATTAGAACTAATTGGGCTTTAGTGAAAGAGAAAAATCCAACAAATTCTTCATACAATAATATTTGCTTGCCTTCTGTACCGCTTCCTTACTTTCAAATTCTTAATTAGCATATAATTCATCCCTCATTTACCAAGAACCATCATTACCCCCAACAATAATTTGTTCTTGATTTAGGTGTTCCCAATTAATATAAGTATAGTGTGGACTAGCGTTCCAGAATGGAGTATTAGATTGACCTACACATATTAACACTCCATCACATTCAACTAACATATGAATATAACATGTAAAATACAATAATCACAAGGTTAAATAACTAACCAGTCGGGACGACATTTTGGACATTATTGGTGTCCACATCAAAACCAAAGTCACTACCCTCGCGAGGAACTGCTTCGTATAAATCTTCATCAGAGGCACCCAAATCAACATCCACGTGAGCTGCACAATCTTCATCTTCCACAGTTGTATTATGCCAGTGATGTGAAGGAGCATAATAATGTGGCAAATTTATATCTAATGACTCAATTGGCAATGAAGAACTGTCTGCATAAGCAATGTCAGCATACAACTCAAGCATCGTCTCATTGCAGACTGTTGTTGAAGAGACTGTTGTTAAAACAAATTGAAAATCATATCAACATAATCATCATCGGCAATTTCTAGCACTGCAAATTTTTCAATTGTACGATAATGGTATGTTAACCAAGACACCGATTGATTGGGACCGAGCTTCAATTTCAAGACAATCTTTGGTTTTAAATCATGTGATCCCACCCTGCATCGTATTTGTGTTCCTTTGGTTTGCCCCTCAAATTTCCATCATGTAGCACCTTCATATATTATGACATTGTAATATATGATTGTATAAACTGGCCTCATATTTAAAAGAAAACAGCAAAAATATTAGACAATAAGAGGTTTCAAAAATTAGAAATGGGATAAACCATCAATTGTTCTAAATTACATTATTAAAAAACTAAACACTACTCATTAACCAATAAGCATTATATAAAATATGTACATCTAATTAATTATACATGTCTATGATAGGATAACACCAAATAATTAATTTCAAAAATTATAACTATTCACTAATTAAAATAAACTCTGTATAAAAAAATTAATCCTAAATATTAATCACAAGTCAATTATTCTAAATTACATTGTTAAACAACTAACCACTACTCATCAATGACTAGTTATTATATCAAATATCTCTAAATAATTAATTACACTTGGCTAATCAAAACATAAAAACAATAACATAAAAAAATTATTGCATCTAATAACTAATTAAAACAATAACTAAGAAATAATCACTATATAATTAAAAATAAATTTAAAAAGGACCAAGTTTAGAAATGCAATGTAAAATTGAGAAATGATTAACTTACCTTAGTGTTTTTATTAGGTGCTACCCTCGGTCAAAATTTTAGCTGCAGTGTTATTATGCTTGTGTGGGTCTGCTGCATTTGGAACAAAGAGGACTGGGGTAAAGTCTCAAAGGAAGGCCAACAGGTTTGGAGTAGAGAGAGACAATGGATGGTGTAAAAGAAAAAAAAAATGGAATACAGAGAAAATGAGTGGGATAGTAGAATTTGAGAAAGAGTGGAATGAGTGGTAAAAAAATTTGGTGAAATTTTTATAAGGATTCGGACCGTTAAGATTGTGCCACTTGCCACGTCATCTCAATTCCTTAAAGGGGCGGCACTTGAATACAAAAAAGGAAATAGTTCTCCAACAAGAGAATTTTAAATGGAAAAAAGTGTATATAATTTTAAATATGTAAAGTTATGTTATTTTAAGTGAGAAAAAAAGATAGATAAAAAAAAGAGTGGACAAAAAAATATAAAAGTATAGGTCTCACATTTTTGTGAGAGTGAAATGATATACATTGTGTTATTTAAAAAGACAAATAATTTTTTCATTTTAAATAGTGCCATGGAGGGGTGAGGGAGATTATTTATTGTCAGTGGCGTAGCTCCAACCGGAGCCTGGGCCAAAAAATTACATGTGTATTTATTTTTCTACTTGAGCAGGAAGCATGAAAAAGAATTATAATTTTATTAAATATTTTTAAATTTTATTGAATATATTTTAGGAAAAACTTTAAAAAAAATCCTATTAGTTATTTTAATTACCACTTACCCCCTCACAATTTTTTTGAATCATTTACATCCTTGTTTAGATTTTTTTATCACTTATCTTTCTCACTTAAAGTTTTTTTTGTCATTTACCCCCTAAGTTAGGGGGTAAATGATAAAAAAAAACTTTAATTTAGGAGAATCAATAATTCAAAATTTTGGAGAGAGGGTAAATGATTATGAAAAAAGTTATAAGGGTTTTTTTGAAGTTTTTCCTATATTTTAATTTTTTTATATAAATGAAAATGGAACATATTCTTAATACAACTTCCCAAATCTCTCACTAAATATATTTTTTGATAGGGCCAAATTACAAATTTTAGCCCGGGCCAAATTATAATTTTAGACTGGGTCAAATTATAATTAATTATATAATTATACATGATAAGTACAATTTGTTAAAATTTAGCCCGGGCCGAGGCCACACCCAGGTACAACGTGGCTCCGCCACTGTTTATTGTGGATCGGGACCACTATTTTTTAAGTGGTCCCTTAATGTAAATAGAAGGATAAAATTGAAAAAAAAATAAAAATAACAGGGATAAAAAAGGAAAGAAAAAATTAATGATGTGAGAAGGAATACCAAAAAATTCAGTGGTCCTTAACCATATTAAATATTTTCATGGTGAAGAGGAACTAGGTTAAAAAATAATATTTAATACTGCCGTGAGAGACTGGAGACAGCATTTAGACCCATTAAACCCCCGGCGGCACTTAGAAACCCGAAACGATAATATATTTCAGTCAGATACCATATTAATACATTAAAAGGTCAAGAAGCCCTATCTCGCCTCCCTATTGTGAATTGTCTATCAATAATATATAAGTTTGTGTCTGTAACCTCCACAGCTTGTTTAAACTACATGCTAAATAATAAAAAATAAAAATTGAAGTAATAAAATCTAACATGTTTCGTGAGCAAATAACATCGATTGCTACGTAATTTTATAATTTTAAAGGCGTGTGCCGCGTGAACCACGCGGTTACATATAAATATAGGGAAATTATTGTCTCATTTTACAATTATCTCATGTTCCTCTCACATAAAAAGTTGTGCCATCATTTTTATTTTTTTATTTTTTTTAATGAATGATGGGTCCCACCACATCATGTTCTATAATAGGAGATATTTATCTCCAACATCATAAGAAAAATACAACCATAAATATATAATATGGAAGTAGTTGTAATCGCTGTAATAAAAGTACCACTAGAGCAGAATTGGCAATTTGGTGTTTGCAAACAAAAACAATACTGTACTATCTCCAAAAACAAAACAAAAAACAATACCATACTAAAATAATTTGATAAAGAAATATTGAGAAAACAACGTCGCAATCTCCCTGCAACGCACGATTCTTTTATTTTATTTTATTGTATATTTAAGATAACCACTTTAAATTTTATAAATAATTATTAGTAATTTTTATTTTTTTTTGGTAAAAGAATTATTAGTAATTTAAATACAATACTAAATCTCATTTTAAAGTTAAAAGTAATTGCTTTAAAAAATATTAAATTCATATAATTTAAAACTTGAGAATACCATAAAAAACTTGAAAATAAAAAAAAAACTAGAAAAAAAATACCATAAAAACATCAAATAAGAAATTGAAAAAAATTGAAATTAGAAAAAACTGTACCAAGCCTGAAACCACGTGGAAGGTAAAATCATATTAAAAAAATAAGATCCCTCATTTATTATAAAATTCATTTGATAGAAAAGATAAAATAAGGACGAATATTATAAAAAAGACGATAAGTACATAATAATCCAAATTTGATTGCACTAAATTCGATACAATTATATTTTATTTGAAAGACAATTAGGTAATATCAAAATGTGATATAAATAAATCAAAATATTTTTTATAATATAAATTTGTAGAAAATATTATATTTATAAATTTTTTGTTTACAAATTCTTATAAATTTTCAGGAATAGACTTGGCTAGGAATGTGTTCCCAAAATTTGTAAATATAACTTATACCTAAATTCATATAATTTCCTTTAAAACATCTCTATTATTTTTACTTAATTATAGATTAGTTTTTATTTTATTTTAATATATATATATATATATATATATTACAATTTAAAATAAAATATATGAAAAATCACAAAAACATTTAAAATACAAAATATATAATTTTTATAAATAAATTTTGAATTGATTGTACTACAGTACCTAAATAAAGTTAGAAATTTATTATTTAATAAAAGATAATGACTTTTTTTTTTCAAACAAATGCGCCAAGAAGGTAATGGTGGTAATGTTGACTGGCAAGGGATCGATGGCACAGTGCTGTTTGAAGGTAGTAAAATAGGCAGCCCGCTGCAATCCACATTTGAAAATAATCTAAAAACTCAGCCTATCCCATTCTGTTTGTCGAGTGAGGCGAGATGATTAATCCATCAAAAAATAAGTCAACTCATTCTGCCCCACTTTTAATAATAAACTATAAAACTCAACTTCTTCTACCCCATTTAACGGGACAGATCAACCCATCAAACCTAGCCCATTTTGCCGACCCTAATCAACAGCAACAATGGCAAGGGTGCTATTGGCTGGCGGCGGCGGATGGCAGTAACGATAGCAGTGATGGAAATGACACTTTCGTTCATAGAAAAACTTAAGGAGCAAGAGGGCTAGTTTTTTTAAAATAAAATTATATCCTATCATAACTGACTGAATAAGCTTATCTTATCCTAACACATCATGTCTGTGTTATCATGTAATCATGTCCACGGCAGTAACGTATTTCAATGCGAATAGCCTACATCAAACAAAATCAAAACCCAAAATTTTTGTTGTCTGCAAGATATACTAAGAAACATACCACTCAGAAGAGATTTAAATACCATCGTCGTCATCATCAACCTCCTCTTTACAAGGAAAATTTTCTCAGCAGATTCAGCCTAATTAAGTATCTCAAAACTACGGATGAGACAAAATATAATTTGTTTTGGGGTTGGGGAGGGAAAGATTTTAAAAACAAATAGAATCTGCATGACAACCAAGTTAAGATTAACAAAGAAAAGGCATGGCACGGTAAATTGACTTTTTTTTTCCCTTGTTCTGCAATTTGTAGCAAATTGATGGACGATGCTCTTCTGTATCAAATTTTTAAATCTTGAAGAGTAAGCCACCATGTGTAGCAAAGAAGGGAGCAAACACAAGAGACTCAACGGCCATCAGCTTGATAAGGATGTTAAGTGACGGTCCAGATGTATCCTTTAGAGGGTCCCCAATGGTGTCGCCAATAACAGCTGCCTTGTGAGGATCTGAACCTTTTGGACCAAGGCTTCTTGCATGATCAGATGCACCAGCCTGTTACACCATAAAATCCACATCATTGATTCATTAGTAGTAGACATTATTAATCATACAGCTCAAACTATCCAATAAAATACTTGCCTCAATGTACTTCTTGGCATTATCCCAAGCACCACCAGTGTTGGATGCAGAGATGGCAACCTATAAACACGGTACAGAAATATGTATCAGAAAGCCAAGAGGAATGAAAAGTTGTTGAGGATAAACAACAAAATAACTAGGGGTGTATTAAACATTACCTGTACACCAGACACCAGAGATCCAGCAAGGACACCAGAAAGTGTTTCTACACCAAAAAAGATCCCAACGATAAGGGGTGTAAGCATGACAAGTGCACCGGGTGGAATCATTTCTCTGATAGAAGCATCAGTGGAGATCTTAACACATGTAGCATAGTCAGGCTTAGCAGTTCCCTCCATCAAGCCAGGAATGGTATTGAATTGCCTGCGTACTTCCTCAACCATCTTCAGAGCAGCTTTCCCCACACTCTTCATGGTCATCGCAGAAAACCAGTAAGGAAGCATTGCACCCACGATCAAACCAATAAAAACCTTTGGAGTTAGCACATCAACTGTTGAAATACCAGCTCGGCTCACAAAGGCTCCAAAGAGGGCCAGAGACACAAGTGCAGCAGAACCAATTGCAAACCCCTAAATAAGAATAATGATATATCAGGCATCAAGCAGGAAAGTGAACTTTCCATGAACTTAATGAATTAGATTGAAAGACGGTTGACAAAACAGAAAATCCAAACCTTCCCAATGGCAGCAGTTGTGTTTCCTGCAGCATCAAGGGCATCAGTTCTCTCTCGAATTCTGTGACTCATCCCAGCCATCTCAGCAATACCTCCAGCATTGTCACTGATTGGACCATATGCATCAATAGCCAATCCAGTGGCTATGGTACTCAGCATCCCAAGAGCAGCAACAGCAATACCATACATGGCAGCAAAGCTGAAACTAATAAAAATACTAACTGCAATAGCAAAAATTGGAATAATAACAGACTTGTATCCCAAGGCAAGGCCAAATATAACATTAGTAGCAGCCCCAGTCCTGCAGGAGTCTGCAACATCTTGCACAGGACTGCAAAACCACACAGAAAAAGTGAAGTCAAGCTAACATCTATGATTTAGAAGCACAAAGTAACAAAAAAGAAAGAAAGAAGAAACCCAAAACTGCTTACCTATATGCATTGCTGGTATAGTACTCAGTCACAAATCCAATAATAAGCCCTGCCCAAAGACCAACAGCAACACACAAGAATAGCTGCCTGCAAATCGAAATCAATCCCAGGAGTCCTCAGATACAAAAATTCATCATTCATTATTTTATTAATAGACAAGAACCCATCCTCTAATGCTTGCTTCACTACAAAAGTAATTCCTAACAGAATTTATAAAACTCACCAGTTCTTGACGTCTTTCTGCACTCCAAAATTGAAGATAGTGAAGGAAGGTGGGAGTGCAATCAAACTCACAATTGCAATCCCAATAGTCATTAGCACAGTGGAAATAATGAGCTGTTTCTTTAATGCAGGCTCAATTTCCTTTACAGCCTTGATCTCAAAAAAGTCAGTTGCAAATAAGGTGGTGAGCAAGCAAACGATGATGCCAACAGAACTGATGATGAGAGGGTATAACATAGCAGTAAACTCGTGATTCAGCCCAAAAGAAGATATGGAAGCAACAACAAGAGCAGCACAGGATGACTCAGCATATGAACCAAAAAGATCAGATCCCATACCAGCTATATCCCCAACATTGTCACCGACATTATCAGCAATCACCTGAATACACAATGATTTGTTCAGACATAGGCAAAGGATTAATTAAAAAAATGTTTAAAAACCAAATAAGTACAAGTTTCAGGGAGCTATTTCTTACAGCTGGATTTCTCGGGTCATCCTCGGGAATGTTTCTTTCAACCTTGCCAACAAGATCAGCACCAACATCAGCAGCCTTAGTATAGATACCTCCACCAACTCTTCCAAACAAAGCCATAGAAGACCCACCAAGACCATAACCAGTGATGGCCTCAAAAAGACCACCCCAGTCATCACCATAGTAAATCTTGAACAGGTTGATGGTAATGTAAAGAACCAAAAGGCCATTTGCAGCAAGGAGAAATCCCATAACTGCACCAGATCTAAATGCAGTAATGAAAGCCTTCCCAACGCCCTTTCTTGCCTCCAGGGTGGTTCTTGCATTAGCATAAGTTGCGATTTTCATTCCAAGGAAACCAGAAATAACCGATGTGATGCCACCAAGCAAGAAAGATACGGTGCTGAAGATGGCAGTGGCAAGAGCTGGCTTACACATCTTAGTTTGATCATAGGTGCATGGCTGGTGGCTAGTACTGAATCCTTCCACAGAGCCAAGAAAAAGGAATATCAAAACGGCAAAAGCCACCATGAAGATTCCCACATACTTGTATTCAGTAAAGAGGAAAGAGGTTGCTCCTGGTAATATTCGCACAAAACAAAAAAAATAACATAAGTGAACCATTATTTACCATCCACCAACATGCATTAATATTTTTCTTTAAAAAAAAAAGACCAGAGGTTAAGAAAATATCCAAAAAATTAAAGGCAAAGAAATATGCAGACCTCTAACCAAGCAATGGTTGTAACTACTACCAATTCTGTTAATAATAAACATAAAACTGACTAAAGCTGAGGGTGCGATTATGCATATTGAGAATAGAACAATTCAGTACAAATGGTCAAGTCAGAACAATTTCAGTGATCTCAGCTATTTAATGACTAATCCACACAACTAAGAATTTAGTAATATCTGCAGTTTAATGCGCACAAGTACTAGATAGAATGAAGAAGAATTTTTGTTATGCATTGTTTCAATAGAGCTGAAAAAATTAAGAGGCTGGAGTTATTATCTTTTATCTCTTTTTGTCATGCAGACAAAATTTTGTACCCTAATTTAGTAGATAATAAAAATTTAGAGTCGTTTTGTTACTTAAGCTACATTTTTCCCAGTACTCATACTATTTTAAAAATCATACAATGTAATATTTATTAATAAAAAATAAAAATCATACAAAATACAAAACTTTTTTCTGTGCTGTCCCTTATTTTTTTTATCAAATTGAAAGAACCCTAAGAGAATATCAGGTCTTTGGAGATAAAATGTTATTTGATAACAAGGTAAAACTTTAAGAAGCATTAAGAGTTTATTATCGGCAAAATCTTACAAATTTATTGTGAAGGACAGAGGGAAAATATGGAAAATGCACTCATATATAAATGGAGACTATAATGTTTACCAATTAAACAGAGCAACTCTTTTATCTATTAATGATTCGAAAACTTCAAATTCAATAAAGGAAATCTCTGAAAACAAATGGGTCGTAGAACCTCTAACACGCATAGGATAGAACACCACGCAAACTTTTCCAATAAAGCCACCAAGAGATAAATAAGCAGCACATATAGCGCACAAAACGAATGATCAAATCCGGTTACACGCGGAATGCAAAAAAGCACATAACTTTACGAAACTAAATTATTTATCAAACTACATGTATTAGGTCTCTGTGATTTTCCACGCCCATCAACTATGATGTAAGAATTTTGTGCGGCAGAAAAAAAGCATAATAAAAGCAAAGAAAACAAATCGGCCATAAAAAACTATTCAAATTGATTTTGAGTAAGAATTACTAATTTACTCTATGACTGGGACGTGAGGGTCCAAATTCAAGGACCAACATAGATCTTTTAATAATTAAAAATAATATAGAGTTAATATCCTGTTCTAGGCTGTCTCACTAGCTCAATGTTTCAGATTTAAAGCGATGAACAAAAAAAAATCAATTAAAAAATAGTTAAGTTCAAAATCACAGTCGGAGCATAAAGTTTGCAACTTGCAAACAACCCTGCTTTCTAAGCTGATAAGAAACAACTTATAAATGAAAATTCAAATCAGAAGCTTTTGAAATCAAAATCCAAACAACCCATGCATAACCACAACAAATACATAACAAGATCTACCCTGAAAATTTAAATCCACACCCAACAAATGATTTCCTTTTAAAAATAATTTTTGAAAAAATAACCGAGAAAGAGAAAAGACAGAGCTCGAGTGTAGATCTCAAAATCACATAAAAACACAAGCTTTAAGATGGCAACCAAATATATAGAGAGAGAGAGACCTTCGGAAATGGCGTTCTGAATTTCAGCGCATTTGAGGACAACGTTGTGGTCGTTGATGCCTTCCTCTTCTTCGATGAGATAATCGTTGTAGCCATTCTTGCTGGCGGCGTTTGGAGAAGCGTCTCTAGAAGCAGTGAGCTTGACCTTAGAGACGAGAAACCACTGAAACAGAGAGAACGCTATTCCAATGACGGCGCATACAGGAATCAAAATCTCGGTTCCGAGATCTGGGAGAATCACTGCTCCCATGGCTCTGTGAAGAAAAGGAAAAGGAGCTAGAGAGAAAAAAGAACTAGACACAAAGAGTGAAGGAACGAATGAGAAAAATTGGTATGGGTAGAGAGGGTTTTATATGTGAGAGAGAGCGGAAAGATAGGGTGTAGGATGGGAATGATGACTAGAAACTGAGACAGAAAAAGGTGTGTGGTTGAGAATTTAAAAAAAAAAATTACCAAATTGGATGGGATCATACGAATATGTAATTTGTCAATTTCCTTAATGCCAGATCTGGTTTTTAGGGTGAGATAGTGTGAGCTTTTCTCTTTTCTCACTCTTCCTTTTGCTCTTTAGTCTTTACTTTCTTTTTCTTTCTTTTTTGGTAAATTACTTTCATTTTTTAATTCATTTCATAATTACTTGCTTTTAATTTTATTTAAGGTTAATATAACAATTAATTATGCGTTTGCCCATTTATCTGCATTTAATTAGATTATTTCACACATTATTTGATTGACTCTCTTCTTTAATTTCATTTCCAACTTTTGATAAATTTTGTTTCGCCCTTTAAAAATTTATTTAAAAAAAAGTAATAATCCATTTTTATATAATCATACATTCGAGCTGACTGATTTTGATTGAATTTTTCATAATTTATTTTATAGTTTATAATTTTTCAATAATTATTAGTCATTTTTTTTTTGATATTTTTAGATTATATTTGAATGTGCGTCGATCGTGCGTTACCGCCTTTAATTTTTTTTATTCTGTTTTGTTTTACCTATTGAAAGCTTGAAGAACTCTAGTATTTTCTCGCACTTTTTATGTTTGTTTTTTTTTTTGTTTAGTCAATTGATTACTGTTTGGACATTATATAATAATAAAATTATATTTTTACAATTAATGCAAATAAATTATCTGTATTTACTTCCAAAATGAAGTCGTTTTGGGATTGAAAAATAAAAAAATTATAAAAATAAAGATTATAATAATCCTGAAATAAATTAAAATTACAAAAATACCATGATTTTCATCCTAAAACGACATCGTATTGGGCTTACTGCAAATAACTTATATGCAGAAAAAGAAAAAGAGAACCTATTAAAAAAAATTAACCTATTTAAAGAAACAATCTTTAACACTAGTATGAAAAGGTGTTATTCCTACATATGTTTTTTACAAAAGGCTTTCTATTTTAATTAAATTCTCATAAAATAAATGCAGACGGCTAAACGGTTGAAGTATACAAATTGTATCTTGAAATAAATAACTTCGTGGCGGTCACATTACTGCGTCCATTTGACTTCTTCAGGAAAAAAAAACCCGTCAATTATTGATTGATAAACTAAGACGTAATACTAATACTAAACAATTGACGGCGATTCAAAGAGTATTGTATTCAAATATTGGGAGTGTAGATTTCCGACACCAACTAATATATAAATAGGAATGATATTTTTTTATTTCAGTGTAATATTTAAAAATTTTATTTTCTATTTTAGCCATTGATTTTTTTTATCCAACAATTATATTTATTTAAATTAATAATAATTAATTAATATAACTTAATAAACTATAATTGTTAAATTGATAAAAATTAATTGTTAAGATGAAAAGTAAGACTTTTAAGTAATCGTATATAAAAATTATAAGAAACGGAAATTATAAGCAAATCAAAAATTAAATAAAAAATAAAAATATTCATATAACGAGTCAATCTCATATCATAAGTCCAATTTGCTAACTCATTAAATAGTATACATCAATCTATTCGTTAGCCAAACTTTGTGTTTCAATAAAACGGAAAATATATTTCAAACGGAAACTAAATGAGAAATAAAAATTATATGTAAATCAAAAATTAAATGAAAAATACAAATATCCATATAATGAGTCAAACTCATATCATAAGCCCAAATTGCTAACTCAGTGACTCAATAAATAGGATACATCAATATGTTCATTTGTCAAATTTTGCGTTTCGATAAAACTAAAATTAATTTTCAAAGGGAAGCTAAATGAAAAACAAAAATTGTATTTCAAACAAAAAACAATTGAGAAACGGAAACCAAACGTAAAACATAAATTATATGAAAATCGAAAATTAGATAAAAATTTAAAACATCTATCTGATGAGTCAGTCTCATATCATAAGCCCAACTTACTGACTCAGTTGACTCGTTAAATAAGATACATTAATCTATTCCTTGACCAAACTTTGTGTTTCGATAAAACAGAAAATATATTTCAAACGAAAATTAATGTTCAAATGGAAAATAAATGAATAACAAAAATTATATTTCAAACAAAAAATAATTGAGATACGAAAACTAAATGAAAAACAAACATTACATACAAATCAAAAATTAAATAAAAATTTAAAACATCTATCTAATGAGTCAAGCCCATATCATAAGCTCTAGGGGTGTTCATAAACTGATCCAAACCGCAGTGACTGAACCGAAAAACCGATAATCGAATAAACCGAAAATCGAAAAAACGAAAACCGATTAAAAATCGCAAATTTTAATTGGATTGGATCCGTTTTTTGATGGGTTGATGAAAATCGATCCAATCCAAACCGATCCAATATATTAATTTTCCTCTACATACTTGGGTATTTTCCTAATCATAGCCTAAAGATTTCTAAACCCAAGACCCATTAACCCATCAACTAAACCCAAGAAAAAATTTAGTCATATCTCATCAACAAAATTTTATCTTTGTAGAGCTTCATATCTCATTGCCAAAAATAAAAAAATTATATTATAGTTTACTAATGCTTTTGTATTTAAAAAAAAAAATCACAAAGCTAATATATACAAAAGATGTTATTTGCAAATTTTAAAATTTTCAAAAAACTGAAAACCGATCCAATCCAAACCGAAAAAAATTGGATTGGATCGGATTTGAAAAAAAGTCAAAATCGAATGGATGATTATATGATCAAACCGAAGGGATTGGATCGGATGATTTTTGCTTCTAAAACCGATCCAATCCAGACCGCGAACACCCATAATAAGCTCAATTTGCTAACTCGGATGACTCATTGAAAAAGGATACATCAATATGTTCGTTGGCCAGATTTTGTATTTCAATAAAATGAAAATTATATTTCAAATGAAAACTAAATGAGAAACGGAAAATTATATTTCAAATGAAAACTAAATGAGAAACAAAAAAGTATATTTTAAACAAAAATAATTGAGAAACGGAAAATAAATAAGAAACAGAAATTATATGCAAATCAAAAATTAAATGAAAATAAAAAACATTCGTATGATTAGTCAAGCCGATATAAAAAGCCCAATTTGCAACTCGACTGACTCGTTAAATAGGATGCATCAATCTATTCGTTCGTCAAACTTTATGTTTCGATAAAACGAAAACTATACTTACAATGAAAATTAATTTTAAAACGAAAATTATATTTCAAACAAATAATAATGGAGAAACATAGACTATATGAGAAACCGAAGTTATATGCAAATCAAAAATTAAAAGAAAAATAGAAACATTCATATGAGGAGTCAAGCTCGTATTACTAATTTGCTGACTCGACTGACTCGTTAAATAGGATACATTAATTTGTTGGCCAAACTTTGTGTTTTCGATATCTGCTGAAATAGCTACGAGATTTAATTTCATCCGCGATCTGACATCATATAAAGAGCAATTGAGGATCAATGTAAGGGTTATCAGACTCTGGAGACAGCTTAACTTTTACCAACCCGAGATGGGAGACAGTGTCAAGATGATTTTAATAGATAAACATATGAGTTTTGTTACACACTTTTGTCACACATATTAGTTTTCTTTGTCTTTCCTATAACTATTAAACATTACTTACAGGTCCTCAATTTTTGTAATAACATGGTGGTAAGATTCAGTGGACTGTACGAGATTTTATGAGGATAAGAGATCAACTAGCGGAAAGTGGAATGTATGTCATACGAAATTTTGGTGTTGGCCTTAATTCTGAAGAATTTAAGCCAACGCAACATGAGTACAAGCTTACTTTTAATATAAGAACTTTTGTGACGCCGAGTGTCGACGCCAACCTTCCTAACAATGGTTTTTCATTTGTGGGATTCGAAGATGTTGAAAAGTATCACAATGACACTGCGTGTTTAGTTGGCAACGTTCTCTCTTCTATTTTTTCAACACATTATTAGTCATTTATAACAACTAATAAAAACTGATGTTTGTAGACGTTATTGGATTTCTATGCGAAATTAGCGATTACAAGGAACACGTGATATTTTTATGAATTGTTTACTTTTTTTTGTCCGGATAATAATTATGTATTTTTTTATGAAATAATGGATGATCTCAAGTATCCTATAGTGGCCGCGTAGAACACAAAATGATGCGCAGTGCAATATAATATAGGGAAAAATATTTGTTTTTTTAAATGATACAACTTATATCTTTTCACTCTCACAAAGAGGTGGGACCCACACCTTTATATTTTTTTATTCACTCTCTCTTCTTCTTTATCTATCTTTTTATCTCACTTAAAATGATACAACTTTACGTATTTTAAAATGATACACACTTTTCCCTATAATATATGAGGACAGGTATTCTAACTACCAAATTTTTTTACTACTAACTTACTACCTATCTAATCACCATTAGATTAGTATTTTCTCTCTCTTCAAAAACTTTTTAACATTCTCTCTCTTTGATCCAATGGTGACGTAATGAATACTAAGTTAGTAGTGAGAATTTTTAGTAGTTAGAATATTCTCGCTCATAATATAATACTACATTTGGGAGGAATTTAAAACTTTAATCCTAGACCCGCTCCAAATTAAATTAATTGCGAAAGAATGAACCGATTGAAATATTTAAAAAAATAATATTCTCACTCGTAATATAATACCCACCATATGCGAAATTGGATTATGTCGTTCAATTCTCATCGATGTATCAAATTGGATTACCACCTTCCGACAGCTGGCAGCATGTTCACTGCACGTCAACACTAGACACTAGTGATGGAACATTGACAGTTAACTAAAATGTATTATAATATAATCTAAACAAGTCAGAACATTAAATTAGAGATTATTACTATTATTCAATACCGCTGCTGCACTT